TAGATGTGATTTTACAAGTGTGCTCAGAAATTATGTGCATTTCTACTTTGAATAGATAAACAGTAGTTCCGTCTTTGCCACGCTTTCGATACCGAAGGATACAGAATAATTTTGAAATACTGGAAAATCATGTTTTGTCAACTACTGCAATCATTCAAACACTGTATTAGTGTATTTCTACCCCACTAAGTCAAAAATAGAAAATAAGTAGAAGTATTTAAGAGAGTTATAACTTAGGACAAAGTTATGTGAGTGTTGAAGCATGCTTGGTCAGCAATATGAACTATACATGCATACTAAAGAAAAAACACCATTTCAAAATTTAGGATACCTTAGAAGCGATTTCAAGGCACGAAAACATGCAATACTGAAGTAAATTGAAGAGAACATTTTTGCAATCCTATATACAAAATATATTTCTATTACCGTCAATTAGGCAGAGTATTTTTGAAAATTGTCCCACTATGTGAAAATTCACATCACGTAGGCATTCCCAAAATGTGAAAATACAAATGGGGCAATTGCAATCAAGGATAGTAAGGTTAAATAAAATTACTTAGTATGATAATAAGTTTAATTCTTGTATGGAGCATAACACAGTGTTAGATTACGCTATATAACGCATATGAACACATATAAATATACTTGTATACCAATGCCAACACTAAAATTTATTTCAGCGTGTAAACTTTTCATTTCTCCAGTGGTAGATGCGATATTGTTAGATTCTTATAATTAACAATTGACTTGTCCAAAGACAAATTCACTTACATATCTAATGCAATGAAAAAATATGATCGAAATTGTATTGGTGAATATTGAAGGTCAGTCTTGGGTTTTGATAAATTGTTGCGGTATGTTCAGGGTCGAAAACTAGCTTTTGTTATGGCCATCTATCGTAACCTTCTGAGAAGTTCTAAAGACGCCGACCAATAATGGACTTTCGTTGCCTTATGTAACTTTATTCGAAAGCTTTACTCAAATATATGATTCCAACCCTCAAATACATGCTTCACCACATCCAACACGCGATAGCGAGATATAGGTGTAATCTAAGAAAGCACACAGTGAATAACAAAATTTGCTATGCGAGTCAAACTGCGTTGTTTGATATTCAATGAAACTAAGCAATAATAAAAGTCCAACTTCAGGACACTGGCGAAGCCTGAACCACGAACTTGTTCAATAAACCCAAATGGATAAGCCAAATAGTGAAAAATAAAGAAGTAATGGAAAACACCACATATGGTTTGTTTTCTTGTAAAAAGGCAGACACGGAGCCGGTTTTAACTATTGTGGGGCTCTATGCGAAAATAATTGGACAGGGCACAGTCTGGGTATATATAAGGATAATAACTGAAATTTTAGGTTTTGTAATAGTATTAGTAATATTACTATTCAACACCAACACAAAATGACGATAAAAGTAACTATACTGTACTAGCCTTGTGTGCAGAATGAATACACTGACATATACATGATTACAATGTTGAATGGGTAAATTTAGCAATTCACACGCCCACTTCGGGCGATTAGAATGCTCTGTTGAGAGTGACACACTCCCGAGTAAAACCGGCATATTTTAACTTCCGGATAGCATACTTTCATCAAAAATTTGTTGACAGTTGATGTGAAGGATATGATTCTCGTGATCTTACGTAATGCCTCAACTACATTTTCGAAAGCATAGAGAAACGGCCTATACGTTTCTTATTGCAATTTCACTTCAACAATTCAACAAATCAGCAGCATATTTTCGATATAAAAAAATATTCAATTTCAATAATATTGCTTACTCGTTATCACACCACAGAACACGCACTTTATAGAAATATAATATTAATATCCAAAAATGATCCGAGCAATCGATATATCTAATATTAATGGCTTAGGGAGTAAAGTGCAACCTTATACTGCATCGAAAACAATTATTTCTATAAATATCCCTGTTAGCAATTCCTAATGGCGTACAATGGCGTCGGCAACCTACGGCCCGCGGGCCGGATCAGGCCCGCGGAGCAGTATCATCCGGCCCGCGACGCTCGCTGAATTATAGTAACAGAACAGCTGTTTTGACGATTACTATATATTCTTTACGTAACAAAATTTATTTTGAGACACGTGTAGACTAAACTATAATATCCCCTAACAAGTATATATTTCCCAATTACTCGTTTAATGAGCCTATAATTTAATTTTAATTACACAAATGGCAACAAAACGCAGAAAAGTTGATGCTAAGTGCAAATAGTTTAATGGCGCAGAAAATATTCAAATGGTTAGTCTTCGCGCGCTGCTCAAAATTTAACTTCCGATCTGTGTGAAAAAGTGTGATTCATCAACCATCTGTTCGGTTTTTAACTTTCTAAAAATATGTGTGGTCCGCCACTGACTTGCAACCTTCAATTTTTGGCCCGCGAGCGCAAAAGGTTGCTGACCACTGGCGTACATACTTATTTCATGAGTATAAAGTTTTAAAACATAAAATAGATTTTAAAGAATTCTATAGTGGATTCCATTTGCATGTATAAATTGATACGACATACAGACAAACAAATATGTTGCGCAATGTGACAGCAGCGTAGTTTTTACAAATATCCTGGTCAACAAATTCTCCTGTACAACTTTCTAGATAAAAATCTGGCTGGACCAACATTTGCTGAATAAATACCCACACGCCCTCAGACATGTTAAAGGCTATTTTAGTTGTTTGAGCAAATTGAATATTTATCGGACTGCAAGTCCCAAAATTTATTTCAAACCCTCAAAACGAAATTGTCTTATGCGACAGGAAGGTTTATGCAGTATAGGCGTGTAGGCTCCTCTTCGCAACTTAGCGATTACCCTTGATATAGTTTAAAAAATAACCAAACAATAAATCCTTGACACATTCGTATGATTGTGAATCATGATAACAATATTGCAGTCTGGTTGAAGTTACAAAAAATCTGATCAGTAGATTCTTATAGTATATGTTGTTGGGTTTATATGAATACTAATTTTTTTGGTGCTCCCGAAGTATGTGCACCAAAATGGCGCACAACCTGAACATAGTATGTGTACCAGGTTAGGGGGTCAGGTTGTGCGTCATCTTGTGCACATACTTCCGGACCACTGTTTTTTGCATTGCAGTTCATTAAAAGTAGGGGAAGTGGTTCGTCATAATTTGTCATTTTACCATTTCGCCCAGAATATATATAATAAATTGGGTATGAAAAACCAATATAAAAAGATTCCGCTGCTGCAAACGTAATGGCTTTCTAGCTATAAATGTCCACTCAAATAGGCCCTAATTAGAAAATATAGTACTTCCGTAGTGTGTGTACCAGGTCAAGGTTAGGCCATAATTTTATTGCGATTTTCCTTCTTTTAGTTCTATTACTAAAACGGGGACTGTCTGCGTTAGCCAAGTGAAGATACCCTCTGTCCCTGCCCATAGTTTTAGTCCGTTTACACAACCTTTAGTTACCTCCATATGGATACACACACTTCTAGAGCGGCGAATAAAATATAACATATTCACTCAGTTAACACCCACATATGCGGTCGCCATTATTATCGGTCCAGTGAACTGGTAAACTTCAGGAAAGGTTTCACAAGCTTAAAATCTTCGATGCAATGGCATTCAATTAAACTCTACTGCGATTCTTTTTCTGGAACATTATCACGGAACAAGATATTCAGAAGCAATTTACTTTTAAGTTTATGCTGTTTGATCCGTGTTTATCCCATAATGATTTATAATTTGAGATTGTGAATCTGCAAATAATATTGCCTCTGATAGTGGAAATGAAAATGTGCAGAATTGTGGAAGCCATTTTGTAAATCTTCAATAACAATGTTGGACTTTACCAAGCTTTGAAACGATTTTACTTTTTTCTTATTTTCTAATGATATACAGCAGGGGAGTGCAACCTCTAATACACGAGGGCCAGATACAAATAATTGTATGAAACCGCGGGCTGCAACTTTGTTTAACATAAGTCTTCTAGTAGTTGCAGACACAAATATTTTGGTTATTGATCTTGTGACATGCGTTGTTCGCTTTGCACAAGCGCAGATACAGTCATTGCAGCGCAAAGGAATTGGAATTACCCGTACATACTAGATTAAATTAAATATTGGGTTTAGCGGGCGCACACCATTCAAAAATGGCGTTTCTCGGCGGGCCGCACAAATTTTCCTTGTGGGCCGCAAGTTGCACACCCCTGATATACAGTATAAGATACTTTTAGCTCTACTTAATTCGAATAAACGCCCCTATGGCAGCATGTACAACTTACATGTTACAACTTACTTACAAATTAATTCATTAGTCATTCATTTAAATTTTTACAAAGAATTAAAAAAATTGCTCATTTTAAAACTGGCGTTTCTGCAGCTTATTACCTAGGGTCAGAGATCCGTTCACGACATTCCGTTGCTTACGTACGGAATGTCGGACGCTGACGCTGACCCTAGGTAATTTTTTGTAGTTGCGTACGCGTCCAAAAAAGCAGGTGTGACGTTTGAGTTTTTTGCCCTGAATTGAAAAGAACTACTCCCGTAGAGTGTGCACCAGGTTAGGGTTAGGCCATAATTTTATTCCGATTTTCCTTATTTTAGTTCTATTACAAGTTCTTGGACTGCCTGTGTTAGCCAAGTTAATATACCCCCTAGCCCATAGGTTTCAGTCCCTGTACACAACTTGTAAACTGCAAAGTAGGCGAACAAAATTAGTTGCTTCCATATTGGTACACACACTTCTGGAGCGCAGAAGTTCCTACTGGTCATCGCTATTTTATACTAAACTATATTTTTCTAATTGACTTGAATGAACCCATGAATGAGTGTGACTTCTACTTTTCGTTTTTGCAATCGAACCGCCTCGAATCTGTTCTGGTCAATCTCTTGTAAAAACAAACAGATTCTGATTTTCTAAAAATAACTTCTTGCGTCAAGCGTTGAACCCCAAACATGGTTGCAATATATTATCGGTATTAACTTGTTTTATTAAATGATTTCATCGATAAAACAGACTTTACAAACATTTTAGGATAAGTATATACACAAACATTTTAGTTCGGGCAATAAAGTTATTTATATAAAAATACAATTGATTAAAATTAATAAAATGCTGGAACTTTGGAATGAAAAGCACGTTTTTGTTAAATGTATCAAATTTATTAAACGTCTGATTGACAGCAATAATATTATTTAAACATGATATGAAAGTAAGTATACATGTCTATAGGAGAGTGAATGCATTCTAAAACAAAACAAAATACATTTTATCAAAAAGTGTATATTTTTTTTACCAATACTATGCGAATAATACTCGTTTATAACTATAACATCAAATGCCGTAACAGTGCAATTAACGGACATAAATATTCCCACTAAAAAAGTTTTTGCACAAAATTATTTCGTACACAATATAAAGATTAAAAAAATGCTTTTAACAATGTTTTTCAAACGATTCATTTTGTCTTGGTATCTTATACATGTTTTATGTTAATCACGAAATTGAGAATATTTTTTGACTTGAATAATATTTTTGAAAAATTTGGATTTGGAATGACCATTCATAACATCAGGATTATTGTAAAAATTCCAACACTACTCCATCAATATAAAAATCGCTCAATTTTGGATCATTTTGTTTGGATAAATTTTTATTGAACAAGTTATATAAAGCTTACATAAGATTTGCTTAATGAAACAATCAGAATAAATTACAATTACAGTTTTAAATTTATAAAAACTACTAGTATTTATTGTTATTTTAGTTTCATGTATAAGTCAGCTCCATGGCACTGTGGTCCTTCCACTTCTTCTATAGATAACCCGATGCAGATACGTATCTTGCGTCGTTTTATTCTATTATTAGATTTTACTTCCAACATTTTTGCCTGCAAAGACCACAGCTTATTCTGATTCTGCCTCCATAACGCCGTGATGCATATCTTTTTGTTATGTGATGAGATTCCAACTCTTCATTGATTTCAGTGACGTCATCCACTTTTGGGTCATACCAGTACGATTTCTGAGCTGAAAAACGTAACAAAATGTAAAAAAATGACGCAATGTATTCAACATCAGCCACACTAAAGGATCAGTTGTGCAACAATTTGATGAGATTTGCAAACATGTTATGATTGTGAGGTATACTATCTTATCATTCTCATTTGCGAAATGTGTTATATGAATTGTAGAGTTAATATAAACTAGCATTAGGAAATGAAATAATGTGAGAATCTTCAATATACCTTTCAATTGTGAGTCAATGCTTCTCTTTACAAGAATAGAAGAAAAACATCTTCTAGATAACTTGTGACATCCTCGTTTCATCGGTCTAGAACATTCAAGAGCAATTCTTCTTGCACTTCCTTGATTTCTACTGTGTTCCATCATACGCAGGTTAATCATACTATTCACTTGTGATGGACTGAGACCTTGTTGTCCGTTTGTAATGCGGTACAGCATGCTGTAAATAAAGTGAAACGATTTTCAGGTGTTTTCAAATGAAAAAAAACGTTCTAACTTTTTGAAATGAATTGATAAGAAGAAAAATTACATAACACTGAAATCAGAATGGAATTAGAAATTGGCCAATAGTTATTATTTAGATTAAAGAAAATATCAAATTTTATGAATTAAATGTAATGAATCTTTTGTGCTAATATTTTGAGGCGCATGTGACAAAAAATATAAGCGAACAGACATCTTTTCACGTATTGTATTTATGTTATATTACGTTAATCGTAAAAACAGCTTTGATGCAATTTTGTTTTTCATATGTTTTCCAGATAAAATGTTGAGCATTGGACTCCTCCATTAAAGTATTCTATTTCAAGTATACATTTATTTTCCTGCGATTTTTAGCAAAAAAGTAACGTTTGAAAGGTCGCTTTTTCAGTTTTATATGAGTATCATAACCTTTTATGTGACAACGATATTCAATACGGCAGCTCATGATCGGAATAATATAGAATTTACGGTTATATCACTGACATGGAAAAACAAGTCATAAAATAAGCGAAATATTAAAATGAAGTTTTCAGCTTTTTTGATAATATCTAGAATATTCTAAAAATCCATTTGACGCATGTTTTGTTTGATATTAGATACATCGAGATGTATTCCCAAAGTTATTAAATATCGAATTGTGTTTACTCAGATCGAAAAAAATATTCATTAAATGTCAGAGAAAATATCGAGAATATATTTTATTTTATGCGATTTATGTTAATGTAATCATTATTATGGTGGTTTACATGATGTACGCAAAAATATGAAACCAAAGAATGATGAAAACACACTCCGTTTATTTTGTATATTTTTTTTCAACATCAATATTGATTTCTATGTTGAACCACAAAAAACTGTCAACAAATGAATTACGAAAATTATCAAAAAATATATGTATGTGCCTATTTCTTACAGACAAAACAGTATTTTAAAATATTCTACAACAAAATGTTATTCAAACGATACTTCCGATAAGAAATTAGCTAAAAAGATAGAGCACGATTTTAGATTTTTATCAAGCAAATCATTCACAAAATTTATAAAATGACCTTCAAATATTTAAACTCAAAGCTTTGCTTTCTCCAAGCATGATGTTTTCCAGCCATATTCAGGTACTAATGATAAATCGGTAATTATTTAACGCCGGGCATGGCACAAAGTTACTAGATGTTTATTAAAAAACATATAATTTGTGGCTTATAAAATTATATGTGTACTACGGTACTTGGTACGGTATTGAAGTTAATATTTTGGAGAAAACCACAAAATATGATAAACGTACATTATATTGCGATACCGATGCTTACGTTTGTTCTGTAATTTGAAACTCATTTTGTTGAATTATACATGATATTTGGCCTGTACACGATTCACTCAAAAACTATTCAAATTTACTTCACTGTTTTTTTACATGACACTAAACGTACAGAGAACGTATAGACAATTTTGGGTGGCACAAATGACGAAGAAAGCTCGTATCGATCTAATAGAAATATCGCATAAATTCAAACGATTCTTCCGATAAGAAGTTAGATAAAAAGATAGAGCACGATTTTAGATTTTTATCAAGCGCCTACGTTTGGTATGTAATTTGAAACTCGAACTCATTTTGTTGAATTATACATGCTATTTGGCCTGTTAATACGCAATTCACTCAAAAACTATTCAAATTTACGTCACCGTTTTTTACATGGCACTAAACGTAGATTGAATTTAGATAGCAGAGTACAGAGAACGTATAGACAATTTCGGGTGGCACAAATGACGAAAAAAGCACGTATCGATCTATTAGAAATATCGCATAAACATTTGTGCAATTTCCACTCTAATTTTATGTCAATTGCGTAATGATGGCACGCAAGAGTTTGTTTCAAAAACAAATAGAGTATATACATTTGTTCTTATCGCCGTAATTAGAAACTGCACATAAGATTTAAAGGTTCAAGTATGACGTTAGTCTTAAATGGTATGAATAAAAGAAAATTAAACATTAAAAGTAGATAATGCAAAAAGCAACGATCATACTTTCAAAGTATAAGCCATCAGAGCCGAATTATCGACGTTATAGACGTATAAAGTGTTCAATTATGGGAAAAGACGAAACGCCCGAACATGCAGAATCAGATATTATACTTAAACATATATATTGAAATTTTATTACAAGCGTGATTTAAAGCTACTTTTTTCAAGCAACAATCTTACCTTTTGTGAATTAAATCTGCCATTAAAGCGTTAGGTGGCGACGAATCAGCTCTGTCAAAATTCACGATCAGGATAAAGATGAGAAATCCAAGGCAGAATCTAAGAAAAAAAAAATTTTGATCAGCAAAAAGAAAATGATTCAAAACAAAACTAAAAAGAAATTCAGTGAAATCAGCCAAAATTAGGCATTACAAAAATTTCCAACTATTTTAAGCAAAATATTTTTTGCTGTTATCGATAATAATGAACTGTTTACTTACTTCGTGCAGGTGCTTTTTGTAGATGCCATTTTCTTTATATTTTCGGTAAAAATTTGAAATAATATAATGAGAATAAATATAAAGTAATTTTGAATAATCTGCAAAAGTAAATGTATTATTAATTTATTAATATAATCTCCATAAACTCCATATTGATTTGCAAAACATGCAAAATAACTCATATGATTATTAGAATGTAATTATGTATTTTTTTTATATATCTTATTTTTGTTTGGAAAAGACCGATTTCTACCTAAACTTGAAATAAACACTATCTTTGAAAATATTCACAAAAATTTCAACTGGTTAATTTGTGCAGAATAGACTTACAATGGCGAAATATTCTCACTTATTTAAAGAGGTCAGTTTCTGGCATTATCACATTAGAAGAGTCTAATCTCCGTAACGATCCTAGTAGCGTGACCATTGTCCTAAATTTCTATTTCAGAAATCGGTTATGTGCTTGTAGAAAACGCTTTAGTTCAGTTCGATTGTTTGCAAAGCATGTCGGGTTCGTGGACGCACCGAACTTATATACAATTTCCCTGCCTCAATTTTGAAAGAAAAAATGATTGAATGTTAGGTAATAATATTGTGTTACATAAAACGCTCTCCACCGTATTATTTTTATCGTTGTATGAAAATAGCCGGAAAAACGTAGCTATTTTACGATTGGGCAAGTTGGAAACCGCATCGTGGAGCGCATTTTAATCGTGAATCATGTTTAGTTAAATATTTGTTCAAATAAGACCGGAAATAGAGACATTGACCAGTTTAGGGTTAGTCCTATTTTTAGACATAGAGCTCATAATCATCTAGTTTACTGAAAACAAAAAGTAACACTAAATTCGTAATATATTTGTTATGGAATACTGCCCACGCGCCCAAGTTTAGATAATATACATTACTACACTTAACTGATAGATGGGAGATAAAATGTAAAAATATTAGAATGAAACATCACGTTTTCCATCTAAAGTTATTCGTCATCAAGGTATTTTTCAATATCACTTCGAAACGAACATTTTTTCAGACTTATCCCATGTTCAATTAAGTGCATCTGTATTTATGCTATGATACGGATCATTGTATTTTATCAGAATAGAAATCATCGTCTTCTAACTGCAAAAATAGATGGTTGAATTTAAAACGTAATCACAAAATCTACATTTAGAATTGCGATAAACAAGAACACAATTGATGAAATCGATTCCAAAATAAGTTCTCTGGACGTGCGAATGCACGAGTGGTAGTAGCGAGTGTTAAAAATCCCGTCCAAATAATACGTTTCACCGGTATGCCAAATAAAAGAGTAGGCTTATGTCACAAATATATATATTTTTTCGGACTTCCTGCAGTATGCGCACCAAGATGGCGCACATCCTGAACTCAGGTGTGTACCCAGCTAGGGTTCAGGTTATGCGACATCTTGGTGCGCATACTTCAGGAGTACCATTTTTTCTTAGGGGGGTAAAGGGCTGTAAAGACCCGGTGAGTACCAGTCATGTTATTGTCATTTGTTCCACATTCCGATTTGATATATGTTATTCATTGATAATTTGTTTGTGATTGTATAAGAATGGATATGCCCGGTTATCGAAAGTAATTATCTTTATAGACCATTGCATACTGAAAAACTTTATATCTGTTTAAAGCTATACACTTAACAAATTCACGGCTTCTTGTAAAAAAAAATTTCAATAGATTCTTCGCATTAACATTCCTATCTGATCATTCCCCCAGATATCGAAATTTCTTCTTAGCAATAATACCAGCTTAAGAGTAATTTCGGATGAATGAAGTCTGTAAACGGTCTGTTGTTTATGCTAATTCACACTATAAGTCAGCATTATTATTCATAGTAGATATTCATTTTCGATGATTTGTGAAGATCATAGAAGGTAATAACATCAGAAGGTTCGAAAACTCAATTTAAAAATAGAGTTTGTTATGTGATATGGCACTCTGTATTTAAATTCAATTACATACATTACCGGGAGCATAAGGGCTGTCTGCCAGATTTATCCTTGCAAGGTCGCTCGTGTCTAGTTTTACATTGGACGTAAACGACAGAAAGTTTCTCCATAATATCAGACCGACGACGATCAATATGATTCGAAACATGATCTCGTTCCGCTCGAAGAAACCTCCTTTTATCTTAGTGACGTCATATATAGCGCGTGATGTGCCTGAACCACGACATCGACCGACTATCATGATTTCACCCAGAATAGTGGGGTCTCAGTAATTGATTATTTCCTCTAAAAGACTCTTGCTGCGATTGATGGTTCATAGGGGGTTTTGATATGCGCCAATGACACACGAAACGTGACATTATAATGTATATCTAGCCGGCAGGTGACTTGGGAGCATAGGTCACTAAATAAAACTTTCGTTCATGGATATCAAATGGGTATACAAACGGGTTAGGCCATAGTTTTATTCCAATTTTCCTTATTTTAGTTCTATTACGTTCGGTGTCCGCCATCTTGGTACGCATACTTCAGGAACGCGATCAAACGTGCCAAAATTTACGTTATAAACCAGCGGTTTCCATCTGGGGAGCCCGTGGCTTCCTGAGGGGGCCACAAAGCAGTGGGAGGGGCCACGATACTTTGTTTTCAATGCAATTTCGTGTGAATATTTCACGTTTATTGGAGAATTCCCGTTTCTTCCTAGTTTCAGTACCTGATAGGGTTGATTCGCAGGATGTTTTCTCTTTCTTGTGCATGAATTGTTTTATCATCATGTTATTTGGAACTACCACTCAAAATAACACTATAATTAACTCTCTATTCCACGAATTCTTAACCTTTGTATACTGCCTGCAGATAACGGTCGAATCTGGTCCATGCACTTTTGAAGACAGTTTCACATGGCGGGGAAGCCGTCGTAAACGTATTGTGAACGCTCAAAAATATATTTTAATTTTCCTCAAAACGGAAATGGGAGGACAGATATGTTGATTTTGGCTTTACTGAAGTAAATCGGTACGGTCTAACCCTAGAATGTGCGCAATGCTTGCATTGTTTGTATTTTTGCAATGATGAACAAGGGGGTCACGAGTGCTAAAATCTTTCGGGCCACGAGTTATGAAAGATCGGGAACCACGGTTATAAACAGTTTTAAAATGTTGAATACTAAAATAAACAAGCATATAAAATATTGGAATTGTGGGTTAGTTCATTTATCCTAAAGATTTAATTTTGTGGATTTTGTGGAAAGATTTAACCGTGGATTTTGATTACCCATGCGATAATTTTTAGAAATCATATATATAATAATTCATGGATCAGTGGAAAAACGACTACAGTGAAGTATACAAGTAAGCCATGTGTTCAAAACACTAATATTGTTACAAACGAAATTATTTTCATTTTACTATCAAACATTTTTCATATATAACTGGACATATGTATTTTACACGTATAATATGAATAATCGATCTCGTGAGATATATTTTAAAAAATCTTATTGCCTCATTACATGCTATAATTTCGAAACCAAATAAAGATAAAAAACCCTCGTGCGTATGAAAATAACAATTTTCAATATCAGCTTTCTTTAAAATACTTCTCCATAATATGGGATACCATATCCTTCGCGTGATTATTACAATATTCCATCTATTTTTAAAAGTTATATTACGATACAATATTGTATATCATGACAGTCCTATTAAGAGGCACAATTTTGCGCATCCACATTCTTCCAGAATAAATTAGAAATATTTTCCAAGTCGGTATAATAATATACCAAGGCCAAGATTTCCAAATCATTACTAGAAATCATTGTTACCCGCCATTACACAACAGATTTATTTTTTTTTTGCGGGAATGTTTAAGCTATACAAATATTAAGTTTGTCCAATTTAAACAGATATATTATTGAAATCCAATTTTTTTAAGCGTATATCACATTACGTATGGCTTTTAGAGATGTTTGAATCGAATCAAAATAATTCCTTTGACAAGGCCTGGGTTGAATACGTAAGTCTGCTTTTTACTTCTGTTTCATTACCACCATGTTGTGCAAATTTTGAAGCATGCAAAGAAAAAAATAATTTATACAGCAATGTAGCAACCCAGATCGAATATTATAAAAATGAAAGTTGTATAGTTAACGACTTCAGTTGGCGCTGGTTTAACAAACTAGTACAGGGTGGTTCAAACTCAGGCCGGCGGTCCACATGTGGCCCGCCGCTCTATTATCTGTTGCCCGCGTCGCAATTGTGGGAGGGTAAACAAAAAATCGCGTTTGGTGTTGTTTCGTCATAAAAATACCCAGAAAAATCTTTTAACATATTGTTACATCACTAATGTCACTGAATTGACTAATGTTATGGCTAGCTGGGCAACTAGCGAAGTAGAATAATGTGTTTGGCTACTCTGTATTGTTAACTTTTTGGTCGGGAATATATGCTAACAAAATAGGCTCCATATAAAACTAAAAAATCGAATGAGGAATGTATTAGCTCAGGTTGTCTATGCCTGATAACGAAATATTAATGTTATGGCCGAACAGTATAATTCCAGCCGGTTGGATTTTTGCATGTCAGAAAATTTAGTAAGTACCGTTCTGTATCTTAAATTTGGTAAAATTCGGTAATCAATCAATCGGCAGTTATTTGTAAGTTATTTTGTAAACATGAGTTTGAAAGGAAAGCTGACCAATTCAAACAGATTTTTGACTGGATATGGGAGAGAAAATACCACAATACTTGCCTAATATGTCTGCAAGTTGTATCGGTGACAATCTAAAACAGCATTTTCTCCTTATGACACTTTCTCCGTTATGAAGAGTTTGAAATCTTAACTAAAGTAACTAGGTGTAGATATAGTAAGATTTTTATACGTTTTAGTGAGTTTTGCGTGTTTTAGCTTGATAAATGACAAATAATGATTAATGTGTCTGGACAAGAAAAGTGTTGTTTTGTATTGCACTGTTTTTCTTGGCACTATTGTGGCCCGTAAACAATGCAAAAATAATAATGTGGCCCGCGAGGCCTACAACCTTGAACCACCCTGAACTAGTACATAATTAATTAGTACATTCGTGATTACATTTATAGGATATGACGATATGTATACGTTTGCAGGAAAATAGAGTTCTTCACATTATCAGTAGATGATGAAATGCTATCCGAGATTGTATTGAAGTTTTGCATTTACGCCTTTTCCTCTCACATTCGATGGAATATATTTCATGTAAAGTAAAGTATATAGCATTCGATAACTATCAATTTGATAGGAAAGAGATGTACGCAGCTCTGGTGCGCCGCCTGGTGTAATCTTTTAAGTAGCTTATAGAAAAAGTCGGATATGGAGGAGTTGGTTGTAAACTGATTGTATATTTCATGGAGTCAACTATTTAGTCCACTTGTTAAATTTACTAGACCAATGTCGTTTTATCGATTAATAGTCCGGCAGATAAGAGGCTATTTTAGGCTTGACCTTGTTTTCAGACATAATTTTTTTTATTCTAAATTATTTATCTCGAGGTTATAGTGAGCCATAGTTCATGTCCCAAAACAAGGTTAAGGCCGATTCTGCCCGACTATAATAATTGGGCACCCACGGGCAACATCAATCGTACCTTAGCTATCCTGTAGTATAATATCAGGTCAAAGCTTTTCCGTAAGTCTAGATGAGTAAAACATAAACATTTGCGGAATAGTTTAAAAAATAAGCAGATGATAAGCGTGGAGTAATAAGGGCAATCTACAAATATATATCATAACAGAAAAAGGTTTTTCTAATTTTCAAGGTAAACAATAAACACGCGAATAATCAATACAGAGTAGAAGTTAAAAAAACGAAAAGGATATTGACCTGTCAATGACCTACAAATGGTACCATTTTATTGAATTTTAATACTAAATCTAGGAGTGTGTTCTCCTCTCTTCTTAAATTTCTCTGCGATAGCTCTTCAAATATAGTTTTCGAAATACACACAAAGAATAAGCTATAGGAGTGTTAGATCAATATAAGTTAACATATTGCGCAAATGATTTGGAGCATATCAAATACCACGTCACGTGAATGAATGACTAGACGAATTGTGTAATGTATATTGTAAACGAACCATACTTTACGCAGGTTGCCACAAAACGAATTTGTTGGCAATTTCTTACCCTTGCCGTGATACTGTTATCCGTGTCTGTATGTACTGGCCTTTATTGTATTTATCTCCGATAAACACTTGATCAAAAATCTAAAATAAATTTTTTCCATTTATAGAATAAATAATATACATAGATTATTACCTGGTAACCATATCATTCTCACAGATTCATGCACGAAGTGGTACTTGTGTATGGCACGTACCAAACGAGCTATTGTATTGCGAAATACTGCGGCATTCATGCATGTGGAAAGGTACCAGTTTTCGTGAAAAGCGTATCATGACTCTGCAGATTAATGATTGACCGATCACCATTCATTGTGTACAGCGGACTGCGCGAGTGCTGTTTGCCGAGTCGTGTCGGCGTATGAAGTGAAAATATATTCAACAGTTTGCATTCAATTGTGGAAGGGTTTCGTAGTCAATTTCATTAGCAGTATTGTTTGGGTCGTGTGTGTAGCGTGGTACACAGCATATTCAGAGTACTTGTTGTTAGACTCTTGGTCTGATAAAATCGATGATTAGATGTAAATTTATGTAGTAGACCGTTTTCGCCAATTTATTGATCGGCATTTCACAGCAGTTACTTGAGGTGGATAGGAAATCTAATACCCGCTTGATAATTCAGTGTGTGTGTAATTGTAAAAAAGGTCAAAAAGCAAGTATTACTGTAGGGCTATTATAATTACTGTAGTCTGGAGCTAAGAAAGTATGCCGAATGCTAACATGCTTCAAATGTTTCACAGGAACTAACCCCATTTTAAGCTTAAAAATGAAGTTTAAAGCAGTTATTTTTGATATAGGAGGCGTGTTGGTGCCTCAACCACAAATTGGTATCCTGAACTATGAAAAGCAATTGAAATTACCGATCGGCTTTTTGGGAAAAGTATTCATGGATGGAGCACCGGATAACAGCTTTTGTAAGCTGGAAAGAGGAGAATTGTTGTTTTCGGAATTCATTCCTAAATTCGACGCCGATGTCAAGGCTGCGGCAAAGCGGGACCGCATCGATGTAAAGAAGTTTAAAACAGAAAATCTATTTAGTATGATGATGTCACAAAAAGAGGCAATTCATAAAGATATGTTTCATGCTGTAAAAACGCTGAAGATCAAAAATGTTAAAACTTGCGCCCTCACCAACAATTGGATCGACGACCGAGGAGAAAACAAAGAGATGGTGTCAAAATTTTCAGTTTTGTTACGCAGATTTTTTGATGTTGTGGTGGAGTCTAGTATTGAAAGATTGCGAAAACCGGATCCGGAATTGTACAAATTAACATGCGAGAGACTGGGCGTTAAACCTAACGAAGCGGTATTCCTGGATGATATCGGTTATAATTTGAAGAGTGCCGCCGAGTTAGGCATAACGACAATAAAGGTTACAACTCCCAAAGAGGCGATCAAGGAACTGGAGAAAGTCACCGGGTTAGATTTGACAAGTGGCAGAACCTCAGATGTCGTTTACCCACCTCCATGCAAACATGACGATGTGCCTCACGGAACAGCTGTTCTGAAGTCTGGGTACAAAATCCATTACGTCGACATCGGAGAGGGACCTGTAGTAATGTTATTTCACGGTTTCCCCGAATTATGGTATAGCTGGAGATATCAGATACCTGCTTTGGCAAGTGCTGGATATAGAGTTATTGCTATGGATCAACGTGGGTTTGGTGATTCGAGTTCGCCACCGGAAATCAGTGAGTACTCGCAAAAGAAGATTTGTCAAGATGCCATAGATCTTATGGACAGTCTAGGAATTAGTCAAGCAACGGTTGTTGGACATGATTGGGGCGGAGCTGTCGTTTGGAACTTGGGACTGTTTTATTCACATCGTTTGAACGGAGTTTGTGGCATAACGACACCTTTATTTTCAGGTATGTTCTTAGGATACAAATAAAAATTAAACAGTAAAAGGGAACATATTTTAATTTATTGTGAAGATATCCCCTACAAAAAAAAATTTCAATGTATAGAGTCATGGCTATAGGGCAATAGTAAGATTCTGGACTGCCAAAGTTGGTTCGATTTTTGCGCTCTGGGTGAGGCCTTATGAATCGTAACTTTACCGAGAAATTAAAAATAGGATCAAACATGGGTGCAAGGATGTTGAGTAGGATTTTGTCATGTCCCTATTTGGAGTCCGGAGTTGTATTTTCAACTCCTTAGAGTCTGAGTCGAAATTTAGAAATACTTGGAGAGTCGGAACTTTTGATGGCAATAGTCGGAGTCAAAATTCTCTATGAAAGCTAAAACATTATGTTGACCAAACGTGATTAACAGTCAATTATTGAAGGCCTGAATATGCTAAATTATTATTATTAAAATTTATTTTCCTTTGGAGTTCGTAGCTAGAGTCGGAGTCGAATTTTTCATCAACCTAGAGTCGGCAACCGGAGTCGAATTTTTGCATGCGCTTAATCCAATTTCCATTTTGTAGGAGAAGGAGCAAAAAGAATACAAGCAAAGCCGGAAACGTTCGATTACCAGATGTATTTCCAGGCTCCAGGTGTAGCTGAAAAAGAGTTTGAGAGTGACATCCCAAGAACATTTAAAATATTCTTCCGTGGGGTTAAGGACGTTCCGATCCCATTTCCAGATGGAAAACCATTTCCTAGAGATACCACTAATGTTACGAAGCGCGGGGGAATGTTTGTTGGATATCCTGAAGATGTTGCGATTGGGAAACTTATCAACGAAGAGGATCTGGCGTATTACTCCCAACAGTACAAGAAAACTGGTTTTCGGGGACCACTGAATTGGTACAGAAACCACAAGGAATCCATGGGCTGGCAAATGCAATACGCAAACAGAAAAGTTGTCGTACCTTCTCTGATGATCACCGCTTCACATGATTTTGTATTGAAACCAGAATTTTCTCTTGGAATGGAAGACAGAATACCAGATTTATCTCGAGTAGCGCTTGAAAATTGCAGTCACTGGGCCACAGTCGAAAAGCACGACGAAGTGAACGACGCTATCATATCGTGGCTTGACAAGATTCACAAATCTAAAGCTAAACTATAAAATATTGATAACACCTGAGATCCCAATTAAATGAGTAACAAAGCAAAACTTCCTAATTCAAAATTAAAGTCGCCTATACTATGATAATAATGCGATGTGATTTAGTTGTAGAAAATGTATTTGAATATCTTCGTTGCTTGTACTGTCTTTTTTAATTACAAATGTTGATTTTATAATAAATTTATAGTCGAATTAGAAAATCGTGGATTTATTTTGCTAAACTAATTTATCGATAGGAGCAGATAATAGTAGTGCGAACAGAGTAATTGCCGTTGGAAACATTGAGACTTCAATTATCGGTAGGGTATTTTGTTTTATGGTAGTTCTGTGGATTGCCCGCATAGAATGCGTTATAGCACACATGGTATGAGGCAGGGGAGTTCTACGTCGCGGCGGTCCATACAAAGGCATAGGCTTGAAGTATTACGTTGTCTTCCGCTGATCTGAAATAGCACACATCATATAGTTTTTTTTGATAAATTGGATTGCGTTAAAAATGCTTAAAGTTATTCGAAAACTACTATATTCATTGCGAAAGCGCAACCAGCGCGCGATTTTTAATTTTGATGACGTCATCACACAGAAATTCACAGTGAAAAACGTATGCCATAGAGCCCACAGACATACTGAAATGAATAAGTAGCCCAATAGGCTTCTAGCGACAAATACAATCATTATTACCTATGAAAAACATCAAAGCAATGGGTCCAGAAGTTGAAGAGAGAAGCCAAACGATCCATAGGTCCATTTCGTGTACAATGAGTCAAACAGACTTTGCTTACCCAATAAAGTTGCTCTGTGGCGCCGGCTATGGATTCGGATGGCAGAAATTATTGCAGAATTGTTTGAAAATGGCACCACCGCCATCGACTGTTTAGGCATAAAATCTCAAAAGCAGCTGGGATATCTCTACCTAGTTGTAAAACGACTGCTGCTGGGGTTCAACAGTATTTCTAGCAATTCTTGATAACAAACATGTCATCCATTAGAATTTGGATGAACCATTTGAAAAAATGTACTCGAAGATATATATATGTTAAAAGTCCTCTTCGATCGTTCAAACGGTTGTCTACGGACTTTCTCCTAAGTCACTACGCAAGTCAATTTATTGATTGTTGTTGGGTCGAACAATACAAAACTACTGTACACTATGGCAAATACAATATCCAAACCTATCACAAACCCTCAGCCACAAAAGCGAACACATTGGCATTGGCATTCCACATTGGCATTGGCATTCCACTCAAGAACCCGCAACAACCCAACAGACACAAAAAGACCCCAAAACACTGGAAATCCAACCGAAACAATCACATCCGCAAATCCCAGTCCAGACCAACAGGACACCAAAAACAAACCGTCAGCGCCACAGCGCTCCCGGTGTCTCGAACACCGAAACACAAAATTCAGCAGCAAGATCAAACAACGGCCTTTAAACAACGGCCTATTTGAGATAGCAATAAGGGTTGTCACACAGTCATAAAAGTCTGCCAGGGAGAAACGGTGAGATTATTATGATATATATGCAGTTGAAATATATACTACTGCACTATGCATCTTGTTTATCCGGGTATTGAGGTGAGAAAGCAACAAATAGACGAAATCGTCTGAGATGATATCTCATATATATACTAATGCAAGATGTGGTCGTGATCGTCGACAACTTTCCGTCGATAAACAAAACGTTCCAGTCTACTGCACTGCAACTTCATTTATGTAAATAAGAGATGGAGGTGAATTGTAGGTCGACTGCGGAGCGACATGAAAGCATAATTTGCAATGAGCTGTATATGAAAGAATATCGTGCGCGTATGCCTATAATTGTAGATGATGTTTTTTAGTGTGAAAAAGCAGAGATCAGAGTCATTTCTACACTGTGCAGAATAGGGTAATTGACAGAGCAATTTTGTGCATAATATTTCCGTAAAAGATTAGAATAGAACGTGGAACGTTTTAAAAAAATTAAATTGCCTCGTAGAAACGTAACTTAGTATGATAATTCTCTTTAAAACTGGTTAAAAAATCGACGAGATCCAACTATTATTCCTAACTTTGTATCTTTGATCAGATTTCAACCCTCATCTTACTTTTCTAAAATAAAAGAAAATCTATTACATTAGAATCAGTTAATTTATGAAAATCTAAGCTTGCCTACACTCTCCTTCCACCGTCTGTCCAAATACATTTACTGTATATTGTAATTGCTTGATTCCAAGTCCCATTATGATCATTGATCAAACAGTTGATGCTCGAGAAAGTGAAAACACCCTGTGAAATAACCTTATCAGGTGATGAAATTAGGGAGAATGGGGAATTTTCTTATAAAGGAAAATTATGCAAACGAAATTGCACGCCTAGTATTGAAGCCCCCCTAGAACACTAGGCTAGACAATGCAGCATCATACAAAGCTATTATAGACTTATTTGAACACGCGAAATACAAAAAAAGCTGTAACAGAATAGCGGCCAGAATATGAGACACTAGAGAGCAAGAAATACAATTCTTACGGTATAAGCACACAAACTAAACCTCGCATGATAAATAAACCTACCTCTCCGGGTTTTGAAGCGATATGTATGAATAATCGCACCAGCAATTATGATACAAATGGCCTTGATAGCTCAATTGTTTGATAAATGTCTTGCGGTTGGAAGCAATAAGTTCTGAGATGTGAATTAATGATATGAATCGAATTAAGATAGTTATTAAAATAATGTAAATTATAATGCATTCCAGCTTTATTACAGATAAATTAATCTTAGCGATTGTAGGTATGAAGGTCGAGGGTGTGATTTTTGGCATCGATGGTGTAATGGTACCCCCGCCAGAAATTGCTGTACTAAATTTTGAGAAAGAATTGAAGCTACCGTCTGGTTTTTTGGAAAAAGTCTTGGAGGATGGAGCACCGGATAACAACTTTTGTAAATTGGAGAGAGGAGAATTGTTGTTTTCTGTATTTGCTTCTAAATTCGATGCTGACGTAAGGGCCGCTGCAGAGCGTGAGCGCGTCAATGTGGATGAATTTAAAACAGAAAAACTATTTAATATGATGATGTCACAAAAGAAAACGATACATAAAGAGATTCTACATGCTGTCAAACTGCTGAAAAATAAAAAAATTCAAACCTGCGCTATCACAAATAATTGGATAGATGACAGAGAAAAAAGCAAAAAAACGATGTCCAAATTTATAGTATCGATTCGCAGATTTTTTGACGTTGTAGCGCAGTCTAGCATTGAAAGAATACGGAAACCAAATCCGGAATTTTTCAAGGTTGCTTGTGACAAGTTAGGCTTCAAACCAAAAGAAGTCGTGTTATTGGATGTCGGCGACGATAACTTGAAAATTGCGTCAGAGCTTGGTATGACGTGTATTAAGGTAGTAACTCCGAAGCAGGCAATTAAAGAACTTGAAAAGATAATTGAGATGGATTTGTCCACTGGAAGAACATCAGATGTTGTGTATCCACCACCATGTAAACCTGATAACGTGCCCCACAGCAGCGTTGTTCTAAAATCAGGGATCATAATTCATTACGTTGACGTCGGTGAAGGACCTGTTGTGATGTTATTTCACGGTTTTCCGGAATTATGGTATAGCTGGAGATATCAGATACCTGCCTTAGCAAGTGTCGGGTATAGAGTTATTGCTATGGATCAACGCGGATATGGTGATTCCAGTTCGCCGTTTGAAATCACTGAGTACACTCAGGAGAAAGTGTGCCAAGATGCCATAGATCTTATGGATAATCTAGGAATCAGTCAAGCAACGGTTGTCGGTCATGACTGGGGTGGTGTCGTGGTTTGGAACTTGGGATTGTTCTATTCACATCGGTTGAAAGGAGTGTGCAGCATAACTACCCCACTAATTGCGGGTGAGTTTCTAAAAATGAAAAATGCAGATGCAAAGTCCAATTCTTATGTGCTTCATGATACCAAGAAACGTACCTGCTTAACATATGAAAATAAAAACGAGAATATCGGTCGGAGACCGAAGACTTATCGATCGAAACTGCGGTTTCGATCCATGACCTTATAGTGACACCGCGTGTCCCATCACTAAATAATTAATAACTCGCTAATTATACGACATAATTCATCCAATCAATAGGCTTCTGTTCCGAGATATGATAAATGCACATGCAAAATTTGGAACAGATTCAACCTCGCTTACGTGAGATATCGCAACATACTTACCGATCAAGATCAATAGGTAACGAGATCGATAAGTAATGCATACACTGTTAAATATTGTGCTAACACCTAGCAGTGTTGAAAATTCACTGGGTGTAATTGAGTGTATGTTCGATACTAGCGATGCAAGATTCTCGTTTGGAATCAATATCGGAATTGTATATAGGCATAGTACTTTAAACCTGAACACGACAAACTTTTTAGATATACAAAAAACGCATGGTACAGCACTCCATTGTTTGCTGCAATCTTGTTTTTCTTTTTGTAGCATTGCGTAAAACTACAAATTTGTTTCAATTATTATAACGATACAGAATATAAGAAACCTTTTTATATTCCAGGTGAGATGATGGAAAAATTTAAAAGGATGACAGATGAGTTTGACTACCAGATGTATTTTCAAGAACCCGGAGTTGCTGAAAAAGAGCTAGAAAGCGATATTCCAAGATCATTCAAACTATTCTTCCTGGGAGTCAATGATCACATTCCTTTTACCGATGAAAAATCAATTGCTGCGGACAGTACGAACGTAACAAAACGCGGAGGAATATTTGTTGGATTTTTAAAAGATGTTGCAATCGGGAAACTTCTAAACGAAGATGATTTGGCCTATTATGTCCAACAATATAAGAAAACTGGCTTCCGCGGACCGCTGAGTTGGTATAGAAACCACGAAGAAAATTTTAAATGGATGATGCAATACCCTGATAGAAAAGTACTGGTACCTTCTTTGATGATCACCGCTTCACACGATTTTGTATTGAAACCGGAATTCTCATTGGGAATGGAAGACAGAATACCCAATTTGTCTCGAGTAGCTTTACAGAATTGCAGTCACTGGGCCACGGTTGACAAACCTGATGAAGTGAACAATGCTGTCATTGCTTGGCTGGACGGTATTCACAAATCTAGCGAAAAACCTATAGTGCAATGATAAGCTCCAACAATGTAAAAGTGCCTACAACGGTTAATTTATATCATTAAACTCAATGTAGCAGCAAGTATGGAAAATGTTGTATTTAACATTTTGCCGTTTTTGAGAATGATCTGCAGTTTTTTTTTCAAATTCGAAGTAAAGAGTAAATTTTTTATTCGGTCTGCGTTGTTTGAATTTCTCACGAGTTTTAAATCAGTGTTAAACGACGAACCCCGGTGTTATTCTGCCAGCTGTCGTCGAACCCCAAAGTTTTGAACAATTGAATCCAGGAGGATAGTTTTGTTCGGGTTATAAAAGATTCAATTGATATGAATATGATGGGTTTTTGTTGAGCATATGCTGAGCTGCTATGGCTTTATTTAAATGACATTCAATATCAATGGATAATCAATCACCCCGCCACGGCGCACGCCACTGGTTATAACAACATTAATTGCAACCAGAATAAGTTTAACTGCACATAGTCATCCTCTGAAATCCCAAAAAAGTCTTGATTAACATACAAAAAGCTTCTCCGAATTTTATGGATCAACTTGGGACCACCAATGACCATTGTAGTGGAACCTTAGAGTAGACTAGCAATACACAGTATGCCACAGTGCTGTCGACGGCAAGGGACTTGTAAATCGAAAGATACCGTAAGTATAAGTTGTGCGGCTGTGAAGGAGAAAAATTGCAATTTTGTATATTACAAAGCTCAAATGATGTATTAAAAGAATTGATGGCTAAACTCATTCATTTATCAGACTTATTAGTATATTATTGATATAAGGTTGTCGTTCTTGCAATTATTCAGCGAAAGACCCCGCGGTTTGTTACAACAACCTGAGATATTTCTATTTCATGCCGAAGGCCCTAAAACCCCATTTTATGGGCGTGACGATGAAGCGAGTATAATACTAGAAAGACGTGGGAGGCAACTATTTCATAGGACCTTGAAATACATCCACCGAACCCGGGGTAAGAGACACTGTTCTAAATGATCATTCTGTGTCACATGCTTACGTTTAGCCTGTTATATCAACCATTTTTACACATCCGTAATCGCGAAATTGATTTACACGCAGCAAAAAATAAATTAAACGAGTTTCAACACAGACGCCAGAAGTTGTAAAACACGCGTCATTCGTGAAATATAAGCATGTTTACTCAGGGACACCCGTGGTGCCATAGTGTGACCTTGCGCTTGCTTAGATGTATGAGGGATACCGTAGACCAGCGTTTTCCAAAGTGTGTTCCGCGAGCGTCTTCCGAATGTTCCGTGGAAAAGGGATCAAAATTACGACTAAATTGGTCGCCATGGCAATGTTTATCACAATTCTGTTAGTTTTCGCGGTGCATCTGGCAACTCGCCACGACGCACTACTGCGTCACGATGTACCCATTGGGAACCACTGACTGCATTACACCATTTTTCTTTATCAATTTTAACCTTTTAATTTTGGTGTTTCGCGAGGCAAGATAAAAAGCGCAAGTGTTCCTTGGCCAAAAAAGTTTGGGAAACGCTGGCGTAGACCAGGCCTGCCCAACCTTTTTCGTCTCGTGGGCCACTTTTCCGTGACGAAATTTGTTGCGGGCCGCAAACGTTTGTACCAAACATTAATACCAGCTAGATCCTGATTTCGGTTTAGGTAATTTACATAATACATTAAAAGCAAGTTTATTAACATATAATCAATCGAATTAATTATTGATTTCTGGTTACTGTGTAAGGCTGGCAAATTATTCGAATATCAAGTCGAATATTAGAATACCCGTTTACTATTCTGGCAGTTTACCGAAATCTGGAAACGCGGGGCGTGGACTTGACACTGGCGAGCCGCCGAAGCAAAGAAACAATCATTACACAACACACTTGTGGTTTTTTAACTACCACACGAGAACACACACATCACGTCAAAAATGAGAGTTATATTTGCGTTATAGTGTTTTCATTCATTCACTTTCAGTAGCCATGATACTGCCTCAATGTTTAAATGAGCAGAATGTGCGCCAATGTAGCGGGAATATCAAGTTTATGTGGGCCGTTTCATGAAGCTTGAATCAAACTTGAAGTAACAGTACAAAGATTTCTGGAAGAATAGCCCATATATACCGATTTGTCTTATATATGTAGCAATGTCAGTAAGTCAATTTTATCAGAATTATTGACGGATAAGCAGTGACGACATTTCCGAAATCTTATTTAACGCAAAAATACAAACATAAAAGGACAACAATTCCCGGGACTAGTACCAAAGATATTGTTGACTTTTTACTTTACGTTGGCGATAAAGACGATCAAAGCCGATACGAAAGAAAGCAATCAGAATGAAATTAATTTGCAAACTTAGGCTCTAAATTCATTCCTATAATTGCGCTCAGCGTTCGTCCCCAATGATCGCACAATATCTTTCGAGTTCGTCGAACAGAATGCACAGTTTAGCGAGAAAAAAAAAACTGACGTCAATGTCCACCAGGGCGCAAGACTTGACACATATGTAATAATAAGCACCGGCATTTGAATGTAGATAAATGGCAGGAATAATCACACCAAAATCACGAAACATACTTAGCATATATATATATTGATATATGACATGTTAAAAATTTTGAAAGTCTGCTTATAAACTTTATAGGGCGGGCCGCAAAAAACAGTCAGGCGGGCCGCGGGTTGCGCAGCCTTGCCGTAGACCAGGCCTGCCCAACCTTTTTCGTTTCGCGGGCCACTTTCAAGTTACGAAATTCGTTGCGGGCCGCAAATGTTTATACCAATCATTAATACCAGCTAAGCCCTGATTTCGGTGTAGGTATTCACATAATACACAAAAAGCAATTTTTTTAACATCAAATCCATCAATTTAATAATTGCTTTCTGGTTACTGCGTAAGGCTGGCAAATAGTTCGAATATCAAGTCGAAAATTGGAATGGCAGTGTACTATTCGAATATCTGGTAACACGGGGCGTGGACATGACAATTGTGGTTCTTTGACGACCACACGAGAGCACACAAATCACGTCGAAATTGAGTGTTATATTTGCATTATATAGCGTTTTTATTCATTCATTTTCAGTAGCTATGATACTGTCTCAATGTTTAAATGAGCGTAATGTGGGCAAATGTCGCGGGAATATCAAGTTTAAGTTGGCCGTTTCGTAAAATTTGACACCAATACGAATATTTTATAAAGTAATATTACGAAGATTTCTGGACAAATACCCTATTTATATACTGATTCGTATACTGAACCAATATGCAGCAATGTCAATTTCTTCAGAATTCTTGACGGATACGCAGTGACGACATTTCCGAAATTTAATTTACCCAAACTATTGATGAAACAAAAACATAAAAGGACGAGTATCAAAGATATTGTTGACTTTTTATTTTACGTTGGCGATAAAGACGATCAAAGCAGACACGTAAGAAAACAATCAGAATGAAATTAATTTGCAAATTTAGACTCCAAATTCATTCCTATAATTGCGCTCAGCGTTCGTCCTCGATGATCGCACAATAACTTTCGAGTTCGCCGAACAGAACGCTCAGTTCAGCGAGAAATAAAAAAAAAACTGACGTCGATGTCCACCAGGGTGCAAGACTTGACGCATACGTAATAATAAGAACCGGCATTTGAATGCAGATAGATGACAGCAATAATCACATCAAAACCACGAAACATACTTAACCTATATATTGATATGGAACATAGTAAAAACATCAAAAGTCTACTTACAACTTTATGGGGTGGGCCGCAAAAAACAGTCCGGCGGGCCGCGGGTTGGACAGCCTTGCCGTAGACCAGTGTTTCCGGACCCGAGTCCGCGGTCTCAAATGAGTCTGCGGAGCGTTTGAATGAGTCCGCACGTGCCAGAAATTAACTATCAGCCAAGTTACGATTTACGTTAGAATTTACATAAAACATAAAAAGCAAGTTTATTCACATAACATTAATCGAGTCAATAATTAGTGGTTACTGAGTAGGGCTGGGCATATATTTGAATATTCAACTATTAGAATAGAAAATTTACTATTCGAATCTTCAGTAACAGGTGATGCGACGGGTCACTTGCGCGTCGCCTAATCAAACGATTGGATTTCACAGCTCAATTGCGGAATTTCCGACCAAAACACGACGGCACTCGCGTCTCGCGAATTTATTTCGTTAACTCACTCAGATTGAATTGATCACAATTAAATTAATAACAAGCAAGGCATTGAATATGTATTTTCGATTTACCAATATCTTTTAAAAAGTACTAAATCAAGTTGTACTTTCTGGAAATGTATAGCAGATGCTTTCATCTTGTCGTAAGTCGACACATCCGCGAATTGAACACTATTAAATTAAAATAGAAAGAATTTTAAATTCTCGTCGTTATCATGTATTGAATATTGTTTGACAGTGAAGGTATTAATTGAAAAACCGATTTTGGAATTCGTTGAAATTCTGTTGTGTTCGGTTTTATTGCTTCTTCGCACAGAGTACGGTTGCAATAAACGCACCTTGAGTCCGCAAAGGTTTTCGCCGGTGAGAAAATAGTCCGCGATCAAAAAAGGTTGGGAAACGCTGCCGTAGACTATACAAATGTGTCAGAAGATTATGATAATTCTTTACCAAACGAAGAATCCCGATGAAGTTAGTTGACAAAAGGGTTGTTCCGAAGCATTCGTACCAAGATGGCGCACAGTCTGATCATAGTATGTGTACCAGGTTAAGGCTGTGCAGGTTGTGCGTCATCTTGGTACGAATACTTCCGGAGCGCCGTTTCCGTGAGTAAATTCATGGAATCGTAAGACCCACCTGCACTATATTCTAAAAGTGTAGTTGAATAATATGTTAAAATGTAATTCTCATCGTTGCTCATTGGCACCATCAACTATAATCTAAGGTAAAAATGTAGTATTGATCGTCAAGGGAATTCATTTTATATCTTGACGTATCAGGAACTTGTGTCTTCGTCCAACAAATTTGCACTCTTGGTTTGCATTCGGAATTCGCTTTTTGTGTTTCGGAGCTAGGTTCGTATATCGGTATTGTTTATTTTTAGTCGATTTCTGATGATACACGAATCTCCGTCGCTCGATTTTCTGACATTTCAGTCTCCCGCATCAGTCTCCCGCAGTAGAATTTCTTGTAACTTGCCGCTTACTGAAAATTTTAAAAACGATTTTATCTCTTGTCATTCGTTCTTTGCTTTCAAAATTCCAGGAATCGGCTTTACTAAGTAGTTCAACGAGGAATGTATATATCAAAACTGTCTTTGTACTGGAAATTGAAAAAGCGAAATGTCTCCATCACCTAATTCATCCGAGGATTACAGTGTTCAGCCATTTTCTATAGTATGACTCTCGGGTCATTTTCGGCAATGCATTATTAGCCATCATCTACTATACCAATCGACAATATTGTCATTTCACGTGGCCAAAATTATATTTCCCTCCAAAAATCTCGAGAAATTTACATATATATAATACCGTATTTGTTACCGGGTCCCATGCTAGAGGTTGCTTGGGTGTTTTTCTGATTTAGTGTTTTGCTTTTGAAATATACTAAGAATGCTTTGTCTCATAATGACGTTTATATTGAATACCTTGTTTATAACAAAAAATAATTGCAAAGTGTACATCCGGGTTTATTGGAGTGTATTATGAAAAGTAGCCTACTTCAATCAATCAATTTTATTTCGGTCACTCTGAGAAACAAAACAATAACAAACGGCAAACAAAATGCAGAGGACCTGAAGGACGGGCATAACTTAATAAGAAAGTTAAAAATGTACTTTTAAATCAATTTTAAATCAAATGTGAGACGTGTATGTGTATAACAACAGTGCTTATCCTACAAAAATATGGAATAAAAAACACTCGTTGACGTAAAATGGTGACTAGGGATGTAGGTTTCAGAATTTCGAATCGGAGCGATTCGAATCAAACCTAATTCAAATCGATTCGAAGCAATTTTAGAAAAAACGGCTCATTCTATTTAAAAAAAATGATAATTTAGATAACCGATCTAAAGATCGATAAGTAACGATCTAAAGATCGATAAGTAATAATTGATAATAACGATACCACATTTTTATTGCGACAAAGACTGCCTAATGCCTGGCATAATACGGAAAATATTGTTTCAAACAATGGTATAGTTTGAAATTCAAATAATTTCTCTGGAATAAATACTAAAGGCTATCCTTTTTTAGATGTCGCCACCAATGGTCGCCACATATTGAGGTGGCGGGATCATCATTTGAGTGTAGTGGAGCGTAAATGCAGCGCTCAGTATTATCATCCATATAAAACAAGATGTTATTCTGCAGTGCTTCATTTCGCGTCTGGCCGTTGTGTCAGCGCGGTCGTTCTGCTCATTTCCGGCATGTTTGCATATTGTATAATATTTAAATGACTCAAGAAAGATCGCGATCCTTAAGCTAAGACGTAAGCGACGATTGGTGCGTTCACAACAATAATCTATCTTTTAGTCAGATTTGGTAACGTTAAATCTGTGGGACAGTGATGGGTAAAACAGTTCAAATTACAGAATTAACGGTGGTGGGGAAACAGGAATAGTTAGGTCTCACGTTCACAGAGCGGCGTTCATGGGAGAAAATTATGAGCATAGAATTTTGTTGACATGCGGGAACTGTCAGAATTAGAATGAAGTCGAATTCAGAAATCTTACTGCAGTACTGGTTGGCGGGTGGGCAATTCCCTGATACCTGTGATACAGTGATATTTTTGTGTTAAGGGACTTCAGGATATACTGACATATAAAGATATTCGACAGGTGTCACGACGCAGGGCTATGGCATGATCTGATCTAAATGTCAATTTTACATACTGACATATACAGCATATATACCAATTTAGCTCTGACTTCCTGACCTCTGGCTGTCATGATTTCCTGTTCCTAACTCTTTTTCAGTTCTGCCTGCTTGTTAATTAAGCTTGTACTATCAGACTAGAGGAATGTAATACTATGGCAGTTTGATGTAATTCAACAAGTCACCAATTGTAAAATAATTGATAAAACTCCAACAGTGAATGTCCAGCTACATCTCTTGGCTTCAAACTACTACTTAAACCTTAATAAACCTGAGGAAAATCAAAAGACCTGTATCATGCATGGGCTGAGGCAGCTTCGGAAAATTAATGCCTCCTCTCCCCTGTTTCGAAATAAACAATATATACAGAAAAAAACATTTGCGACAGGATATGTTTGCATGTCAAAAAATCAGAAGAGATCTGTTGATCACCATGTAGAAGAGAATGTTTCGGACAATAGACTTAACACACTCATACCTGCACATGACAACTTTGCTGATAGACACAATGGGCCAACAACTGAACAGAAAAAGGAAATGCTAGATTATTTAGGATTGAAGGTATAAATTGATACTTCCAGTAGTCCGGAGGATATATAATATTTTTTCAATGTAGATGTAGATGGTAGTATCTATGAATCGAGGCTTTCTAGTTTAAGAAAAACAATGTAGGCTTATATATCACCAAAATTATGGTATGAATAAAATGTATCCAAAATTTTATGAGTATCAAATATAAAAAGTAAACGATCATTCATATAGCAGGAAATTTTTTTCTTTGCTTTAAGAACATGCAAGAACTTATTGACAAAACTATTCCGAAAAATATTCGTATGAACCGAGAACTTGATCTGGATGACGCTATATGTAAGTATATGTAGTTTACAGAGGCCCTGATTAGGAAATCCACTGTTTATACCGATTAACTGCTGTAACCAAAATTTTGAAGTTCTGGAATTTTAATAAATGATTTATGTATTACCATCTTTGATCTGACACAAAAATATTGCATCTTTATATAACTGCTATTCTCCATATATCTGTTTTTATTTATTGTTCACTGTCATATGACATTACAGCGATATTTGTCTTGCCCTATGGCTATTTGCTTGCAGCATAAGCAGGAATGTCTTTATTTGAAAATATCATTTTGGGTGAACAACAACGTAAATTAATATCTTACAGATGATGCCGAGCCGTCGCAATTTTTACATCTACACACTTTTGAGCAGTTGAATAATTTCAACAAATTTGATCATTTTTGTCAGGTTGAAAGCGCGAGCAGATGATAAAGTATTCCTTAATATTAAATTCACAGTGCACTGGAAATTATTTCTCGACCAACGATTGGAAATGCTGACCTATAGTTTTATTATTGTAAACTAAAACAATAGCCAAATGAAATATTATCTTCACCTTATCGGCCATCATAGGCGTTTGAGAGGCGTCGTGACTTTAATTTGTCCACTCATTTGTGCTCAGTGCGTTGTCCGCTATTATTGTTACTTATAAAGTTTAAACACAAAAATATCAGTTGATTTTACATTTCATTTTTTACTTTGTTTTTCGATTTTAAAACCCACGGTCGCTGAACGTAATACCGAAGCGGTGCTGTGCGATTACTTTATGCTATAGATAGCAATGACGTTGTTGCACGCTAATTTAATGTATGGATGATAGTGTGTTTTTTATTTCACCGTCTAATACCTGATTTGAATACTATACAACTTATTGCCATCCGTATATACAAATTGGCGTTGACGTATCCTTTTTATTAGCCGCAAATTTATACCAGACGATCTTTTTTTTTTTTTAATAAACAAGGTTAATTTAGCCATACATTTTCATCTGTCGCCGATGTGCGTGATGGATTTTTTTTAATAAATAAAGTTAATTTAGTCATACGTGATGGAAATCAAACTTTCCTTGCAGATTCTTGGGAAGCCGATTGAATTGTCCACTTTCACTCCATTGTTCGTCTGCGTTGAAAACCGGTTTTGGTCGGATTTTTCTGCATTTTGAAACGCTCGCGCCATTTCTCCGTTCCCCCGAGCTCGTTCGCTTTTTGTTTCTTTGTTTCTCTCACTTCGCTCGCGTATGCGCCGCGTGTGACACACCTCCAATTCCAAATTTGGTGGGGATTTCCCTAATATGGGAAGCACGACTTCGAGTAACCTTTCTCGTTGTCGAACGAGTCCATCCATACGTAGCGACTAAACAACACTTCAGCGGAAGTTAACCAACCGCGCTCAGCGTTCAGATAGCTTACCGCAGGTAGTTTCGCTATAATACGGAAACAATATTATACTCATTAAAGTGTGCTGCCGCTCACGACCATCGATCAAACTAATATTAGAAATATAGGTTCCGTTAGCTCGCAAAAACAGATTTGATATTCAATTTTTATCAATATAAACGGTGACCGTACATTTGAACCCATGTACATTTGAACCCATACGTATATCCACGGGTTCAATCTATATGCGGGTGCTGAAACCCATGGGTTAGGGTTAGTATAGGTTTAACTATCCGTGAAACAAAAAAAATTCCATAGGTTCCATAGCATACAGGTGCAATTGTCATGGGTTCAAATGTACGCGGGTTCAAATGTAATGGAACCAATATAAACACCGTAAGGGCAATCGGTAATTTCCAAATTTGTTGTTTTACTTTTATCCTACATTTATCCATAGTCTTCATATGAAAATTGGTAGAATTTTTTTGAAAGTTACCTGGAAATTCGGTGGCATTGCAGTTGTACCTATCCTTATATGACATCCAGTATAATTTGGTCTCTATTCGACATATGGTACAATTCTTTTAAAAGTTACCTAAAATTTTGGTGGCATTGCAGTAGTCATTTGTGTCCATGCATGCTTTCATGTTTTCTCGTATGATTGTAGAAAACAACGTATTTGCAATGTATTTCCGTCTTGAACCAGCAATGGCATTTCTGTTCATAATTCAAAAAGGTTTTACACAATTTGAATGCCTTGTAGTAGTTCCTGCAGTTGACTAAGCTATTGCATTGAGAGTATTTATTCTTTTTTAGGTGAAAATGAAATTCTCCAAACACTGCGTACTTTGGCAAACAAAAATCAAAGTGAATGGCGATCATACATAGGAATGGGTTATCATAATTGCTCTGTGCCAAGAACTATTATTAGAAACATGCTTGAAAATCCTGGATGGTAAGCACTAAGATAAATAGTATTTTTGATCAATAAACTCAATAGGTAATTATAAATAGAGCGAACTTGTCATAATTAACAAATCATTACAATTTGCAATCAATCGATCATATTATACAGGTCAATATATTTACGATTACTGATGTACAAGATTAGTAACATCTTATGAAATTGGCCATCATCTAGCAATACCAAAACAATTGAAAAAATATTTAATATTCTCATTGTCCTTACACAGTATGCCAAGCTTAATATAGCTTTGCTTTTCGTTATGGTAACAAATAGGTACTTTTAGAAACTGCTTTAAAAGTACCATTGATGTTGAGGACATAACATCAAGAGCCATTCATCAGAGTATTATTTTCTTTGGTGAGGTTGCAATACCGGTACTTCAAATTCAAAGTACTTGCGTTTAAATATCGATTAGCTATTTCGACAGACAGCTGTTATTATTCTTTTATAATTCTTGCCGGACATGCAATCACGAAATATTTTAGCCATATGAACGTTATTCATGATTCAATCATTCTAACATTTTTAACAATGCAAGTATTCGATCATTTTATTCAAATTTTTGCATGCTTTATTTAATCACTATATCAGGGAAGGCGAACTCTGGCTGGCCTGTCGCAATGTGACTGGTCATGTTTTTTCCGGCATCACTTCAAATTACGAAATATTGCAAAATACTTTTCATGGTCAGGGGAAAAGAATTTATAGTGAAGCTGGCCTTAATTTAATCTAACAATACTGAACTGCTAGTAGTCCCCGAATGCAGCTACTGGCAACAATTATATAGTCGTAAATGCTTTTCGGTTCTAATCATAGTCAGGCAAATCCATTCTTTTTGCACATAAATTTCATAAAATCTATGCAGAAAGATTATCTTACATGATACCATCCAAGGATTATGGAACTTGCGGACAGGATACAACTGCAAGTTTGCTATGATGATGGATTAAATATATGCCCAACAATATCCTATTTGTGCTACCGATTGGGTTTATAGTATACAAGACTAACTACTTCTCCTTTATCGATGCTTTTGACCCGGTGGATCCGTATGCATATAATGCAAGGGTGCTGTAGCAAGACTGAAGAATACTATCCTAAGTGATTCAATAGTCTTGCTGCATACTAACACAAATATATTTCTGTAACGTTTAGTTTCGTCTGTAAGTTGTACTATGGCTGTCTGAGAAATGTTACAGAAATATTATACACTTAGAAATACACTTAATATTCTATTTCATTATAAACATAATGTGACCCATCCATAGGTTATATGAACATCATTCAAAGGTTCATGTAGGTCTGTCTCTTTTTTAAGAAGTTCTGCTGTAAGCAGTGTATGAACTTGGCATTCATTTTCTATAACAGGTCAACCCCCTACACACCATATCAACCTGAACTTGCACAAGGTCGATTGGAAAGTTTACTTAATTATCAAACTATGGTTGTAGATTTAACAGGTAAGAAAAGTACTTTTATTTTTGTTCAGTGACGAATATTTTTTATTCATGGCCAAGCATGGATAATTTATGAATAAAAATGTTCGGATCTATCACTCACTGAACTAAAGATAGAAATTTGTAGGCATTGTAGAAATGCTTGATTAGAAATATGGAATTTAGCTTCAACGCAATTTTATCAAAAATTATATTATGTTCCCATCTTAATCTTTGTTTATTTCATGCAATCCAATCTTCATGGCTTAAAGCAGGGGTGTGCAAAACGCGCCCCGCAAGGGAACTTTGTGCGGCCCGCGGAGGCAACTGAAGAGCAGTTTAAAAAAATTTAATATAAAAAGATACAAAAGCTGAATGAGTTTTGGTTCCAGCCTATCAATTAATTTTGTCTAAATCTAACCTAGAATAGGATTTGACGGCAAATTATTTGGAAATTAATCTTGGTGTATTTTACTGAAAACCTTTCAACCAAGATAATTATTCACATATGACACTTTTCGGTAACGTATTTTTTTCTAAAATGGGTGTCATATCGATTTGCTAGCACCTCCATAATAACAAAAAGACACCATTTTATGCCTGCAACTAATAGAAAGCTTGAGTTTAATGTAGGTGCGGCCTGCGATTTCAGGCGGTTATTGATATTTGGCCCGCCTGCGAAAAAGGTTGCACACCCCTGGCTTAAGGGGTTAGGAATACTCTCGCCTCCGATTACCCTTTGTGGGTTTGTAGGTTCAAATCTCATGCTTAGATAGGTATGTGTGAGAGGATTGCTGGATTCCCCTCCGCCCTAGGGTGGTTCACGTAACCCCTGGTCAGTTACGGCTTCCTCCAACATCAAGTCCATGCTTCCAAAAATAAATAACTGGCTAACTTATCACATACCTGACATGGACTGATAGGTGATAGCCAAATGCGAGGTCGTGGTTCGGCATTTGATTAAGCCGTTTTATGGGCTTTCCTTCCTCCCGGGATAAATATGTAAGTCCTATCAATCCTATCATATATATTCAGAGCTATAATCTTTTTTGTGAGGTCTGTAACACTGCAATTAAGTATTTTAGTAGACCGTAAATGATCGACCCATTGAGCAAGAAAATTATGTGCGAAAATATAGAGCATGTTGTTTCGCTTTCACTGAATTATGGTTTCGTATTGGAAGATGAAACTTTGCTTTCGGGAACTTTATCACTATTAGCCTTGTCGGATTTCGCTAAAATTGTTGTAATAGAATATTATAATCTCACAGAATGATTTGATGTTTTTGTGTTTTTCAGGTCTTGATATCGCTAATGCATCATTGCTTGATGAATCAACTGCAGCAGCAGAAGCTATGTCACTTTGTTATCGTCATAGCAAAAGAAACAAGTTTTATGTCGATGAAAACGTCAACCCACAATCTATAGATGTCGTACGAACAAGAGCAGAGTATGTGTTATATAATATGAACTTGAATTTTTAATACCATGTGTTGAATTCAAATTTTTCAATAAACATCTTGTATCATATATAGAAAATTTTTTCATTTTTCCCAGACATGGTTTACATAAAAAATGAATTGTATCCTGTATGCAACCGGAAGATTTTACTGTAATAATTAACAAAATGAAAGGCATTGTGTGATTCATTGTGTTTACCGATATTTGATATGGGAAATGATTCACCGACAAACCTAATGGATCACTTTCATCCATTACGCTAACTAAATTGACCAGTTAACTGATAGAAGCGCAACATGAATCAATCTCATCTCATTTTACATGTAATAAAATTGGAAAATACATCTTGCTATGTTACGATTCTGAGGTAGTTTGTAAATATTTTAATATCGATGCAGATATTTAGTGTAAATTACATGACAACATTGTGTGTCGGGGAACATCGTAAATACAAAGCTTTGGCTATTGTTTGCATTACTTACTGAAAATATTCATTTGCCTATATTCTTTCGATATTTGATACCTTTCGATTTGTGCGAATTAATTTTTATTGATAGAATTTACAGTACAAGATGGAGTGTTTTCTTGGCTGGCGTATGGTTGATAATTGTACTTATCGGTTAATTGTTTCAAGTGTTATTGGAAATAACTAAATTGTATTTCATCACACTATAAAGTATAGTTATTTGCTTTTATTAAATATCTTCGTTTACTGCAGGTTACTTGGTATTGAAGTATTTGTGGAAAAATGGGAGAAAATGGATTTCAGTTGTCATGACTTCACCGGAGTTCTCATACAATATCCAGATACAGAAGGAAGAATAATAGATTTTTCTACTTTGGTTGAACATGCCCACATGTATGGGGTTAGTTATGAATTGGATTCTAGTTTTATTGAACCTTTAATACGAGAGGGCCACATTGAAATAACTGGGAGAAACAGTGGGCCGCATTTAACATAGGCTTTAAAGTAGTTGCAAGCATGTAAAATTTGGTTATTGATCTTATGACATGCGTTGTTCGCTTCGTACGAGCTATCTGGTAGCGCATTGTAACGTATTGGGATTACTCGCACATACCAGATTGAACTGAATTAAAAACTCGTTCCGTGGGTAGCACACAATTGAAAATTGGCACGTCTCCGCGGGCCCCACAAATTTTCCTTGTGGGCCGCATTTCACCCGCGGTCCGCAGGTTGCACACACCTTCTTTATTATATGAGATATATAATCATACTGTATTCTTGTATTTTAGTCACTTGTTGCTTGTGCGACAGATTTACTGGCCCTAACGTTACTGAAGCCTCCTGGAGAACTTGGATGTGATATAGCCTTGGGCACTGGTCAAAGATTTGGAGTTCCACTTAATTATGGTGGACCACATGCTGCCTTTTTTGCAGTTAAGGACAGCTTCAAGCGTCTCATGCCAGGAAGAGTTGTGGGTGTCACAAGGTAGTGTTCTATATCCTCTTTTGTTTACCGTTTATTTCATTGGGTCTTGTTGAAGTTTTCTGGATATAGGCTACTCCTACTCTGGATATGTATGAAAATCCTATCCTATGGCAGGGGTAGCTAACGGTTGGCAAAAAGTTTTGAATATTTCAGATATAATAATGGATGAAATTGTGATACTTATACACAGCCTTTCTGATTATGGAAATATTTTTTTAGAGATTCACACGGAAGTGAAGTATACAGATTAGCTCTACAAACAAGGGAGCAGCACATTAGGAGAGACAAAGCAACATCAAATATTTGCACTGCCCAAGCTTTGTTGGCAAACATGTCTGCTATGTTTGCAGTTTACCACGGACCTGATGAGTTGCGACATTTGGCAACTCGTGTACATCATGCCGCATTACTTCTGGCGCATGGTAGGATTTACAGCGTTCACTTGTTAGTTGTTACCAGATATGTCTTGCAATAAGGGCTGCGCATTTCAGCTGAAAGCCTTAAATATTCAGCCAGACAAAATTGACCTGTTCACTCGAAGTGTTCGACACTACTAAAAAATATATAATTGTTAATAGCATTCACTAGGCATTCTTAAATTACAGTCATATGATTATGGGGAAAATATTCTCATTGGAATCCTAGTTTTAACTTTGCCTAACTGCATTTCCACATTCTTTGCATTTTCTTTTTCTTATTTTATACAGTTTCTTGGTGTTTATTACCAAGATTTACTGATAGCTCTTCGAATACAGAACAATAAGTTTGTGGAAATTTTTTTTGTTAGGTGTGAATGAACACTAGAAAAGGGTGTAGGCCTACTACCTGGGAAATCAAAAAAACTAATTATTTTTTTCTCAGTCCTGGTAGTAATGTATCTCACAAAGGATGATTTGGTGAATATTACATATGCCATACCCAGTGTTCCTCCCTGTTTGCTCATTTTAAAATACATGGCAAAAGCAATAATCATCTTCCATCCTTAGAATTGTTGTTTAATATTTGAGGTAACGTTTATGTTTCAGGTATCAGACAAGCTGGTCATTATGTTCGTCATGCATCATTTTTTGACACTCTGAAGATTCAACTCATGACAGATGTAAGAGAAGTTTTGTTAAGAGCTGGAGAAAAGAAAGTCAATTTAAGAATGTACAACAATGGCCAGGTTTGTGATTAATAATATTATACACTGTAAGATGAGTCACTTTAAATTTAGCGTTGTGTTCAAAATTGTAGAAATTATGATTGAAATTTTTTTCTAGATCGGAGTTGCTCTTGATGAAACTGTTAAACATTCAGACATTGATGATCTACTTTATATATTTGGATGCGATAAAACAGCAGTAAGATTATGATTCATATTAAGTTAATTTATGTTATGTTAGATATTCGTGTAGCTAACATGATATTTCAGTGAGTTACGACTTTTTATAACTTGCTATATACACGTATAGGTGGAGTTCCATAATTGTTAGCTATTCTTTTATGTAAGCTGGGGCTGGTGCTGGGTGACCACTGGGTGACTTTGTACCTAATTTGTTGGTTTGTGACCCGTATCGTCAATGAGGTTCGAAAAGTGGCCCATGACATATTTTGAGTTGGAGACCGTTGTTCTGAGATTACACATATAAGACTTCTCAAAAATACTATAAAAACGAGTGTAGCATTCTATTAGAATTGAAGTAGAATCATTTTGACCAGGATGTGCATTGCTGATGATTAAATTTTAAATTGATTCAGACTTCTATTGATGAGTTGAAATGTATAAATTTTAAATTTTAGGCTGAATTATCTGAAAATCTTCCAGAAATTCTGGAACAAAGTATTGGAAATTCAGATTTAAATCGAACAAGTGAATATCTCACACATCCGGTATTCAATATGTAAGATTTGTTTTAATATGTTATGTGACGTTTATATTTCTACTGCAATACTCAATATAATTTGAAGTCTGGGAAAATTTACACCCGACTTTAAAACTCTCGAGCTATATTATTTATTTTCTTTCAATTAAGAAATTTTGACTCTAGATTTGAACTTCAAATAAAATAAAATAAACAAAAACCTTGGCGTACACAACCTTCTTTCATCGTGTATTTGGAATGTTTAGTCAGCCTATTGCATTTGGAGTTACTATCAGAAATTTTTACATTAACTATCATTATTGAAAGTCTTGAATTCCGGGTCGAGTGAATTCTATTTTTTGACTCTTAACATCCGACTCTGGGGCTTTGAAAATATGACTCTAGTACAGGGATGGGCATGGTTCTTGGACCTGGGGCTTTTGCCCATCTAGATTTGCGGGCCATGTAAGTGTGACGTAAAAGTTACATTTTATGAACATTATTTACAGTGTTACAAAAGCGAAAGTGGGAAACAATAAGCCTCGTGCTAAAACTAGATTTCATCACAATCTCAATAAATTCCTCCAGCTATTCTAAGCTTGAACATCAAAATATGGTTTTAGTTTGGTTGTGGCAGCATCAGGCAGCCCAGACCGAATTGTCCATGTCAGCTGTAGTATCAATGAATTATATAAAGAGATCTTGCCAATTTGCTATTCACATATTGACCAATTTGGAATAGCCACATTTGTATATTCAATTCAAATGTAATTAAGAAATGTGTGTGTATCAGTTGTATTTAGTGTCACATAACAATTTTTTTTATTTCTCCAACCAAACATATTTTCATTCAATTTACTCTTTTCATTTTTGAGTGAAACACAGTGGAAACTACTTTTTAGTAATTTTATTTGGTAAGGATAAATAATACATCCTAATCATTTTGTAACTCAATGAATTTATTTTCAGGTATCATTCTGAAACCAACATAGTTCGATATATGAAGAAATTAGAAAATAAAGATGTTTCTCTTGTTCATTCAATGATACCATTGGGATCTTGTACAATGAAGTTGAATGCCACAGCTGAAATGGAACCAATTACATGGAGAGAATTTGCTGATATTCATCCTTTTGTTCCTCTCGACCAAGCGAAAGGGTTTGTCTTTTGTTATTATCGTTGTTTATGATACGTTTTCACTTTGAACAATGCCTTGTACAAATAGTCACTGAATGTAGACAGCTCTTATCGTGTTTCTCCGAAAATATTACCTAGCCTGAAAATAATACACAGCCTGATAATAATACCAAGTCTAAATTTTTAAAATGATTCTAATATGAGTTCTCCCCTTGAAATAAGACCTAGTCGATGCGTGAAATTTTTTTTGACCTAGTCGATAGCAAGAAATCTCTTCTACACGTTTTAAATATTTAATAATCTAGGTTTAGCTGTTATTTAAAATAAAATGTGTAATTTACAAGTAAATGGATATCGGTTTTCAAATTTTGTATATTTTGAAAATCTCATAATTCTCTAATTTGTAATTTCGTTTTTGATAAATGAAAATAAGACATCCCCTCCCAAAATAGTTCCTAGTGTTATTTTCCGAATAAAAATTGAAATACACTATTTTTGGAAGAATTGGTTTCTTAGTATTTCGGTATTGTCTCGTCATTTTATTACTTCCTTTGTAAGATGATTGTGGATATTTTAACCAGCGACACCTGTATAGTTATACCCAACACTTTATATAGACAGTCTGCATATTTTTACAAATCTCGAGTTGACGGAAGATATTTTTTTAATGAACATTTCTAGAACATTATTTTTTTATTCTTTCTTCTAATATATGAATATCATCTTGATTCTCAACAGATATCAAGATTTGTTTCGTGAAATGGAGCGAGATCTCTGTGAAATTACTGGGTATGACAGCATTTGTTTCCAGCCTAACAGGTGGGATATGTAGATAATAAAAGTTACTATATGAATGTACAGTTTTCAAGATGTAAATACAGAATGAATAGTTGTTAGAACACATTAAAAATTTATATAGAGAGTTATATTTGGAATATATCTCTATTCATTCAAAATATTGATGAAGAGATTTTCATCTGATATCAGACCTTTTTATAGAATATTTTCTCATTATGCACTTAATTTCATTCAAATAGAATTAGGTTATGTAAGAAATATGCTGAGGGGGTTTGCATGTGCCAAATACTTGACTTTCTCTTATATGGATGTTAAATTTTTTTTTGACCTGGAATCTTAGACTAACTTTCTGTTTGCCAGAAACTAAATACACAGTCAATTCAATTATCTTTCCCCTAATGAAGGGTGAAAATAATTTGTGAAAAATAAATTTCCCAATTTTTTTTTTTTTGATTCTTTGCGATCACCAATCTTATTTGCTTTATATACTCTCCAAAAGCTTTTTAATTGGCGCTTTTTACCCTCACCCACTGACATATATTCTATTGTTTGCCACTACTAACCAAACAAATATTTTTTCAGTGGTGCTCAGGGTGAATTCACAGGACTAGCTGCAATCCGAGCATACCTGAGAGCGAAAGGTGAACAGAAGAGAACTGTTTGTCTTATTCCAACATCAGCTCATGGCACTAATCCGGCATCTGCACAAATGTGTGGCATGCAAGTCGTGCCAGTTAAAGTGAACAAAGCTGGTTCAATAGATTTGGATGATCTTAGTAAAAAGGTTTGCAAATTCATGCTTATCGAATTTTATTCATTTTCATGTTAAAATAAATTAATAAACTTTGGAACTAGATTGGACAGATTATGTTTTTTTGGACAATCTGCTTATGAGTAAATAATATTTCAGAAAAAAGGCACTGTTTGAGTAATTAGGTACTCCTGCAGTGTGTGTACCAGGTTTGGGTTAGGCCATAATTTTATTCCTATTTTCCCTTATTCCAATTTAGTTCTATTACGAGTTTGGGGACTGTCTGCGTTAGCCCAGTGAATAAACCCCCTGCCCATAAGTTTTCGTCCCTTTACAAAACTTGATGTAAAGTAGGCAAACAAATTTAGTTACCGTACCTCCATATTGGTACACATACTTCTGGAGTGCTGTAATACCTATGTAGATAAGTCGACTCGTCCAAATTCAGTTCAATTTTAATCCGATTAAATACTGTGAAATACCATTTCTGCTCTGTTTCTTTTTATTAAATATACTCTTAAATTGTATAATTTTTTTAAAAAACTTTTCAATATGATTTTTATATTTTAGGCTAATAAATATGCTGATTTTCTTGCTGCAATCATGCTGACATACCCATCTACAAACGGAGTATTTGAAGACGATATCATGGACACTTGTAATCTAATACATGAACTTGGAGGACAAGTATATGTTGATGGTGCTAATATGAATGCACAGGTGATACTAAAATGTAGTGTAGTAGAATTTAGTTTGTATGAGAATTCTTCTTTTATGTGGTCTTCGTGTCGTTAACCTCCACGTTATAACAAGTTGGTTACTTAAACACATTATAATAATGTAGTCCCAGAGGAATTTTTCTAGTGTAAGACAAACCACACTGGAATGAGTAATTCTGATTGGCTGTTGCTATGGTATGTGTTTTGTATACTTACATATTTGAGTGATGTTATATGACTTAATAAAATTCTTACAAGGGGAATTTCTTTTGTAATTGAATGTTACAATAAAATTTGATAGGCTAGTGTGGTAGGTGCACATATCAAGTCAGTTATAATGATCAAAATCCCCAATCTCTTTACAACAGTATAAATAGCATGGTGATTTAAGAATTTTCTAGAAAATGTTATTTCAATTTGGAATAGTCGTAATTTTAAATTAAACAACAAAGTCTTTTTGTAGAGTATTTATCTTTTTATGAGGGTTATCATACCTTAACACTGAGAAAAGCTCATTATTACTGGTAGGTAAAGAGTTACTGTTTTTAGAAAAACTAGAATCTTTACAGTTCAGCATATGTTATTACACCTTGTATGAGGATGTGGGCATGGGGTTTAAATGCAAAAACTTTACTCTCTGATGCTAACATTGTTAAGTCTTCAATGCTCGCAATATTTTGATGTGTTGGCGATCAAATACATTTTCGCACTCTAAATTCCTAAAAGACATTTTTTATTCATATTGATTACAATTTCTATTATTATTCAAACTTCATTTTGAACATTCTCACCTAAGACTGTATAACTCTGCACTCGTTGTCTTGGCACCAGGGGCATAGCAAGAGGTGTGGCTGTGTGGGGTTGCCCCCTCTTTGAAATGTAAAAAAAAGCATTTTTCTGTATTATACCTAGCAATTTTCCGTAGATTGAAATGCCACAGACTCTTGAAAACCCATGTTTCATTGGCTACGCCCATGCTTGGCACTACCATTTATGAAGTAATTTCCATATTTCCATTCAGGTTGGGCTCTGCAGACCAGGTGATTATGGATCTGATGTATCACATTTAAATTTACACAAAACGTTTTGTATACCCCATGGTGGTGGGGGTCCAGGAATGGGGCCGATCGGAGTCAAAAAACATTTGATACCATTTTTACCTACACACCCAGTGGTCCCACCTCCAGGATCACTGTTTCCGGGAGCAAAACCCCTTGGGGTAGTAAGCGCAGCTCCATGGGGTTCATCATGTATTTTACCTATTTCTTGGGCATATATTAAGGTAAGAGGCTAATAAATATGTGATTATATCTGGGCCTTTGATATTTGTGGAATGATTAAGCCTACTTGAAACCAATATACATGCCAAGCTCAAATGCTATGAATATCTGCTTATAGATATATTTATATTTGCTACTTAATTGTCTCAAAGTTGCATTTTTAGTAAAGGATAATAGATGCATGATTTTTTGACTGGTTGCAAAAAAGACATTTTTCCTAATTGTCAGTATACATTTTGTGTAGTTGCACTTAAAAACAAACAAACACCTGTCTATATGGCAGTTCAATAGCCTTCACAAAGGAAGCCACCTATTCAAATGGTGATTGGAAGTTGGAACCATATATGTCCATTCCAACTCGTAAATAAAGTGTTATATGAAATTATAGTCTTTACAGCAGTTGTAGTAAAGGAGCTAGCAACTAACCAGAATATATCCATTATAATTACGATAGTTGTAATTGGAAAAGGCTAATTTTTGCCATATTGTGTTTTAGTTGATGGGAGCTAAAGGATTACGAGAGGCATCCGAGGTAGCAATTTTAAACGCAAATTACATGGCGAAAAGATTACAAAAGCATTATGATGTACGTATAAATTGCTCGATATTTCATAATTAAATAAATTTAATTTTTTTTTTGTATACTAGTTACTATTCATAGGTTTATTTTAGGTTTTAAAATCTGATTTTTTTAGATATAAAAAATATGATATCATACAATATACATAGAAATAAACTGATGAAGTGTATTTTTGGACATAATCATTCCCATTTTAAATTATTTCTCATCTTGCTAGTTACCGGTAGGTCTAGTTCACTAGTTCTCAACCAATGGGCCATTGTCCGCTGCTGGGCCACACCGACATTTTCAGGTGGACCACAACCCTATTAAAAATTGCTAGAGTTGCTGGTAAATTTGTTAAATTTGATGGTAGTAGCAATGAATGATACTATTTTTGTTACAGGGTAGCAATTTTCTACCCACAATAGACCTACCCACAATATTGCTGTTACTGCTTGTCAAAATTTGTAGGCCTTATATTGTTAAGAACCATAATATCCTATCAAATACACCAGGGATAAATCATGTCATAGCAAAATTAAAATATAAAAACTACTAATACAAACATTCTGAAATTTTGTATTCATCTTTGGCATCATAACTATATTTGTTTGTTTTTTAGATTGTTTTCAGAGGTAAAAAAGGTTACAACGCACATGAATTTATCATTGATATGAGAGGTTTCAAGAAAACTGCCAATATTGAAGTTGTTGATATTGCTAAACGACTTCAGGTAATTAGCATTTTTTCTATATTACAAACAAAAAGAATTTTGTTAATTTTTGCAGCATCCAGATATGCAATTTTTTATATTATTGTATTTGAGTCAAAATCTGATGTAAAGCCTTTTTGAAATAAATAATCAGTTTGTGAGATGATTAGATGACGTCCACTTCAGTTATTCAATGTCCACCAAAATTGCTGTGTTAGCTCGTAGCTTTGCTCAGAGATGTTTTTACTTTTGAGTGAGTATGCGTGACTGCCCAAAATAGCAAATGCCTGTTAATAAAATCAATGGCTCATCTACTCTCATATACCCAAATATTATTATAGCAAATTCACTTGAATTGTTGAATTAATTTGCGGTCATTTATCATGTCAATTTTTCTAAAAACACTGGACCTAACTATTGTGAATTACATGTTTAAGGACTATGGTTTTCATGCGCCTACCATGTCATGGCCAGTCACAAATACTTTGATGCTTGAACCGACTGAAAGTGAAGATAAAAACGAATTGGATCGATACTGTGATGCACTTATATGTAAGTTGTATATTTGAGTACACATTGTAAATAGATTAACATCGCTTATTGGAAATGCAGTAGTAGTAGTGTAATTGCGAGTGGTTTCTAATGCACGGTCCAGTCGCCATTGTTAGGTACTCTCGTAGTATATGTACCAGGTTAGGGTTAGGCCATGATTTTATTTCAATTTTCTCTTTTTCAGTTCTATTACGAGTTCGGGGACTGTCTGTGTAAACCAAGTGAATATACCCCCCAACCAGGTTCCAGTCCCTTTATACAACTTGATGTAAAGTAGTCGAACAAAATTAGTTGCCTCCACATTGGTACACACACTTCTGAATCACCCATTGTTAATCATAGGATCATAAGGCCAGAGAAATGTTCTATTATACAGGAAATTCCAAATACCAGCTATTTAACTTTTGCATTTGTGAAATCTTTTTTATATGTAAATTTCATTCATTTTCAATAAGAATTTTAAACTGTTCCAACTTTCGGAAGAGTGAAATTTTGCTGTCCCCAATTGGTTCAAAACTTCCAAGCTCTAGTTTTAACTTTTAAGAATATTGAAAGTACGACTTGATCTCTAAATCTAACATTAGTGTGTAGTCACACTTTCGACTCCATTGTTCTGGTTGATCCCTAGCAGCTCACACAATTTTAGGCTTTGTCGGCAGCTGGTATTTTTTATTTTAACCCAAGCCATTTGCAATTTCTTACTTGAAACATTACCATGATTATGCCGGCTGCCAAGTTTAGGTAATATCTCCAAATAAGCTTTTTCAAATTTCCTAACTTTCAATTCCTGTTTAATAGCTTCAATTATATTGACGATGAGTTGAATTTTGTGCTGGAAGTATACCTTTCCTATTTCTTAATCCCCCAGGATTAATATTATATTGAAACTCATTTATTTTCTCCTCTTTAAGCTATTCGAGAAGAAGTATCTGACATTGAACAAGGGCACATGGACAAACACAATAATCCATTGAAAATGGCTCCTCACACAATGGCTACTGTTACCGGCGACAAATGGGACAGACCATACTCAAGAACACAAGCTGCCTTCCCCTTGGTAAGTAAAAAAAATAAGAGTAGATTTGTAATAAAAACAGCATTATTTGACTGGAAACAGTTTTCAAACCTCTAATCCCAATGAGAAAGACTAACACCAAATAAGCTACTCTTCCAAATACATTCTGAGTATTATTTCTGAATGGGCAGTATATTCTAACAGTGGTCTTGTTCAACGAAAAACAAAATAAAAGTCAATGTGTAGTCAATAAGTTTGTTTGATAATGCTGGAAAGTTGCAGATAAACAGTGGTTTGGTTATTTCTCTAGTTTTTGTGGGAATAAATGTATGCCTGTTTATTCACACTGTGAAACTTTGATCGCTCAAATCAAAACTCATTTGAATGACTACTAAAATTAGGAATTTGTATCAGATTATTTTTAGATATCATCATTCATTTAAATGGGTCAGTTACCTGACCCTTTTAGACAGATAAAATAAAAATTTTAACTCTGCTGTTTACTACGGCGGTGTGGTGCAAACGTTAGGTATACGCTCGCCACCGCACCTCTGATTACTCTGCGTAGGTTCACACCCCAATGGGGGATGGTTGTGTGCTGAAGAATTCACGCGCCAATGGGCGTTTACGGCTTTCTTGGCCATCAAGTCCATGTTTTCGAAAACAGATAACTGACTAATCCCACACCCGGCATGGACTGGTAACAGGACGAGGAGCCGTGGTTCGCAATATGATTAGGTCGTCTTATTGGTTTTCCTTTCCCCTGGGATAAATATATAAATCTTATCCTAACTCAACACTCATTTTTCAGCCTTATATAAAACCAGATTCCAAAATCTGGCCGAGCGTTGGACGAATCGATGATGTGTATGGCGATCAAAATTTAGTTTGCACCTGCCCTCCATTAAGTTCCTATTCTGAAGATGATGTTGAATTAATGAAAGACAAGTTATCAAGGTCATAAGAAATAAAAGGATTTTCAAATAACTTAAGAAATTTCTTACAATATTATGTAACCATTGCATTTTAACTAACCCAACATAAACAATTACAAAAGCTGTATTTCTCTCGATATTTACACTACTCTGTAGAAATAACAAATTTTTTGTAAAAAGTAGTCTTATGATAATTAAATGCCATCCAGGGTATAATAAAAACAAAGCAGAAATTTTGAAAATATATTAACATACACTGCCTTTAATAGCGCATTATTGCCAAAAGGTCTATTCATGTCGAAGATACATAAAGCACAAAGACGGTTGTGCTTTATTTATCTCCGACATCATTGCTTTTAACTTCCTCAAAATTTTTCACCATTAGTTAAACCTGCGAGTATTGAAGTGAAATATGTCAACAATTGCGAACATGACCACTTTAATTTGTTACATGTTTTTGCACACACATTACGTAGTTCAAGAAATCTGTAGGTAGATAGCCGAGTCTAGTTCCTTGCTACTTCTTTGCATGTTTTATTAGCTTTCAAGTTGTCTAGTCAAATCCATTGATGTGAGGTTGAATGAATTGTTAAGATATATATACCTATATTTAAAGAATGTTATATTGTCATCGCAAATATTGCTTTTTCCATTTGCATTCTTTTAGCATCGCCATATTGGCCCCACCTTATATTTTGATATATGTATACAGTGCTTTTCATGTTAATTCTACATTTATTCTATGTTCAATGCATCAGTTTGAAGAAATTTAAGGGCCGCTTTGTTTATTAACTCTACCACAAAACATTCACATTCAAAAACGTCAAACACTTTGTGATATTTTTATGCATGTACCCTGAAAAACCGACCATGTCATGTTGACAATATTCTATCCTCAAATAGCCACGACAATATTTGTTTTACTATCCATTTAAATATATGGAAGGCGTATTCGTTACGGTGTATATCCGTTTGTGATTTGAGAATTTCACAAAGAAAAACATTTTTTAGTCTATTTAGTCATTTATTCTAACTATGTTTAATACATCAGTTTGAAGAAATTTAAAGGCCGCTTTGTTTAACGCTACCATAAAACATTTACATTTAAAAACGTTAAACACTTTGTGTTTTTATGCATGTACACTGAAAAACCGACCATGTCATGTTGACAATATTCTATCCTCAAATAGCCACGACAATATTTGTTTTACTATTGATATAAATATATGGAAGGCGTATTCGTTACGGTGTATATCCGTTTGTGATTTGAGAATTTCATAAAGAAAAACATCTTTCAGTCGACTGCAAAATTATGATAAGTGCAGTTGCTAAAGATATTCAACTCCAATTGACGCGTTTCGAGCCTCCTAACCTATGAAAATAATTGAGACCAGAAAAAAAAGTTGTAGTCAACATAACAAGGGAAATTATCCGATGGATCATTGATAAATGAATATAGACAACAATGTAGGTACAAGTATTGAGCCCTGCGGGACTCCGGAAGAAATTGAGTATGTCCGAGAGCGCTGATCGTCGAGGACAACGTTGCTCTCCTTTCAGAGAGAAAAGATGTCCAAAATCTGACCAAGTGTGCCGTAGGATTGAATTCCGTGCTGGAGATCGACGTACCAAACTCTATCAAAAGCTTTTGAAATATCCACAGCAATCGTTTAGCTTCAGTTATCCCAATCTTATTTCTAGAGCTATAAGTTAGTTATGATTTTCTGAAATGATGGAACCCTTTGTTGGTAACACCGATACAAAAGAAAACCAGTTATTAAAATTTTGAAACTAATGTCTGGTTATAAATGTTAACGAATTGGTGGTCGGAATTGTTTGTCATTCAAAGTACATGTGATTCTAGTACCCAAGGTGGTCAATAATAATTCCAGTGACTGGGAATTCAAATTGGTCATAATTGACAAAAGACTGATAGGGCAATGACTGATGACAAGAGCTCGGGATACTATGTGACGTGTTAAGGATGCTAAGTATGACTACTTACAAGTATTCGATTCCTCGACATATCTTGCCGAGAAATACCCACTTAAACAATGCTATATGAAATCAAACACAAAAGCTATATTTAAATATGTGGAAGGAAAAGAAGGCCAAAACTAAGTAGTATGGGTCTTCAATCTGTCACAGTAGACAAAATCACACAAAAAAACGAACCCCGCAGAGACTTTTGAAATAAATAAACGTAAAAGTCTTCTAGCAAAAAATATACATATATAGTGAAGTTTGCGACGTCGTAGCCACTCAGTAAAGCAGTTTATACATATATGTGAAATACTCGCCATAAAACGTTACACATTGTTTGCAATCCAAGTTTTAACCTTATGAATCGATTCCAATGTATCGGAGTCGATTCCGCGGAGAATTGATTCTGTAATCGAGTCCAGACTTAATTCCGCCATCCCTAATTATCGCAAGTTAATTTAAATTTATATTGGTACGTTTAAAAAAACTCCCAAGGATTGTTCCGATTTGAATTAAAATTGCAGTTATTTGAAAATACTTTGCCAACGATGACAATCCCTATGAAGGGAGTAAGCTGCGCATGTTGCCATCAACGAGTTGAAATCGTGGAGTGTCTTTACTCGGTGAAACAGATGCTGCCAAGTGTTTACTTCCACATATTACTATTGAGCGACACTTCAATACAAAATAAACGAGTTAACAATAAAATTTACTGAAAAATAAAATCTGTAAGCTTTTAGTCTTTTGTTGAAAAAGGGATACCTAAGAAGATTTCAGTTTAGGGTCGCGACCCATTGGGTGCAGAACATTGACTTAAGACATTATGGGTTATTTCTCAAAAACTTCGGAATGCAAATTTTTTGCATAAATTTCTTTAGTAATATTCTGCATTTTTTTTATCCTCTCGGGAAGATGCATTTCGTCGACGGCAATGGAAGGAAGTATTCCGTTGCGATAACATCACATTCTGAAGAATAACATGGTGCAGTTCGTGCTTTCAGCTGGTACCGTCTACAAAAGATCAGGGATGTCCAACCCTTTTACCTCGCAGAACGGTAACATCAAATAAATTGACCTCGCGGACCGAAAAAATAATAATGAAATGACCGAGTAAACAAATAACTCAATAAAAGCTACAATAAATAATATTCCCATGTATAATCTCAAAAGCATAGGATATATATGTCATGAGAAATGGTAGATGTTTGACATCAGTGCTGTATGACTCGATCTCTCTCTCTCTCACTGCCTTTCAGTTGAGGCGATACATGCGCTACATAGATTCAGGCTTAGACAATATATATATATATATGAAACGTCATATATCACTATCATGTCGATGTCAAATGTCCTGTTTTTATTATTAGTATAGAAATACTTTGAAATTTGAATTCAACATATACGTGAGTTTCGACAGTTTTCATAAACCGACAAATTTGTACAAATGACCCAATAACAGCTAAAATTAAGGATAATCCGATATATAATCAGAAAACAACATAGGATATATCGCGAAGAATGATAGATTTTCCGGGTGGCCTTAATTTGTCACTCCGATCTCGCTGTTTTTCAGTTGAGAAGATATTTACGCTAAATAAATTGAAGTCTTGATATAAGAAGTATCTCATTCTCAATATAAGACGTATTGTATATTTGTATATATGGATGGTATATATATATCACGCTTTTGTCTATGAGGCATGTACTGTTTTCAGTAAAGGAATACTTGTAAAATTTGAATATTATTGATTCAAGATATGCTTAAAATTGATTGTATTATATGCATAAAAACGTGTCTGTGAATTCACGGCATATCGATATACATTTCAAAAAAAGCAGCAAAACCAGTCACAAGCAGCATTGAGTTTTCACAAGTTGCATTGACAAGAAACAATACTCGAATGATTTTATCGTGGGCGACTGAAGATAAAAATTTCATTTGTGGGTTTGGTATTCTCTCTTTGCATTTTTCTAAAAGCAACATGGCGGTGGAAATGAGAAAAGTATTCGGGGACAAGATACTGTGTATCAGATGAACTGGGAGATGTTAGGCGGATAATGGTTCGATGCTCTGAATGCTAATCTAACGATCGACAGCATCCTAGGATGTGTTGCTGCGAAAGAATATAAATCAACTAAATAATATAATACTGAATACTAAGCTTCCGATTCACTTACATTACATAGGCGGTAACGAATATCGAATGATAAATGATGATTGGGACTATTATGATAGTGACTTAACGAAACGCGTGTGTCTTCATCGAAACAGCAAACAATTGGCGAAAAAGTCGCCATGGATTTTGCAATGCTGACGTATTCTGTTAATAATGATTACGAAAACCACATAATGTACACAAGATATCTTGACGAAGATATTGAAGGAAGCTCGAGAGGTGTTTGGGTACAAATGCGTGATCGATATCCGTCAGCAATAGATTTACTGCGAGTCCTCAACAAAATGATTGAAATATGAAATAGATGCTATGAAACTATATTTTTCTAAATGTTTATATATATATATATATGGGGAAAACTTTAACCATTATACTGAAGAGTTATCCGATGCCTAATATTACCCTCTCAAATATATTCATTATCTTGAGTGTTAAAATATATTCAAGCCATGCATATGCAATGTTTAGTTAGAAAGTAGTTTGAAACTCGGTATATATGTCTATATGCTATGTATTCCAATTGAATGTAATGTAATATAAAACTAATTTAAGTAAAGCACAGCTATTAGCTCAAATTCGGATTTGAGTTTGTATTGAACAAACATTTATTGGACAAGAATTGGACTTGGGTATCTCTTTGGTTGTAGAATGTAGATTATATGCAACTTACGTTTCTTATGATGAATTGGGATGACGGAATCGTCCCCGGAATCGATTCTTCGTGAAATCGACTGTAATCGTTCGATATATAGGTTGTCATGACAAACCTCATAATGCCATTTATGAAAAATCAGGGCATTTGTTGATAAATCAGATTTATGTATCACCATCATCAACGAAACTTCTTGACCAGGGGTAGGCACGGTTTTTGGATCAAGGGCCAAAAGTTTTGCCCACCCAGACCGGCGGGCCATGTAAGTATGACGTAAAGAGTTACATTTTATGAACAATGTTTACAGTGTTACGAAAGCAACGATGGAAAACAATAAACCTCGAACCAAAACTAAATTTAACCGCAATCTCAACAAATTCCTTGAACTAATTTTAACTGAAACGTCAAAATTTGGTGTCAGTTTGGTTGTGGCAGCATCAGGTGGGCCAGATTGAATTAGCCAGCGGGCCGTACTTTGTACAAAGAGCTTATAGCAGACATGGGCAAAGTACGGCACGCGGGCCAAATCCGGCCCGCTGGGAAATTCAACACCAACACAATTTGGAAATCCTTGAATATGCCTTCGACCATTTGCCACAACAAATGTAGTTACTCAGATTCTCGTGATGTTAAAAATATTTCCCCCAGATTCAAGTTATTTGATTTAATTGTATCCACGTAAATGTTATATCAATTTCGGAACATATCCATTGCCTAATTCAACTTTTACCCTGCTTTCATCATGTGCCCCATATAATCGCCTTAATTAAGCGAAACTAAGTTGGCTTATTCACGAGTTTGTGATGTCAATATTACTGGATATAACTCGATCCATAACCCCTCTTCCACAAAAGCTGGTGGCATTGGCCTGTTTATTGAGACAGACAGTGGCGGCGCGTGGTCATTTTGACAACCGGGGCAAGCTACTGCGGGACCAAGTCACCCCCATCTACGGGGACAGGATGAGCGCTGTAAGTTCTCCCATCATTTTATGAGTATAAAAACCATTCCATCGGTAACAACCAATCGGCAAAAGCGACAATTTTTAACGATAAGAAAGTGTCTTTAAAACCGGTCCAAGTCAGGGGATTAATAAATATAGACATAGTTTATTTTGAAACCTCTTTCAAAAGGAAAGGCAATATTAACAGAAACTTCGGGAAAGCAGACAAAACCTAAAATAAGGTTTAAAACGTTACTATGAAGAAAGGAAAGGTAATGCAAAGATAAGGACATGCGTCGCTCACTCATAGATATATATGCTGCTAGACTTCTACTGCTTGAACATATATGCAACACGCCGCGGTTTCTTGGAAGCAAAATGCTCAATAACGCGCTGATTAAAGTCATGCATCCCAGAAATAACGTCTCTGTGAATGGATAAAACAGCCAAGGAATTTAATCTATCTTGCTTCATTGTGTTTCTGAGATACGTTTTAATACGCTTCAGCGTGCTGAATGTTCGCTCTGCGTCGGCGGAAGAAATAGGCGTCGTCAAAATGATGTCCAGAAATTTTGCAGACGCCGCAAAGGTAGTTACTGGAGTGTTATCTATGAGGAACCCATAGAGCGCGCAAGTTGATGTGATGTTCAAAAAAGTTTGATTGGTGTATATACATCGCAATTCATTTTCCAATTTACCCACGTTTATCATGGGGTAAAATTTGGAGACAGTAGCCAACAAATGGATGGGAAATTGACGTGCAAATTTTGAAAAATGTTTGGGGTTCATCAAAGAGAACGCGGCAAGGTGTTCAGTGCGCAGACGATCGCCTATTTGATTCACCAGAATGTCACAGCATTCCTTTGCAGACAAAATCAAACGCTGCGTTGTTTGCCCGCGGCGTAAAGAAGCACTCCATGTGTCGTCGTATTTTATTGTTTCCCGGATACGAGATACAGCATCGCAGGAGTCTGAAATACACGACTGCACAGACGCTCCATCCATTAGCCTTGACTGCAGTGCGCCGTATAATACATCCACGTGATAGAATATTGTGGAGAAAAAAGCGAGAAAAAATGAAAACTCACCATCTTCTAGCAGACGCTTTAGACCTGCCGCCTCCCTCACAGAGCGTTCGTCCCAAACCGGAGAGCTCTGAATGCCATTGAAACACTCAATGAGCTCAGACCTAATTTCGGACACGCCCTGCACCACGCGTGATTGGAAGTTCCAACGTGTTGGTGCACAAGCTGGGAGACGGCGGCTACATATCTGGCGAAGGAGGTCAGAGCGCTTCGGCGAAACGGAAAAAAATGAAGAAAACCCCGAAACATTTGCAAAAAATATACGGACGAGAGGGGTATCAAGACACATATTTTTAATAACGAGGTTAAATTGGTGTGCATAACATTGTAAAAATGCGCATGAGGAAAATCTTCTTTTATATAAACTTGAACACCATGTCTCGACCCACTCATGACTGCCGCGCCGTCATAAGTTTGAGCTATCAATTTTGACTTCGCGTTGTAAGGCTGTAACACTTCTTTCAGTACAGCCGATATCCCGCAAGCCGTGCGATCAACGATTGGTACAAAGCTGTGAAATCTCTCGGTAGGTTTACCATCTTTCACAAACCGAAAAATCACAGCCAGTTGGGAAACGCACGTGATGTCAGTTGTCTCGTCAGACTGAATCGAAAGGAACTGGCAATTCTCAATTTCCAGAGCCAAATGTTGTAAATAAATTTTATACATTGAGTCGAGCAAATCACTTTGAATATCCTTAGATGTCCCTTTCGAAACAGTTGCGGCATCAAGATGATCTCTCAATACTGTATCTAGGGATGCGGTGTATTCCACCATATCCAAAAATACCCCTCTATTAGAAGAGCCAGCCCGTTCATCGTGCCCACGGAGGGACAGCTCGTGACAACCAATGAACTTCAAAACATCTATCAATCGACCGAGAACATGGCGGTTTTTCTCGACGTTTTGGTTGTGCCGACGAATAGAAACCGCGCGTCCTTCATCCAACTGTGCTGCAATATTAACATTTCCGAATGTTCGGTATTTTACTGCATTGTCCAGGTGCTCCATAGAAGATTGATGATTCCTGGCACGCTCGGAAAGATGTTTAAGATCTCTAAAACCAAATTTACACCAACGTGAGTCACGGGCGGTAGCAAAAAGTAGGCAATAAAAACAAAAAAGTGCATTTTTGTCCTCGCTGTAACACAACCATTCGTGTTTTTTATATCAAGTTTCTGCGCAGAATGTACGCCGACGCTTTCCTCCGTCATGGGATTGTTCCAGTGAACAATTTTTTGGTTGATAAGGCCCAAGACGTTGTACCTCTAATTTTTGTTCCAGCGGCAGCTGCGAAAACGGAGTGCGAAGTAGTGCATCAACCTTATTCATTATGAGGTCTAAGGCTAACAAATGCGAAGCCGGAAAGAAGTGAGGAGCTCAAAAGGAATGTGGAAAATCGAAAGCAAATGGACTAAAGGTCTCTAACTGATTCAAATAGCGAAACAAGCGACAAAAACGAAGGCGAGGAAACTATCAACTCTTCAAGCAACCAACGAACGAGAAGGAATACGGAATATGTCAACACGTTGTTGTAAGAAACGTCGGCATTGTGTCGTCATAATTTCGGGGCTAGCCCCGATGATTTAGTAAAAGAAACAGAAAACAAACGAGACAAACGCGGCGAGTGGAAGATAAAAGAGAGAATACGATATACAATGAGCAACCGGGGCAAAATCGGCGTCGCCCCGTCTACGTTCGGCGAAGGCTTTGTGAGCGAAAAATGAACCATGGCGGGAGAATATGGCTAGTGTAGACAGTCTGTGCAACCGATATTGAGGTATTTTTCGAATATTTTTTATTATACCGAAAAAACAACCGGGGCATTGCCCCGGGGCTCGCCGCTGGACTCCACGTGACCGCTGGTTGGTTGCGGATTATTCCACTATCAAGCCCATGCATCTGAAACAAATAATAATTAGTTAACTAATCCCAGACCCGACATGGACTGGTAACTGAACAGATGATATTGTTCACCACACTATGATGATAAAGTAGACTACTGTCAGTGGAGGCGTACAAAAAAGTTTGAGAACCACTGGTTTAGACCGTTCGGCTTTTTAGGTATTCGCAGATAATTTTCCCCGAGGGGTAATGGTGGGAATTTTTAGAGTGAATTTGCTGTATGAAATTGAGGGCTATCACTGAATTACACGAGCTGGCGCAACAACTACGCTACAGTAGTTGCCTGTGGACATGATATTTGAATTCGTGCATGTCTACGCGTTCAGGAAACAACTATATATATATATGCGTGTGTGGTAGTGAATCCACATAGACAAAATTCATCCACCCGGCTTCGACATTTTACAAAAGCTGCAGCATTTAGAATCAAACACTCAAAATCTCAAGTTTGTCCCTAAAACGTAGCTCTATAGTCCGGGATGGCTATCAATGTACAGTCGAGTGTTTAAAGATATCTGAGCTGGTCGCAAAATTATACTTATCTACTGATTTGATAGACAGAATATCTATTTTCATTAATATATTTGCGCGAAAAACATGAAAAACAATATTTCATTATTAGTCAACATAAAAATAAAAAAATAAAACAATAAAAAAGTACAAAAAACGAATATTTGGTATAAAAGAACAAAAACGAATATTCATGACACAAAACGTCAACTTTAAAATATTATCTTCTGTGACAATCACTGACAAAATGAGGAAGGTTTAACAGCCTCCACTAAGCCGCCAATATTTTAGACTGTGTATTGTCTTCACCCATATAGTAACACGCAGCAAATTATACATAAAAGCGAGTTGAGAGTGGCCCAGTAACAAGCCTATTGCATTGCAGAAGTTTATATAGAAAAGATTGCAACGACGCATCAGCAACTTAACACAAATTAACAAAAAATTATATATTGGTATATTAAAATTTCAACTTGTCCTGTAGCTAGCGGATGGCATATCGAAACTCGAATATTTTAAAATAGGATTGTCTTCGTAGTACACGTAATTAAAGTGAGTTGGAAATATATGAATATAATTTTGATTTGATAACTACTCACGCTGATGAATATTAATATTATGGTGGAATTACTATATTGTTCGTCTATTCAGAAACGACATATATAAATCTCCGGGATAGCATGTATCACAGCCCAAAATGAAAACATTATGTAAATGCATGTTTTGAAAACAGCCATAATATTCCAAGAAATGCTTGTCAAAATGGTGGTATTGAACTGTGCGAGACTTATATTAATAACAATTATAGACGATAGCGTTTTGAGATCTTATTTTAGATTTTATCGTTCAGAAAAATAGTCTTTTGCATCTACAGCACCCGCCTTCTTTACATCAAGCATTTAAACAAGTTTGCAATATCCCTCTGTCGCACAAGTACACCGCTATTGGCTTCATAAAGCCTGAGTAGGTGAACAACCAAAGCCTTTTCCCACTTAAACGAAAGATTTCGTGTACTTTCAAGTTAACCTCGACTCTGTCGTCACAGCTGTAGATCCTGACATAGATGACGACGAAGATCCTGGGATTGTTATCACCGCTTTATTTGCTTTGTAACTTACTCTCGCATTTGACTGCTGAGGAATGAAAGGTTGTGTTTCTGTACTGTCCACAACGTCTGGTTCGTCATTGGGAAGCCCAGAGTCACAAGACATGGCTTTACCGCTTGCCGAGTTTTTTTGTTTTTCGTTTTCTGCCGGTAGTTCTAATATGTTACCAGAAGTTGAAGTTCGGTTGGCCTGGAGTCTATTTGGCGTTCCCCCTTGTTGTTGGGTTTCAGTTTTTGGCCCATCGATGTGGTTATTATGGTTTCGATTACGTTGGCCGTTCACCCCCATGACGATGTTAGTTCTAGGGCGATTAGGATCCATTGGTGAAATTGGCGGTTTTGGAGCCACAACTGGTTTGGTGCTCACGTTACTTGCTGAATTGCTGTGTTGAGAATTGTTATATACAGACAAGGGTTGTCTCAGTCCTTCTTGTGCACCAGGGGCAATGACCTCACTTCCGGGGCGCTGCCTGGTAGGCGCGGGCGGTGGAGAAGCAGACGTCATCGAACCGTGACCGGATCCGTAATTTTCCCCGTGGTTTTGTTGCGTTCCGTCGGTGCCTTTCGAGCTGTGAATCCCGCTATCGGGTGTTCGGTGAAAATTTTCGTATTCTGGTTGCTCAGCTGTTCCGGGAATTTGAGGTTGGTAGTGATTTTGTGGATTCTGGAACTGCTGTGGGGCGGCTTGTGTGACCCCACCCTGGTGTCGGTGTCCGTGGAGCTGATTTCTTGTGGATGACCCACAGCTGTCCGTACTTCTGCTACTGCTGTGTGTGTGACTCGATTTGTATGGATATGATGCGGGATGGGGTCTGCTATAATGCATCTGAGGTTGGGGGTACATTTGCACCGGAGCGTATGCATGCGGTTGTTGCATGTAACTAGGATAAGATGGAGGCTGGCCTGGCATCATACCAGAAGAGGAGTTGGTAGAAGGCGAGGTATAATAAGGCTGAGAGGCGGGGCTAGCATGGGGTGGGCAAGGCTGAGGGGGCGACATGTATGGTTGATTGAAGCCATCAATGCTGCAAATGAAAGGAGAAAATGCGTGAGTTTATGAAGTTTTTATTTCAATTCAAAAACATGCTCCGGACAAGACACACACGGCAAATTTTCGGGTGGGGTCATACATTGCTACTTACACAGTTCCTTGGGGAGGGGTGTATTGCCCAAATGGGGCTCCTTCACGCATCACGTTCGTCAGTTGCCTGTGAATTCCTTGTGCTAATTGTGACGTCATTCTTGTGGTGCTTGCGCCTTCCCAGCCCGACAATTTAGCATGAACGTCCTAGAGAAAAAATGTATGGTTCATAATTGATTACTCAAAAAGCGCAATTTTTAAATCCGAAAATAAAATCTAGCATAAAAGTAATAAATAGAGTTGTGAATAAAAAATGAAACAACAAAAAACAAAAATATACTCACTTTGCATGTAGGCCTCTGAGCTGGATCGATTTCCCAACATTCACGCATGAGTGAATAGACACGTGACGAGCAATTTTCAGGACATGATAAAGTTTGTCCCTTTGATATCATGTCTATAACCTGAAAATGAGATATTACGTTAGTTTTTACTTTGAGATGACCTTCACAAACGAGAATCATACTTTAAAAATGAAAGTTAATTGAATACAACTCTTTCCCGAGCCAGCAGGTGAATGTCTAAAATAATGGTAAAGTACTTCCTTATTTTTTCGGTGTGTGAGCTCAAATTATAATCAACTTCAGACCAAAAAATTAGGAATTATTATTATTCTATATAATGAAGTTTTCATACCTCATGATTACTATATCCACAATAAGGTTGCATTCCATAAGCAAACATTTCCCACATCATAACGCCGAATGACCAAACTACGCTCTTTTCAGAAAACATGTTTTGGTTTAAGCTCTCTGGTGCCATCCATCTGTTGTGATAAAGGAATAAATTTAAAATGAAGGGAATTTCAATGGAAGAGAGGATAACTTCGCATTCCATTTTATAGCAAGTACCGCTATGCCATCGTAATACTCTCTATTAGTGATGTTTCTAGTGGTGTCTTTATTTCAAATTTTGTAATGCGGAAAGCATTGTTATTCACAATTAATAATTATTGATTAAATTAACAAAATAAACCTTCTTAATCTTCGAAATATATATCCTTGTAAATCTTACCTGACAGGTAACATATGTCCACCTTGTGGTGATCTATAATAACTCGATAAATAACAATCTCTGACGACACCAAGGTTAGATATCTTCATTACATTATTATTGCAAACAAGAATATTGCGAGCAGCTAAATCACGGTGAACGAAGTTATTTGAAGCAAGGTATTCCAGACCAGCACCGACCTGCAGAAAAAAGTTTGGTTGATTTTTTATAGTTAGGCAATAAAAAATATGATTGCGTCATACTTATTCCGCTAGATAAGAGTAAACATTTGGAATAGGAGAGTATTTTTTTCATATTCTCCGCGATAGATAGGAAAGCCGATAGGACAGTCTACCTAGATATATGGCTAATAACGACCTATACGAGTCCGTGACCAATTAATAATCGATCAGAATATAACGTTGTGAAAACCGGACAATGCCCTAACGGTCCAACCCTGACATGGATAAACTACGGCCCGCGGGCCAAATCAGTCCCGTTGGGTTGGTCAATATGGCCCGCTTAATGCTGCCACAAGCAAACTAAATCTAATTTTTGACGTTTTAGCTAAAAAAATAAACTAAGGAATTGTTGAGAGTGCGATTAAATTTAGTTTTGGCACGAAGCTTAGTGTTTTGCACTTTTGCCTTTGTGACACTGTAAATATTGTTTATAAAATGTAACTTTTTACGTCACAAGTCCATGGACCGTCAGTCTAGGTGGAAAAAAATTTAAACCCCTGGTTGAAAAACCTTTACCCCCCTGGTCTAACCACTCCTCATTTATCAACTCAATTTGATATGTATTTTATTCGCCCTAGGATAAAAGTAAACTACTTGGTATTTGTCTATCTTGTCTTACCTGTACAGCCATATGTAAGAAATCTCCTGATTCTAAGCTACTAGATGTGTGACTGCTTGCACTGCCTGACATTTTCCCTCCAATATCAGAATGCGGAGAATGCAATGTTAGAAGTTCATGAAGATCTACTCTACTCGTGTACTCAAAGATCATACAACGCATTGTCGGCTGAGAAACCACGGCCTGTATGCACATAAATAAAAGGGATTAGATTAATAATATCAATCATGACAAATGCTTTTCATATAAATTATAACAAATTGATTTACAAAATATCGAACAGACCTTCAAACAGGATACATTGACATGCTGTAGGTCTGAAAACATCTCCATTTCACGTTGAAAATCGCTGATCTGTGATTGCATAGCTCCTCCAGCGAGAGTCTTCACTGCTACCTGAATAACATAATAAATAGATTGAAAGGGGGAAAGTCAAACAAAGTTTTTACCATAGTTTGCAAACGTACATTATAAGGCAACGTGCTGAAAAGTTATGGTTTGTACACCATCTAACAATTGCAAAATTGTAATTCTTCAGCTTACCGGTTCTTGAGGCGCATACACCATATTACTCATGATCTGTGCTTTGTAGACTTTTCCGTATTTTCCCTCGCCAAGCTCAACAGCAAAATGAACCATAGTCGATGATAGCTCAGGAACACGATTTCTTTGCGAAGGTATTGTTTTCAGTTCAACCTTTTTACCAGGGGTGTGCTTTATGTCCTTCCCTTTTCCTTTTTTACATACGAAGCACATCACGACCATAATACATCCGATTAATAAGGGAATGCTGACACAAGGAATGAGAATCATCAACAAATCTGAAGAACCGCCGCCAAGAGATGATTCTATAACACAATAATAAACCAGTGTCATGGTGGAACATAACTATCGACAGAAATTGAATATGCGTTTAAATCTATTCGTTACATATTTTTCTAAATTAAATTCTAGAAAAATAAATTTGGGAGTTACAAAGTACTTACTGTATTTGAGGATTTAGCAAGGGCTCTTTCTAAATTAAATTCTAGAAAAATAAATTTGTAAGGTACAGAGTACTTACTGCATTTGGGGATTTCGCAAGGGTCTCTGCTAATTCGATCTCTATCAGTATAACACCAAGGCTGGTCCATCGCGTTACCAGGGTTACGGCAAAAATTGTGACCTCCCGCCAGTTCCGGATACTGTGAAGATTGAACAGAAGAATTAACCTTGAATCGATGTAATCGAACGTTGTCAAGCCAGATATAAAATTCCAACAAACCTCGACTAGCATTTTCGGAGGCCATGGTTTGCATTTTTCTCCCGACTGTGATGTAGCTACCACTCCTTGATATCCTGTTCCCGTATCGTTGTAGCATACATGTGTCCTGTCCACCACGCTTTTCAATCCCAAACGAGAACACTTGGCGCCAGTGGAAGTTGTTCGCGGAAGCCGGCTGCAATCAGCAGTCTTGACAAGTTGCTATAACACGAATAACAGGTACGGTAATTTTATTGAGAACATTGGCAAAAAGTTAACGGTAAAACTTATTCTTCGATTCGTTGCACAGGCTGTTACGGACTAAGGGTTCTGAATGTTTGTAAATAAAATGATATACTTTCAAGTCGCAACTGATATCAAACATCATGCCAGGATCTACTATTATTTGCGAGGGCTATAAAGTTTTCGGATCGGCATTGCCAAACCAATTTAATGCACCCTGGGTGACGTGGCATAGGGTGTGACCCCAAAGTGTGTAATTTGCGATGTCATCACAGTTAAGTGTAATGCTTCACGCGCAAAACGTCGCGCCGACCCAGTTACAGTCCAATCGTCATATAGTGAGTGAAACGATTTATACCTTTATAACTTCGTCCTCTGTTCCAAATTCCTTCGCGCAAACGTCAAATTGTAAAAGTTCGCAATCTTCGCGGCAAAGTCTGACAGCGGTTGCAGTGCCATCGGCATTAGCAAGGTTGTCGTCGTCTTCCAGAATAGTTCCGCTGTCAACGAAACTGTAGTCTTCATATACAAAACCTTCATCGGTAGTTTCATCATTTATTACTTCACAAAGTGGAAAAACGAAATGACAAAAAGCGGGTCTTGCGTACTCTGCACATTCTTCTGAAACTCTGTTTTTGTCACCTGGTAAACAATTGCATAGATTGAAAAAATCGAACGTGTAGGAAACCGAGTTTGCATTCATCATCGCGCAATGGTTAATGGATTAACTTTGGCTAACGTTACGTACCAACTAATGTGAGTGCAGCAGTAATCTGTTGTTCCATTTGTTTTTGATCTTGAAACGATTCGACATAAATGTATTTGCCTTTCAGGTATTGAGCGCAAGCATATCCTTCATACAATTCGCACTTTCCTTCAAAAATTTCACTGCAAAATATTTTTTTTGTAAATAAGTTTTTGTAAATTCATTATTAAAACGGTACAAAAATAAGGAAAAATACTTACGAATCTATGTTGGTGTCTCCGCTGTCTGGAGGAGTATCTGAAAAAGAAATATGACATCATAAAGGATTTTAAAAAGGAGACGTCACAAACATCAGAAGGGGCACAATCATACTGCTGAATTGTTATGATGACGACTCGTAATTCTAAAGGATGGGGAGTTTGGGGACTAGTAAAAATGGCCCTTAAAACAGCCCTCATAACTGCAAATTGTTGTAAAGTAAACGAGTTCCGATAATATGTATTACCACAACACTGTACTCGCGTGTCATCTCAACGACTTGTAAGTACATTTTGTTAGGTTTTCTTTAAAGATGATATTTTTTCTGTTTTGGTCACAACATGACCAGAAACATAACCGTCAATTAGTGTTTAAGGAGGCGAAAAATTGAGCCATTAACCTTTTCGTCCCTAACTATCTTACAATATTTTGTTTCCATATTTCAGCGCTATCTGTGGTGCAAATAACAGTCTCGCATACAGAACAAGTACCACGGATCACATTTAATCATACATGGTAGTCTATTCCGAACCTTGAACTGAAGAATTAGGGTTAATCGCAATTATCTTGCTCGTAAAGCAGTTCGAAAGAGACTAAAGTATAAAGTGGGGATTACGATTTCTCGGGGCCCCGTGCAATTTTGGCGCCGAAGTTTGCCTTGACTGGATGATACTAGGATTACGAAAACGCTCCAACGCAAAGCCGCGATAAGGTCAAAATTTTAGAGTGTGTAATAAACCTGAACGTCTGAACCTTTGATTTACCTTGCAAAGGCGAATATCTACAGAAGAACAAATGGCCGCCTAGAATATGCTCCATATCGACTTGAATCGAATGGTATTTTAAATTGGTACTCCCTGAAGTATGCGTACCAAGATGACGAACACCGGGACGTGGTATGTGTACCAGGTTAGGGTTAAGCCATAATTGTATTCGAATTTTTCTTTTTTTAGTCCTGTTACGAGTTCGGAGATTAGCCAAGTGATTCCCGTAGTATTTGTACCTGAATTATGGCCTAGCCCTAACTTGGTACACATACTACGTTCCGGTGTCCGCCATCTTGGTACGCATACTTCAGGTGCGCCTTCAAACCGACAGCCACATTTCAACGTTGTAGGTAAATTGCTGTCAAAACGTCAGGTTTATCCTGAATGATTATTAAATTATGCGCAAAATCTGTCGGTACTTGGGCGCATTTCTTTTTCATTTCATGCGACTTTATGTATATTTCAAACAAGATATACAGATAGTGCAATCCTAATGTGGCATAGTGATTTCCTTTATAAAAAATTCCGTGGTGTCTCAAACCACCACGTTTTTTGGCTTTTTAATCTCTTTAAAAGCATCGGTGAGGCAACCGTGTTACATCGACCATCCTGAAATATCATACTGCGGTCGCTTGCGTTAGCCTCAGGCTACATTTAAGTTCGTTCTTTGACAGATACTGTTTTCATACACCGTTTTTACTTAAAAGCTAGTCATTATTAGAGATTTTTAACTAATTTTTACCGTCTACAGTTGCACTTATTTTGGTACGCCAAAATGCGATTGCCAGAAGCGTTAAATTATGTGAGTTTGAAGTAGAAACCTAAGACTGAATTCGATAAATAATACAATTCTCTCTGACGGTCTGTGGTGAACATTTCGTTCATAATGCACAAAGAAATCACATCGCTTTTATTTTGCAATTATGACTTTTGATGGATAGTTCTCATTTATCTTCTTAAATAATTTTTTCTAGCTTATTGCCCAATTGTACAGACATATGCAAAATCAAGCAAGCTATTTGCTGTTAGGTTGGCAAGGTAAAATCAGACCGTGAATATGAAAAATACTGTTGCGGATTAAATAGGGAAAAAATTCAAGTTTTGACATAACAAGAAGCGCATAACCGCGTAAGCCAATATCAGTATACATCTATATAATAAACAATAAAAATATGTCCGTCAATGTGACATTACTGTCAGGAGCATGTAGAGGTCGCCACGGTATCTTTCCAAAACACCGATAATCGTAATGAGACACGCTTGGACCAGTTGATAAAATTATGCCAGCAGACACCTTTATTAATCATTCTTATAACTAAAGCAATGGATAATGTAAACGTAAGAATATCAAAATAAATGAAATTACATTGCGGCGGATAATTAAACCAACTCCAAGGTCGGTTTCTTTTGATAAAGCGGCCTCGCTTTGAAATAAAGCTAGTCAAGACAGATATATACAAACACACATGAATTTTAATAGCTCTGTGATAAGACTATCTTTTAGATTTGATCGAAATGATGACTGGTGAAAATTAGCGGAACCACGATTTCGGTGGAAACACTGATACCCGGTGACTGGCAGTTAGTTGTACCAGAATGTAAGCGAAATGGGAGATAAATCGATTGCTTAGGAGTCCAGGGATGGGCAAGGTTTTTGGAACAGGAGCCAAATAATTGTGCCCACCTAGATTGGCGGGCCATGTAAGTGTGACGTAAAACGTTACATTATAGGTACAATATTTACAGTGTTACAAAAGCAAAAGTGGAAAACAATAAGCCCCGTGACAAAATTAAATTCAATCGCAATCTTCACAAACTCCTTGAGCTATCTTTAGCTGAAACATCAAAATTTGGTTTTAATTTGATTGTGACAGTATCCAACTGGCCAGATTGAATTACCCAACGGGCGAATTTGACCCACGGGCCGTAGTTTGCCCATGTCATATTATGTCTCTCGGAATTTTTTTAATTTTAGAGCTTCTTGGAGAATCTTGGATCTAGTGCATATTCATATTTCCGAAAATGTTTATTATACATGGGAAATAATATGAAATCATTATAATGTGAAGTTAAGAGGGTAAAAATAATTGAATATGTTAGTACTTTGATATATTCTAAATTAATTACATGTAACATTTTAGTCATGTAGTGAGGAATCATTTAGAAAATGTCCGCGTTTAAGTCCCATACATCGTTTAATTGATATACGTGAACCTAACAAAACAATGTCTGTCGAAACATGCTTTCAGTTAAACATGGCATTATTCAGAACAATCATTATTGCTTGTTCATTATTATCTTTCATATTATGTTCGGAATACTTTATTACTATGCTTGGATAAATCATTAATTCAGATGAATTTTATCTAACAATATCAAAACTAGCTTAAGATAAAATATTACCGCCAAAAAAAAGGGAATTAAAAAAAAATGAAAAAACAGTTTCGTGCTGCCCGTATAATGTCCCTGGAGTATTATAAATCTGTCTTTCAAAATATATTGCATACTCAACAAACGAGTAGAAGTAATATTCTAGTAAAGGTATTATCGTCAATCGCCAAGTTCAAACTTTTGATCGATACAATAGGAAATTCGATGGATGAATTCGAATGAATCAACTTCGACAAGCTTTCAGCGAAATCTGTCACTGACGTGGCATCAGACAAATACTTTGTGACGTTTGATTGGCGTCACCAAAAGTTAATCTGGCATCTTATAGAATTTAACGAGGGGGGTGTACTTCGAGCTAATGACGCTTGACATTTAGGAATACAAATTTCGCAGTCACATCCGTACATATTCTAACATATTTTTATGATATATTTGGAACATATTCTAGGGAAAACATAACTTTTGTGCAAAGCGTACTAGATTACTGAAACTTTGTGGTACAATCATACCCAAACAGTTCAAGTTATTAGGAATTTAATGAGGTCTTTATTTATATTTCGGTTACTCTGTTATTTGGATTTGAAAGTCAACCCACAGCTACCAAAGTCTGAAACGTTTCTATTAGCGGCAATTGCAAAATAACGACTACAGTGAAATTTCCTGTATAATTAATGTACTCAATGGAGGGAACACAACAACAGACGGAGAAACAATGCAATAAATATCGATCAAAAACCCACTAAATAGGTTACTTTCAACCACAAATTTTAGTTTGCCACGAAATAAGCACCTCTTTTCGCCCCAAAAGGGGTTTAATAGTCTCGACATGCAGGAACTGTGGATTCCGAGAATAAATTATCGGTTCACTACATGAATAATATATAAGCGAGAACGACTACATACTATTACCTCTCCGTAGGGATGAGAAGTCCTGTCGATAAATATTAACAACTAGTGAATTAACTGATAAAATTATATTTTTTTTTCATCTTATTTATGTGAATTATTTTTTAAATTCACAACGTCAATTAATTAGGCTGCATATGCAGTTATGTGGCTGCGGAAGAAAAAAAGTACTAGTAATAAGAAGTGATATATTGCAAGCGTTGTTTGGACCAAACATGGTGGAACATAATTCGGTTAATATATTTACAATTCTTTTTTTGGTTACACTCGAAGACGCGTAAAATTACCTATTTTTTTTTTGATATTAGATAAAATACGAGACGCGAAATTGAAAGAGACAAACTGAATTTATATTAATGGGAAGTTTTGTTTGGAGTCGTACTTTTGAAATTAATATAGCACATGATTAATGTGAACTGGTAATATATACATTACCCCATCTGATGATAAATTAAAAGAGCGGGTTGGGAGATTCGCCGTTGTCTGGTAAATACAATTCGAATATAGTAAAAAAAAATCTGTTATTTATGAGTAATTCAAAATCTAACCTAAATATACGAATGAAAAATATTTCACTACGATGCAATGGAGGATAAGAGCAAATTTTATCATGATTGTATCCCTGGCATGTGTTAGTGAAATAAATAGTGACAATTTAACCTATATGGGAAGTTCAAGTAGTCCGGTCAAGGGACATGACGCCTCCCATACGGATGACGTTTACAAACACCTGGTAACACTTTACTACAAAAAAACGACTCGTACATTTTCGTGTTTCTCAGGCTAATGTTATCGTAGAAGATTAGTTAGACTCGGTCACAAATCACAACGTATGAACGCAGTTAAGTAGAATGAACAACACATACACGAAAGTGTATATTCTCTTGAAGAAACTTCGGCCTAACCACAAATCCCGTGTTATTACTTCCACAATGCGATTTTACTAAGAGCCATTTTACCAGTTGACCACAACAATAGAGTTAGTACAAACACGCGATGACGTATACACGGCCGTGTAGAAAAGATAGATACTTTTTAATTTTTAAAGCATGGATACCTAAGGGCCAAATCTAAACGGCATGATATCTTTAAACAGAGTTTTGACAAAAGAAATACTCGCTCCCATTCCCCGCCCTCCGATTAAATATACATCGCAGAAAAATAACAATGAAATTTTGAAGAAAATTTTGATCGAATTTTCTTGGTCGGTTTAGACTACCAGATACCTTTTGAGCTCGTGCCTTAGTGTTTTTAACAAGTACAAACAAAGCTTTATAACAAATGGGCGTTTTTTCTAATGGTTTGGTGGGAAATGAAGTTAAGATAATTGATTCTATAGAGTGATGGATGACAGACTGTCATATTGACAAATGGATTCTTTTTGTTGGTTACAGTTGGAAAAAAAGTTATTCCAAGGCGTGTAACCTGGACGAAACGCACAGCATAGAATATTCGTCAAAATACGGCAAATCCCTAACGATTAAGAACAGACAGGTAAGACAACCTTTCACAAAAAAGCAGAAATTAGAAAAATCTGCTCAAAAATGAAATCTTCCCGAGTCATACTTTTTGTAAAGCTGAACCAGTAGCGCCAGAATAAGAAACGTCTCGAGCCATTAAAGATAGACAACGCGTAAAATTAGAAAAATTTCTTTCAAAAATGAACGCCATTCCAATCATACTTTCCGCAAAATAGAACCAACCAGTAGTTTTATAAAAAATAAACTTACTGAAAGCGACCGTCAGTCTTGCGGTAGTGAAAACGCTCTTTTCTCCATCAGAAGCCTCACATCTGTATTCGCCTGAATCGGCTGTGTAAACGTCAAGGATTTGAAGTCTTGATCCCCATTCTCTTTCTTTCATTGACAGTCTTTCGTCTTCGCCAGTTTTGATTTTCATATTATCTTTATACCTGTAAATACACAATCGAGCTCAGAAGAAAATTCACCGAGCTTCCCATCAATAACCAAATAATCGAAAGAGAAAGACACAAAAATTTAGTAGAGGATTATATATCCCGATTTGTGAAAAGGTTAGAAGGTCAATGAGCCCACGACACAAAACAATTCCAAGATGGTGTCATCAGCGAAATATGAAGCTTATTTTGTTTTTGAAATGGAAAGTAGCCGTGACGTAAACACGTCGTGGGACGTAATGACGACGGCGTAACAAACTCCCTCTTCTCACGACTGTGAGTGTATCGTATCGTCGCCCTCACAAATTTTGTCTAAATTATATTCCCAATCATACTATGTTGGTTGTCATAATTTTAAAGATTTTTAAACAACCTCAAACATATCTTACCAAGTGAATGTGAGATCCCGTTTTGGTACAACGCTAACTCGACATCGAAATTGAAGTTTTTCTCCAGATTGCAGATATTCATCTTCCATTCCTTCAGTCAATTCTAAATCATGGTACTCTGAAATGAACAAATAACGTTGTCTTAAACCTGATTATACTTCTAATTATTACTGAATATAAAAGTAACACATGCAGATTATTTGATATGTAGGGAACATAAAAAAACACAAGAAGTGGCTACTAAAAATATCATTCTATGTGAAAACTTCAGTTAAACACAAAGCTTAATCATACTGCCTCGCTATTTGCAAAGGAAGTATTAGTAACGGTACATTTTCTGACAAATATCCAACGTTTGTTAAAGCTTTATGCCACACGATACGACGTGCGTGACATATTAACCCCAAGTGAAAGGGGAGTTAAACATCAATCCGCAAAGTTATCAATTTTCAGAATGCCAATATATCTTTTTAACGAGTCGAACGGAACAAATCTAAAACACGCATGTTCAAGTAGATTTAAGATGATCTAACAAATAAGCCAAAAAAAGGGAATTTAAGTGAAATTATATAGTTACGCTGAATTCAACTATATTTACACAACGTATGGTAAATACGACAGATAGAAACGGCTGAAGTTGAACGAGTTACAGATTTGATTAATAATTGGTAAATAAAGTAAATAGGTCCCTTACACCTGTTTCGTCAAAAATACGTGAATTTATTAAATTCGACCGAAAAAGTAATTCATCAATACGATTTGTCTTGTATTAAATATAGCAACGGCAAAATCTCCATTAAATTGAAACATTCTATCAAACTATTAATTCTATCGCGTGAATTAGAGTTCGCGCAATACTATTGTGAAAAAATTCAACAGTAGTAAAATTGGAATTTATAATAATACACAGTGCCAAAAATTTCAATACTTTTGTCAAAGTCACGTATAATGAATGACAAATGTTCCAAAGAATCCACATCCGCTTCTGCGTGTGAGAACACCAAGTCACTGGTTATTCGAACGTGAATATGAAGAGGAAAAACGTGTGCTACCGCCTTATGGGCTGAAAGGCCAGAATGTCATAGAATATTGATAAATTAACGTGACTTTTGCGGTGACTAATCGACCCAGGTCTAAGCCTAAGTTCTCCTTTCAGTCTGATATTTAACAATGGGTTTATCGGGCTGTAGGATCACGGCAACCGAGGGATGACAATAGAGATAACGGACCGCTTTGTTGTCTTTTTAAACACATCGACTGTGTGCTACCTGCAGATGGGAAACGGAACCGGACCTTACGGATTTAAAAGCTGAGTAAATATAAGTTAGCTTCCAGTTAACAAATCACGACCAAAACTGTGCGTTTATGGCAGAGAAACGGCTTAGTAACATCTTAAAAATCGTTTTCTATTGTAGAAGAAAATCGATTAAATTCAATTCGGTCCAAAGATGAGTGAATAATTGTAAACCCTTTATTCGGGGCTCGATTAATTTATACACCATGCCAGACCTACTAGAAATTGCCTCTATCAATTTTACACCCATGGGATATCTGTTATTGGATGAATCATATATACAGAATTCGCAAATAAGTACATTAAAAGTCGACGAAGATGAATCACGCCACAAAAGAGGTTGATTACCGTCTATATGAGTTCGAGTTTTGTTAATTAATCCTTGTTAATTTTTCATGAGCGCCGTCAAGAAGTGTTTACGTTGACGTAAAAATAATTATATAAACGAAATTAAACGAAGTTGACTTGATTTATTACAAGAAAAAAAAGAACGCAAAAGTAAGAGAATTTAAGTGGTAACTATTGTACGCGATGAAACCGGAGTTCCAGTTATTTGAAAAACTGCCAAACCACGAATCCATGCACAAAATTTTTTTTTCTTTTTCATGAAAAATCATTGCCGAGTGATTTTTACGTTTGATAAGGTTTTTACAAGTGAATGGGTCATTAATAACGGTTTCGTGCAGAAGATTTAAATGACATATTTATCAAGAGTTGCGAATCTCGCTGGGAGATTGTGAACGTCGATGGCATTCAGCGTAACAAGTGCCCGCGGGTGATTGTGTTCCGAGATTGAAAAGCGACTCCGAAATTCAAGTATTTTTAGTGGTTCGCGTATTATTAAACGAACTCTTTGTTACGAAGGATCACTTCTGATAAAGCTTAACTGTCACAATTTTCGACTAAAATAATGACTCGATTATTTGAGCTCGACTTAGTCTATAGTTTGGCACTTATACCACAACTTTACACATATTTTGGCACATTCCTCATCGTTTCAGTGATTGAACAGAATTGAAAAATAAGTCTTCACATATAACATAAACACACTTCACATAGTACACTTCTGTACGTTTGTGTATATGTCCGCGGTCTATGTGGCAGGCTGGCAGCCCAACGTGCTTTTACGGAGTAGGCCACAATTAAATATATATTTGATAATCCTGAAGTGCGTGCTAATTCAGACCATTTGCCGTGTCAAGTCAAGCCATGAGTTTGTATATGAACTATTAGCGGAGTACAGGCATACGGCTTTGTCCAACATCAACAAATCTTAGATTATTTGCAAGAACTTAGCAAGGATAAGATTTAGAGCATAAATTGAGTTTACAGGTTTAGTGGGTTCACATCGCGCATTTGAGACCCCACCTATTGTAGTTTTTCTTCACCCTTAACCCGGGGTCAAATCGAGTAAGGGTAGACGCTGGGTGGATTTGAAGCGTATAAGACGTTTCGCTTTGCGGCAACGCCAATTGTTCTATATACTTAGGTTGCATGAGAATAAGAAATATTCTGTATGCTGCTTTGACAAAGAGACAAATGCTTGCAATTCGCATAACGATGCATTTTCGCCTTAGATTAGATTATGTTGAAATTACGGTGTGCGAAATTTGTGTAGGAACGAAATTCAATACCCTAACAAGATCGAATTTCAATTTCGCACTTGAAAATTTATACGACTGAATTTGAAAACTTCCCAAAAATAATTCCTAGTTTTTTAATTCTTTCATTGTAGTTCGAAAAACGGAAAATACCAAAATAGACACCTAAATAAAAACGTTTCACCCAGACAAAAATAATATATTAGCAAGCTTGTAGATTTATGGAATATACGACTTATATGGTTTTCACCTATAAAGCATGTACCATATAAATATCACATATTTGTTTGCATAATTCAGTACTGACGACGATGTGTCGGCCGCGCGACTAAATCAGGCACATGGCAACAGATTTCAAATTTAATTTAAATATTGTCAAAACGAATCCAAGCGTGTTAATAGGATTTAACGGTGCTTTGACGGGTCGGAGTATTGGCTTTTTTACTGACCACGGACAATATGGCATATTCTTTCAAAAATGTAATAACTAAAATGTGTTTCAAAGAAAACACAAAACTCCTCAACACCCTTGAGTATAGAAACATTTTTGTAGAAATGTTACAGTCTGAAATTAAAACAGCATTGAAATATGGAATCTTAGAAAAAAATCCTTTTTTCGATTTTTCAATAACCAAAACTAGTCTTCATTTTGTGCTAAAAATTAAGAGAATTTGAGCACTAAACACACCAATAACAACAAAATATGATGTATCAAAAATCTCCTAGTATAGGATGGAGGCCCCCACTCCACCCTCACTGAAAACTCTTTATTTACTTTACATATACTAAGTAATGAAAATTGCATTAGGTGCATAGAATTGCGAAGTGAGACAAACTTTAAAACTAAAACAACTCATTTTATATTATTTTTTAAAATATATATTCCGATAGATGGGCCAGTGATGTATAGTTCGTTCCATGTACGGCATATACTCGACCAAACGTTATTCCTTATCTAAATAATAATACTTTAGAAATATTTCTTCCACGCTAAACTGAGCGTCTTATCAATAAACAGTAGATTAAAAATTTAAACTATGTTTATCTGGCAACCATCGAATGCTACTTGAATGTTGACATTGGATGCCTCTGCCAATGCCACACAGTTCATTTCTTGAATAATTTAAAGGTACGGTGAGCCAGCGATGGCGTCGGAATGGTGGCGGTTTTGCTAATCCTAGAACGAAAAGTTGGGAATTTTCGATGCTAACAAACCAGAAAACAGATACCGAAAAATAGAAATTCCGGAACCCCAAAAATCAAATTTAACTTGATCATACAAAAACAGGAGATAGAATCATATTCGATAAGTGTTCTTGTGATAAACTAGCACGATTTCGTGTGATTACTTGATATAAAGAGAGTTTAGAAAGTCCAGTGAATCGACTAAAAATTATGAGATTTGATGGCGACTACTTTGCGAGCGAAGGAATTACGAGCAGTCCATAATTGGGCACATTCATCCCCTTTACTTGTACGATAAGGATCTAGTGACATTAAAATATCTAGTGACACCACTAAATTTTGATGAAATATTATGATAACGTGACACAAAACCCGCCAAAAATGTGTCAATATCTCGAAGTGGGTAACAGATCGGGATCGAATACTGTATATAAATATAGAACGCTGTGCCATGTGTATTTCCGATAGGATATTATATGAATATCAAAAATTTATCGCCGATAAAAAAGCGACAGGAATGTAGGCTTTATCCATCGACCACATAAAAGAATTCACGTTAATCAATTTGTGGAACATAAATTTGCCTCTTTCAAATAGATAGATTTCGTAATAATTTACAATTGATGTAAACAAAGAGGACAACAACCCCGACAAAGAGCATATTTGTAAAATAGTTAAGATAATTCGAAAACGTGACCCAACGCGCCAAAATTAGACCGTCAAGAACCTTAGGAACGCAATTTTGTCAAGTGAAATTCCAAGCTAATGTCAGTTAAACACGGGCTCTGACCCGTAATTATTACTCAGTACCGTCACCGTTTCCCGCACTCGCAAGCGGCAATTATTATATATACATGCGCTGAAGTGGTGGGGAGAGCTAATTTGTGGAGAATTTCGCTGCACAATGTGTAAACTGCAATTAGAATGAGGTATATAAAGTGATCTTCCACACAACAAAACAAAATCTGAAATAGCGCATAAGTTTGCTTTGTCATGATGAGACAAATTCGACAGAAACATTACTTCCTTTCATTGTAGCAACAGGGACTTACTGAAGGACCATGATAACGAGATTCTCTATAATTCAACACGACCAGATATTTTGCATTCTAAGAATGTCAGATCACACCAAATCAAACCTAACGAGATTCTCTATAATTCAACACGACCAGATATTTTGCATTCTAAGAATGTCAGATCACACCAAATCAAACCGCATAATCCATAGGCATTTAGGTAATATTAAAATCCTCAGCTATGCCGGATGAGCAATACATGGTTGGAAGATGAGTTTGTTTGTTGTCATTTGACAGTTGCCTCGAAGGATTACGGCTTTGGATACCGAGCCAAACTGTAATCTTCGAGTACGGCATAATACCATTTTCATGATGTAATAGTATCTTAAAACATTCTTTTGCAAATACATATAGAAAATTTGAAAAATGCAAATATGTGGCCAAAAAAAACGCGCAATGTTCTATCCCTAACTGCACCACACTAATTACGAAAATTAGCTCTTTGCGGTTTTGGAGAAATGTGATTCATGGCCGGTGGGTTTGGTTACAAAATTATGACAGCCTTTGACAAATGACGAAAAGCACTTTAGCAATCATAACGAAACTATCGTTGCCAATAACCCTAAATAACTATTACCGGTGAGAGAGATTTCAATGTGCTCTCTGGTGTAGTGGGTATGATACCATCCCAACATCAAGTGCTGCAAGTTTGGCTGCAGTTCGGCAAGGGTGTGCCGTTTGCGGCGTCTACTGACAATAACATCTTAGCCGACGCGAAATGTATCGTGTTTGTGTGCAACTTGATTTCCACCAAAAGAAAAGCAATAGGGATGTAAGACTTTCATTCTTGACGAAAAATCGTATGAAGTTTGATACATAGCAAAACGAATCTACCATGTTTATGATTCTTAAAAACGACTAGGAATTTTGAATTGTTGTCCGGCTATTTATGTTCCATTATAATATAGCTCCATAGTATACTTCTAAGTATTATTAATGATTAAGTTTTTAATTCGTAATGTAAACCAGTGGCACTGCGACATAATACAAATAACATCAACGAAAGTCTAAACAATTTTACGTCGTTTCAAATTTCAATCAGAGCGAAACGCAGCTGTTTAAATTACTACTGTCGTAGAAAATTGATAGCGGGTTTGCAAAGTACTTTACCAAACGTAGTACATTGGTAACATTTTTGAGCAGATAAACATTCCGTAATATCCCCTGGCAGAAGTTTGGCGAGCCAGTGACAAGCGTGAGCGCTCGTTATAGAAAACAGAAACTAAATTTCAAGCAGTTACTTGTCATTAAGGTTTCCTTTACCACCCACTCTATACATAAAGCTCTTAAAGCGCTATCGAAAACTATGGAAATGTTAAACACCTTTCGTTACAAAAGGAAACCGTAAGATCATTTGACTAACTTGACAATATGATAAGTATAATAGCATCAAGGGGTATTTTAAGCTCCTTATTACAAATCCCACCAAAAATGAGCGAATTATTCGTTAATGTCAGTAAACGCTCATGCATGAATTTAAAATATAAAGACGAAGTTTACCTTCGAAGTTGTCGTCGTCTCTGAAATAAAAACAAAGGGAATAATTATTAATTCGTTGTCATAGTAACATCATTAGGTGCGACGGGGTGGGTGATTGGGGGTAAAGCCAACTGATTAGCAAACAATTGTACTCAAAATGCAACTACCGACGGTCTGGTTTATATATATGACAAAAGGATCATAACAGTATAATAGTACCATGAACTCAAAATGAATCCACACGGTAATAATAAGTGTTTACATGACTGTTTTTAATGACACGGTAATAAAACTGCTGGTATCAAAATACAGGGCAACTTAGGATATCTAATCGATGACAAGCACTTGAAAAGTAAAACAATACTGGTGTGACTAAAATGATCGGACAGGAGTAACGTACTCAGAGGTTGTGTCTATTCGTACACAGTCGACAAAATGTCTATTAGTCGTATTCCTACTACAAGAGTCCGGATTTCATGATGGACTTTCAAAAAAAGGCACTTACAATTCTTCGTAATCAGACGCCGCCGTCGTCGTAAGGTCTTCGTCAACTGGTGATGACGTCACAAAGCCTACGAAAAAATAACAATTATATAAAATTATTTGTAGTGACACATAATCATTACCACTATTGAGTTAATATTGCGTAAATTTTTTTAAACAAATTGGATTTAAAAGCGATCCGTGCCATATTTCAGACAAACAGTACAGAAAATGGCTTTTGAGAACTCGTAATGAAAAATTGACACCGACATTGGAGAATTATATCATTACGGGCATCGACTTTCATGTCAGTCATCGGCTTGGAAGACGATTTTGCCTCAAGAAAAAGCAAAAGAGGTGATTAGATGAGCAACTGCCGGTAATAATGATGTTCGCCCAAGAGGAAAATAAAAGTATTACCACAGATCATATTTAAAAATAATGTATAACCAATGTGAAACGTGCGGTTAATACAACCGAAAACAAACTTGTATAAGTAAGCTGAATACTACATTTATAAAAAGGGCCCATAACATTAAAAATTATTCAATTTTATCATATTTTTAATCGCCGGACCGACTCATAAGCCCGACAAAAGATTTCAAACAAGACTATATTTTTCAATGGTTTACGAAAACTAAAGCCCGTGGGAGATGACTGGTTAATTTAATCCGGAAGGTAAATCTAGTCCTTTTGTTCGTTAACCAATGAGTCCCTCATTTGCGCACACGATTTAAAAACTTAAAAATATTATTGTTGGCGATGGCTACAAAGGATTGTTTGGTAGACGATTACCAGTCCAACGGAAACTAAATAGTGGTTTGATCAAAATAATAATCAAATTTACTCGATGATGAAATATCGCTACAAAGCTACTTTTCAATGCGAAAGGGAATGAGTATTTCTTTACGTCTTTACGTAGATTTAAAATTGCGAAAGAAGTTACAGAAATTAATAGATCATTCGTGTTATAAATATGCCAATCATTTTCAATGTTCTGACTTTGGAAAGGCCTTCTTTGCCTTGCTATTCTCCTATGCCTCAAAAGTGACATAATAGCTGGCATTCGGTAAATAAAGCGGGCGCGTATAACGATTTGTGACGTAAAGCATGTATTCAACGTCATACTTCGATTTGAATCATTAGATTTACAACATAATGGAAATACCATCTCGCTTAGTGTAAATCTCAAAAAATTAAAAATGTTAACGAATTATCCACGTAAGCCTTGAGGACTAAGTCTTTATGACCCCCCTCTGCGATGGGCATGAAAAAAAGAATCTTATAACCATACTTCCTTTCGCAAAATATGCAAACCCAATCAAAAATCCAACTACGTAACAAATTAAGCGTTATGGACCAGAAACCTAAATACCGCTTTACTAAAAAGGTCGAAAATCTAATGAGAAAAATATTATGGTAACACAGTGTACCCCAGTGAACAGCCACAACAAACAGGATAAGAACAAAGTCCACTTAAGAAACGTGAAACACAGGGTGTCACATTGTAAATCTTCAAAGCTATAAGTCAATGTAGTAAAGAGCAATAGCAAGGTCGTCTCATCCGTCGTGTAAGCAAATAGAAATTACCGAACCGGCTTATTGAATTAAAAAAACCAATGCAGTGCAAGCTTGGCTATATATAAACCCATACCTTGAGCATCTGGTAAAAATATACAAGTTTACTTGATGGAAATATAGTCCAGATGCATAACCTCAATATTTAGGTCCTAAACCAAGAAGGCCAAATATCGACAGACGGGTTGTTGTCATGAAAACAATGGCAAAATGTGGTAGATCCCGAAGGCTCCCACGATTTAGGAAGAAAAACACAAAATAGAGATAATCCGCAAAGGATAGCATAGCATCGCATAACGCGATGCAGCCATATTTAGTATGTATAAAGTATAAACTTGTTACACAGTCAATTTTAGTATATCTTGATTGCTTTACGTGTTTGGGGAACTGTCTTAATCGTGAAACAATAAGTTCAAAAGTAAAAAGCTATCAACAAAGACGAATGGGGAAAATACCAGACCTGATGCACTACTACTGCGCTACTGAATTTCGATGCCTCGAATAGTTTCGGCTTTACAATACCTGACTTGTAGTTCGTCAGGAAATGTGATACCACAGACTTAGTACTTTCCTAGTCAGGTGGGAATTGGTGCCAAGTTATGGTAATGCATACCGGTTGAAATAGTGCACGAAACCCATTAAGACCGCAATGTACTATCAGTACGTTCACATATCTTATATAGATCGTAATTGCACTCCAACCAATTCATGATAACGATGGAAAACAATACTTTTGAATTCTGATAAAAAGGTTAAAGCAATTTCCTACAGTAGAATTCTCAAGTTGTGAAGTGCGCATGGAATTTGAACCACCATGTCCGAGAACTGAACTTTCTCAGAAAGAAAACCTTCCTGATTTGGGACACATGAGTGTTAGGATCGCCCGATTTGTACAAAAAAACTTCTCCAGCAGAGACAAGTTTTCTTCCTTAAAAATTCCGCCTCAAAAATTAATTTTCGTTGCCGCTAAACTATGTTTTCTTTAGCGCTGTGATATCGTAAAGTTTATGGGCTATAAAGTGGCAATATTGGTTACCACGTAGGAAATATAAATTTGATCAGCAGTTATATAGAGACAATGTACTATTCAATTTTACATTTTTATTTGAATGATATTGTTGAAAATCCTATAAGATAGGTGTATAAAATTACCTCCATATTTTCAGTTTTATTTCCTAACGGGTAACACTTACTATACTGAGCTTTTATTTGGCTTTGACGTCATCAAGGCCAACGGCCGAAGCTTACTATAACATACGAGGTTATTCGATTCTGTGAACAAGATTGCGAAAACAACTTAGTAATAAAATAATAACTTTTGATATATGATGGAAAATTTTATTTCTTAAAAAATTGGACATATCCATATTTGCGTAAAGCAAATAAAATCGTCTCATTGTCTACTGTATTGAAAAGCAAATCGGGATTGCGTGGATCAGAATGTTAGCTTAGTTATTCCATCAAACATAAATTACCGCTCGGGCGTCTCCGTCCGCCACGGCACAATATTTAGTCGCCTTCCCAGAGACTCTTACACCGCGAAAGGGATCTGTATAGCACGTCAGCCCCTTGACATGATTGATAATTGGTTTTGTAATATAATAAGTAAAGACGTTAATCATATCACTAAAAGCCGTGTACATAAAACCCTACTATATCATTCTGTTTCGTTCAGATTTTAATTTAGCATTTAACCAAGCCTGAGATACAGAAAAAAGGCGGTTTGAAAGTTCATTAGTGTATGGCCAGGTTGTAATAAACTACCCCACATATATGACAAGATATTGGGAAACAATGGTGTGCGGTGTAAAACATTACGACTTTGTTGTTCTACTTAATCGATATTGGCTTGGAGTAATAATCGACGATTATTAAATATCATTTCTTACTGCGTAACGTTAATAAGTGCCTAAACGTTGAATTTACATTATCATCAAATTTTTAATTATCAGTGCAGTGTATCTTGCAGATTAGATTGATTAGAAAGCCAGGGAAGCGCACAAATACCTTGATAGAGCTACAAAAAATTAGCGACCGCCATAATTCTTGCCGGTAAGATTGAATCACCAGAGAACACTGTGGTCATAGTTGTTAACATTGGGATTCAGATTGGTGCGCTTTGTCGTCCGTAAACGATTCATAACTAAACAAATCACCAATTTAAAGCTTTGAACGAATTGCTTCTATTGCTATATCACTGTACGCATATTTCAGTCAATTAAGAATAGCTGTATACATTGGTAAATTGAACAAAAAGCAGATTGGTATAACAGACTAATCCTATTATGTGTTTTGTAAATGTTGGTTGAAAAAATGAGAATATGATGGAAAAAATAAATATATTATATATTTTCTTATCGCAACTTCATTAACGCATTCTTAGGTACCACTAAATTAAAAGTCGGAAACCTAATTTTCTCTGCTATTAGGTCCCTTTGCGCCATTAAATTACATTTTGTATATACTAATGATTTACTGCCAAGCAGTATAAACAATACAAGAAGATAGACGGTGTTTAGCACGCATGGATTAAGTTCGATTTTTGTGTGGTTTTGGATTAGCCGAGCATCTAACGCATATCGCCTCGGCGGAATTCAAGGGTCATAAATGTGACATCGAAAGCTTTTTAGATATTGAGTTGAATATTGGTATGTACTGATCATGTAGGATCGTCTAGTAGTACAAACTTTTTACGAAATGAATACGTACGCACAAGGCAAAACAATTTCAAAGCAAAGATCGGGTCCCGGTGGACATCGAGTCATGATACATTATTGTGAACAAGGCAACAAAAGTGCGGTCGGTACTTATCACATATTAGGGTTTCCGCAGGTCCGGTAACGTACACATTATTAAACAATGCCGGCTGACGTCACAACAAGAATTACGTAATTGTGTCAAAGCAACACAAAGGGGGTCAAAATTTAGAAAAAAGTGATATGTAGAGATAATGCAAAGCTTATGATTTCAGTTTAATGTACAGGAGATGCATCAGCCCATTTAGATTGTATCTACGGATTCTATGACAAAATGCTGTCGAATAGGTGCTTGACAAAAGCGTGGGGTAAACAACATTCTCTGGGTGTGGGGCAAAATGGGACTACCGCACACGTAATTGCTACCGTGCGGTCAAATTAGAGTACAAAAAATCCTATTTTTCGCGAGCTTTCAAATAAATCTGCAAAGAGCTGTGGTTATTATTGTAATACTTTTGTAATATTGAAACACTGATGTATCTTTCAAAAGCGGGCCGTTTTTTGTAGAAAACTTGAGTTTCTTAAGCTTGGCCAACATAATCCAATAGTGAAAAGAGTTAATTCGCCTTTGGTTATCAATACTTTACTTATTGGCCATGTTTGAGATGATTATAAGTTTATACCATTGATATTTCGCGATGCAGCGAGGTGGAAAATGAAACTCGCATAGTAAATATAAACCAACGAGCAGGTGAACAACTCAACCATGCATGACGGCGCTTTAACTTATAATTTTTGCTGTTGTGAAAATACATTACATGAGTTCAGTCAATTTTACAAAACTTGTGAATGTTTGAAGTTATAATTTGACCATAATAAGTGCAGTTAAGATGCATTTTGATGAAATTTATACGTGTTTACAAGACGCAAATTCGCATTTGGGGAATGCTAATGTTATTTCGCCAACAAAATCAGAATGTACCATAGGCGTATTGTGATAATAATAACCTTCGAAATAGATTCATGTTTTGGGCACCAAGCATATTTATTTCATTGCGTCATCAAAATGGAGATTATGTAGTTGAGTGAATTGGATTGCGGGCTTTAATCAAATTATCCTAATTACGCTGATATCTCAGCATGAAATTAGTCGAGTACGTCGACGTTTATTACGGAGTTGATAACGTTAAAGACCGTTGTTGTTAGTTGAAGCAAAAGCCTAATGTCCCGTAGCGACGAACAACAAACTTATATGTTTGTACACAAAAATCTATTTAGATTGATCGTCGATTCTCTTGTCAAACAACTCAACAACTGTAGCCTCATAGGCTACTTGTGTATTACTCCATGTTATAAGGTTATTATCATTTTCAAATCTACTTTAAAATGCATTTATCACATTAAAGAATATATACATTATCGCATTTTTTCGCTCTGGAGAAAAGTTCGATTCAGTGATAGTGGTATTTTCGGAAGACGCAAACTTTAGAAATGAGCAGCCTAAAAAACCTGAAACTCGTTATACTGCCAATAAAAAGCAATATACGAACTAATCAATTTTGAAGTCGGTGCTACTGGTAGGAGACAATGGCCATAATTTTCATTTAGCGTCCGTCAACGGTAACGATGAATGATGCCCAAAGTAAACAAAGTATAAATTATGAATATTTGACCTCTTTCTACAGAGTTGACATTATTTAGTGTCACGTTCCACAAAGCAATGATCATCGGTGATATAGGATATTTGGACAAAGTCCATTACCGGCCATGCCATTTTCCACGCATAAAATGCCGGCAAGAATGTAATAGGCGTGTCCGCAGTAGCACAGTTGCATAAACATGGTCGCTTGACATGGGTCAAACGTGGAAATTAAAAATGAATATTGCATTAGCTTCGATTCCTAAAATTTAACAAATTTAACCTCAAATTGACTTTTCTACCGGGAAGTGAAGAAGCTCAACGATCAGTCAGTTGTGCCGACATCAAAGTATTCACACCGCGGACATTGTAAGAAAATTTCATTCGTTGTAAGAAAATTTCATTCGTTGTAGCGACAAGCGTTAAGTGGGAATTTAGAAGTTAACTCATTTATGACGTCAGAAAGGAACAATAATTCTCTCGACATGCAGACTAATTTAAATGCTGCCGGCCCCACAATGACCTCAATGACCTATCGACGCAAAACTCTCGCTGTTCTCCTATTGTATTAGAAACAATGCAGTTTCGTCACAACCGCGCGAACAATTATAAAGACCACCCTCTGATATCGATTAAAGGTGGACCTCGATTGATAATTACGTCTGTCACTTTTGCTGAAGTATCAAACTAAATCTCGAGCAAAAATCGACATAAGGTAAATATAACATCATATTCGCGACAGCTTGTCAGATTGCCAATGGAAATATGCTAATATATATTATATAGGGCAATTACATATAATAGTAAATTTGTATGACTCTCCTGGCAACAATTATCAACGATTTTCAATGGAATAACACATTATTTATTGGACGAATTCGAATTAGATGCATGGCGAGTTGATACAAATGTTTAACATCCAAACCATCCTATTATAGTAGAGTTTGGATGAAATTTGAAACCGAATTATATTTCCCAAACTATGAACACCAGTTTTTGTCACATTTAAAATGAATGCTCAGAGGGCCGGTTTCTTTTTAATCCGTTGCGGGATGTGATAAGATTAATTCTTGCTCATAATAACATAAGGTAGTATTTAATTCCATAGGTGCGATATTTTAATAAGAAATCACCACAGCCCACAATTGCAACAAGCAAGCCGATATTGTCTTTCCCCTCTTCACCTTTCTCCGAAAGGTCAGCTGAATTAACCCTCAGCTCGCCTCCAGCAATTATCCGGCAAATTATTCATTGTGATATAACGGTACGTCGACTTAGAGTTAGTCTGTCATAATTGCTCTTTTGTTTCGAAAATGTTAGAAAATCGCACTCGGCGACAACGATTAATACGGGCAATTAATGTTGCAATTTAATGATCACAATGAAAATACAATCGTTTCGTCGCATTACGCGATGTTTTACGATAAACAAAACGCTTGACCCAGCTATTAACAGAGATGGAACGACGAAATACGACATGGTACAATTTAAGACACTTAATTATAGAAGAATATACTTTCGTTGTTTTCCCCGAGACTAAATTGGGATATATGTAGGCTCAAATAAACACCTGATGGGAAACTACATTCGCTTTGAGCATTTTTGTTGATAATTTCAAATAAAAAAAAAATCACGAAACAATGGCCAAGCTTCGAATCTTTATATGGACTGCAATATATTGAAACATAAAAATTAAATTTACCTTTTGATGACACAGAAAGAAGAAATACAAGGCATAATAACGTCGATCTTCTCCACGTGCAATGTTTCCGTCTGCGATCCATCTTATGCTGTTTCGAGGTGCTTATTTTTCAGGTACGAACGTCGCTTCGCGGTGGGTTGAATTTCTCAATCAAGTTACACCGCTTACTAAATCCCGTATCAGGAAAGCACTATTTACCTACTAGCTATAAATCACCCTACCTCGTCTTTGCTTTGTTTTCTGCTGAGCAAGAGAATAATTTCATCAAATAAGTAACTTTGTGGTCAAATTTTATTTCAGTATTTCCCTCGTTTGAAAAACGGACATTTACAGGATTAAGGACAGTGCCGACAGTTGTTGCCATAGAGGTGTTCGTATAATCTTGTGTCAAGTAAGCACAACAAACAATTTAGATATCAAAATAAGTAGGGAATACATTATAAGCCGTTCAAAACTTCATTAGCGACGTACATGATTTAACTTCCTCCATCGTTGAGTGTTTACAAAAGCAAAACAACCTGCAGGGTCAATTTAAAATGCAGTATTCTGTATCTGAAAATTACAAGCCTCGTACAGTTTTGAACCCTGAAACTAAACTCAATTTATTGTTAACATTGGTTGCCGCTGAACGGTCCTGGTTTCCCATCCAAATGATATATAGTACCGGCATTTTGTTTACGAATTTATAGAAACAAAACTACCGTCTCTTTCGCATACCTTAATATATTTATGAAATGTTCTGTCTCTAACCATTACAAGATCACACATTTTGCTAAACAGTTTGGATAGAAACAAACAGCATTTATAACGACGCAAGAAATTTACCAGCTTATCGCAAACACGACCCGCCTCGAGCAAAGACCTCGGTCGACTGCACGACTTCTCTCTACTTTCGGGCCCGCATCGGCGAAGCGAAAAAAGAACCTCGGAGAAAAATAACGTCTGTATGTCACAGACGCGGGGGCAGAAAATTCCTAGTTTTGAAAATCGACTAATTAATTTAGCATTGTTATATCTTCGCTATACAATGAGAAGTATTTGAAGGGAGTCAATTGTTGAATTGTTATAATTGATTGACAAAATGTAGCAATCTCGGCTAGTCTGCACCCTTGCAATAATGAATTGAAGCTGAAAAGTTTTGGAAAACAATTAACCATAATGGCAAATATCATTTTATGAATCTTATTCAACAAATAGATTACCATTTCAAGCAAATTGAACTTTAGTATTTTTGCTAATTTTGTCCTCGATATTATTTTGTCGTCCTCTCAAAAAAATATAGAAACATTATACCAGAGATTTTGGACTAGCTTCTTGTTCATTCGCTTTGCGTTATGCTGTATCCATAAAAGTTATCCATTATAGTGTCCAAGCTAGCAGTCCTTTAAACTCCATAGAATACAATTTAGTGATCTCTATAGCCTCATTACAATTAAAACTGATATTTTAAAAATGAGTCCACGTTTGAGCGATTCTAAAACTATAACTGGAATATTAACACAGCGTCCTCTGAGCAACTCCACTCTCAAATGTGGCAAATGTTCGTTTGTAGTTAGTTACTATATTTTACCAATCGGTGCTAAACCATCGGAATCGGTTCCTGTGAAATGCGGAAGCTGCAAGTACTATCAGAGCTGCTAAATGCGGAGCATGAGGACATCGCACAAATAACAAACGCGGCGGGAGAGTCAAAGTAAATGGTGATAAAACTGGTGCAACGGATGTTGATTTGCATGCCTGCAACTGGGTTCAATTAGCAAGCTTACGATAAGCTGTTATTCTTCTCGAATCCCGAATGGATAACAAAATTTCCAGCGATAAATGGCTAACTAGATTTTCTATATTGGGGAATCGACTATTTTGATCTATGCGATACATACTGTTTCAAACTTACCCTATTTCATATAGTTGCTTAGCGAAATATAAGTAAAGAGCTGTTTACCTACAGTGTATATCTGAAACGCTTTACACTGATAGTATCTTAACTATGCAACATGTAAGAACATTACATCGCCGCTTTTTCAATAACTTCCAACGTTCGCCAGGTTCCTTCTTTATTTGTTATCGGTCATCAACTAATGCATATACCTGCGTATATTGTCACTGTCAATAAAGCTATTTAGTAGTACGTAGTTATGGAATAACTCCGTAAAAATGAATCCAAAAAAATTCTTTATTTTTCGACACCGCCAGTTTCATATATTACCCTTCCACATACATACACTGCCGCCGAGTAAATCAATCTTTTCGGAAAATGGCTAAAATGCGTGACAAAAATGTGAACTACATGGCGATAGTTGTTGTTTCGTTTTCAGCGCAACGCAGGGTAAGTCCTGAGTCATACATCGTCAAAAGCATTAAAATTGGTCAAATTATGTGTGTGAATTTAAAGGCCCAATATGCTACTCAAACAAAAGAAAACAGAATAATAATGGCCAAAAGTACGCCAGCCCAAAATTTTGGTGGGGGCCAAATATATATTGTATTTTCAAGCAATGATATTGGGTCTGAGACATCACTTCTTTAAGCAGAAAAAGACCACATTCGATCGTTAAGGAAAATAACATTCAACAACTTAGCTGGCTTTTTGTAAATACAATATTTTTTTCCCGAACAACTTTTTCTTTGATACAACAAATATTTATGAGGCAATCTGAACCAGTAAAAACCCATCCTTCGCTTTCCGCCAACTATGCTCGCCACAACCCGATTGATCTTCTCCTTAGTGATCCTTTCACGATGACAATAAAGGACACACAAATCGAAAAGGGGATTGGACGTCATTGATGGGCGCAGCCATGTCTTGACCCGTTTCCTACAGGAAAAAGAACGCTCAGCATTAACGGTTGTTGCTGGTAGCGTCATACCGATCTATATTGCCGTGTGCACGTTTGAATAATCTCGACTGCTCAGAAGAAGCTCCTTCGTCGTTGACGTCGGAGCTCAAAGAAGATCTCCATAGTCTCACTTCATTCAGGAGGTTATCCAACAAATACAAAAGCTCAATCTCATCCACCCGGACTGGTTCGTTTGGAGGAAGAATTGATAGTGAAGCAAAAAACGAGGGGTTGCCAATGAAGCGTTCCCGGATAGAGCAGCTCAAGCCGTCGACGTATGGAAGATATACGGAACGTTGGGACTGGGACGCTGAATCAGCACAGATGTTGTCGTGATAAACTTGTATCTCGACTACTCTGGGCATTATCAGATCTTGGTAATCTTGGAAATTTGGGAGGGGCCACGGCCCCTCTCGCCCTCTGCTGGCTACGCCTATGATAATGGCTTTCATTGTCAAGACTGTTATGTTCTATGCTTCGAGTAACATACCTTCGCGTGGACATTTGGGAAATGGAAATTTTGCAAAGCATCTTCAATTTCGTATCGACACCGGGGGTGGAGATTTGATACAAAAGGAGATTCTCGGGGTAGCAAGCAATATGATAATGCAAGATATAATTATGGAGAACGTTTGTGTCCGTAAGGGACAGAACAACTAAGCATTGTTTTAAGATATGTGAAAGGTAGCGAACTGTTTTCTATCATATAGAATCATTCTGATAGAACCATTCGCGCGCACACTCCACGCGGTCGGAGTCAGTGTGCGTCAGTAATGAGCCTCACATCCTCCGTTTAGAGCGTTCTCACTTAAGAACGCAATGAATCGGACATTGCATCGAATATTTACAAAGAAACTTGTGAAATAGCTGACTTGAAAGATTTTACAATACCCAGAGTAGTTGAAGTACAAGTTCAACGCGACAACGTCTGTGCTGATTCAGCCTCCCAGTATTCCCAACGTTCCGTATACCTTCCATATGCCGACGGCTTCAGCTGCTCTATTTGGGAACGCTCCATTGACAATCCTTCACTTTTTCCTTGATATCAATTTTTCACCCGAATAAACCAGTCCAGGTGGATGAGATTGAGCGTCTGTATTTTCTGGATAACCTCCAGAATGAAGTGAGACTGTGGTGAGCTTCTTTGAGCTCCGATATAAATGACGAATGTTTGGAGGAGATTCGTCTGAGCTCTCGAGATTATCCAAGCGTGCACACAACAATACAGATCGTTATGACGCTACTAGCAAGTAGCAGCAACTGTTGAGGCTGAGCGTTTTTTCTTGTATAAACGGGCGTAGACATAGCTGTATTTGTCACCGTGAAATGGTCACTGAGTGGAATATCGGGTTTTGTCGACTGTCGAGCATTTTAGTGTGATTGCAGCATTAAAAATTAGCCCCAAAGCTGCGACCAACTAAGCTAAAATTTTCACATCAAAAATTTTGATATGGTGAAGTATAACAAACATTTAATTGGGGTAATCATCCACTGCGGGAGCAGTTCGCTTCAATGGTTACGACTTTACTCGCACCCAAAGTACATACCTCCCGAATACCTCCAATTTTAGTTTAAATTTTTGAGATAAAAACGACATCTGTCGTTTAATATCGGAAATAGAACATCGGTAACCAAACTTTTTTTTTAATAACATAAGTGAAATATTTTACTGTTAACAACTCGTTTTACCATCATTACAATAAGCGTTATATACAGCGGTGGGATTCAAATGTTTTGTCAGACGGTTCCATCACAAAAGTCATATTTTCCAGCCGGTTCTCAAAAATCGGTGTCTCAGGTAAGATGCAAAAATCCATTGACAGTAATCAGTAATGCTAACCGGTTCGCTGATCTCAGAAAATTCCGTGAGACGGTTCTGTAGAATCGGTGCGAACCGGCTGAATCCCACCACTGGTTATATATCCATAAATGTTACAATTATAACAGTAGAGTAATATTATTAACATTTGAATAAAAGATGTAAAGAGACATTTTTGAAAGGATAGTCATCTATTTATTTTAGTCTACACATCTATTTATAAATTTATATACATACCAACAACCCCACAACCAAAGCGACGTGAAATTTTGAAATAACAAATCCATTGTTGCGTGAAGAGGGTCAGGGGTCATATTATGACGCAAAACGTAAAATGGCGGCAACTCGGGTTCAGTCGCTTTTCCTTCGCTTTCGTTTCTGATTTGTTTTTGTTTTGCCTATTATTTGCAGACAATCAGACATTTAAAAGACACTAATTTGAAATGGAGTTAGCTTGGACAATAGTTTTTACCGTCGAGCGCAAAATTTTAATAACTGCATGATGATACAGATACGTCACAGTGATAGGTGCATGAATTTTCAGCTTCTTGACGTTGAGGAGTTTCAGAGATGGAGGTCCAGTGACTGATTGCTGAACGGACTTACACGCATACCTACGCTACCCTGCTACCGGTACCGTGATTGCTACTGTCTGACTGTGCTACCAAATGCTGAAATGAATAGCCTATTATTGTTTTTGGTGACAAATTTAATTTTTGTAAAATGTTTCTCTTTGTTAAATTAAAACTAATGTTGAAAATTTTTTTTCTGCAAAAATGCCATTCATGATAAACTTTGAAACTCCCAAATGCTATGGTAATTTTTTGGGTCTGGTATAGTTTAGTACCACATGCATTTCTAGTTGGCCTGGCTCAACAATTTTTGCATAGGCTACCGTATGTCAATCCTAACCCCCACTTGACTACGTCACCGAAAAATTAGGTCATCTCGACATCACAGTGGCGTAATAAGGCCCACCAAAGTATGCGAATGGTCGTCCAAAACGCGCAGACGATCACCCGAAATCGAGCAAGCTATTTTTCTCGTTTTCTTGTCACAACGATCACGATACTGCGATAGGGGACCAGACTGAATTCCATGGCAGGTGCACGCCCGAGGTTGCTAGCGCTCCGCATAAATTCATGCAAGCAAATTCAATTCTGCACGCCGAGAATTTGCAATTGCTCACCAATGAAAATTGGTTTGATTGGTTTTTAAATTAATAATTCAGTAATATAAAGATGCCAACAAATTGTAGCTCCACAATTGTCGACTACATACCTGCATACAGACATACTAGCTTGCAAGATTTGGCCTGGTCAGAAAATGCCTAAGCAAAAAAGATCATGTTTTTCATAATTGCTTGGCGGTATGGCGCATCGTGTTGATTGATAGGGACTTCGTGAGAATAGTTATGGGCGAATAGATCGCCAGACTCCTCGCAGACGCTGGTCAGTCACGGCTCTGATTCGGCTTATTTTTTATCCAATGATTTTACGCAAAAACACTCCCAAAATTGATGTCAAAAAATAAAAATAATGTTTGTGGGTCAAATGTCAAACGTTCATTTTTTAGACATTTGAGTAAGTAATGACAAAGTATATAAATAGTAATACAATACAATACCGGTAATTTTAGGCGGATATATTGAACAGTATCTAAAGTCAAAGTCAGTTGCACGCGGGCGCAGTTGCTTTGCACGTCGTGAGCTATAATTGCACGCCGGGAATTCTGATTTGCACGTGGGAATTTCTGATTGCACGCCCGATTTCTCGTTCAAAATGGCCATGAAATCCAGACTCGATAGGAGAGAGATCGCCGGCTTTAGCGAGTTCGTTATCGCGACGCAGATGCCATTTCCGGGCGATCGTAATTATAATTTGGCAAGCCCTATGACGTAATGGTGATGTCGTGATTTTTGGATGGCATAGTCAGGTGGTGGTTAGGAATAACATATGCAAAATTCGTTATGCTACGCCTACTGGAAGTACTTGTTGTACTAAACTATACTAGACCCAATATTTTTCTTTAGGTAAATCAGATTATTTTTTTCTGAGTAATTTTTAGATTTTGTCCCCTTGAAGGCCCAGACTGGCTTGTTAAAGGAAGGAGGGGGGGGGGAGGTTGCATTCATTGATATACGAATATATGGAATTGCGCAAAAAAACTACAAAGAAGCGCAATCTAAAAACGTCATAGTTGACTCCCTCGGTGAAGAAATAGTCCGATTTACAGAAGGAGAATTATTTCTATCGTCTGACCGTGGCATTTGAGAGTTTTTAGCAAAAAATGGCAATTTTGGTCATGTGCCAGTGTGCCCGCCACGATTATATTAGATTATAATCGAGGCAAGCATGGCACCATATGACGCATCTGCCATTGTGCCAGACACCCCTCGTTTGTGAGACACATGGAGTGTTTGTTTTATTGAACCAAATGACGGGACATTCTTGGAATTTGGAAAGTGTGCAATGAAAACAAACACTTCATTTGTCTCTGAAACAAGGGTGTCTGCCCCGACACGAAGGCAGATGCATCAGATCGTGCCATGCTTGGAATGCCCCAGTAAATATTTAATTGACTGTCTCTACAGACTGTCTCGTAAATGAGGGGTTTGCTCCTACTGTTATAATCAATGTCTTTCAATATAGGCGATATCCTTGAAATCATAGAACTTTGCTGTACGGAATGGATAAGTTATTGCTAAATAAATAGTGAAATCATTCGAAATAAATTTACTCTAGCATTCGAGAGTTTCTAGCTAAAACAGTCCTGCAGTCAGGAAACGAACTTTCAATTGTAGAATTGAATCGAATTGATTTATATTATAATCGCAACAAACATGGCGCGATGTTACGAATCGGCAGTGGTGCCAGATTCTTTCAGTGCTTTTTACTAATTTCCGTGAACACTGATTTTTAATGTTAGTAATATAAAAATTGTTGTTCTTTTTATTTCAAAACTTTAAAATTTCTAGACAAGGTTATATTAAATTGTTTCATTTTTTTATGTTTCATTTTAAAATACATTTTGTCATAATTTTGTAGGGTTTATTATTTTTATATCTGTCAAGTTAAAAAGCTGGTTTATTCTGCTAGTTTTTTACAGTAATTATTGAATAAATAAAGTAATAATTGAATATATTGACATAGGAGTAAAAGTTGACAAGATGAAACTTTTTGCACATGTTTTCAATAATGCATTTTTTCCATTTTTACATGCTTACTCAATATGAATAATATTGTAATATAACTCGGTTCATGGACTACTTTCTGTATAATGCTCCATACTGGATATGATTTGGGTATACATTAGAAGTATTATTTACCTTTTTCGAAATGAAGAATTGATACAACAGTTCAAATATGCATATCAAAAGTGTCAGCATACAAGGATTTAGAAGCTATCGTGAGTCAACTGAAATCGAACCATTTAGTCCTAAGCACAACATCATTGTCGGAAGAAATGGATCTGGGAAAAGTAACTTTTTCTCTGCTATCCAATTTGTTTTCAGTGACGAATACAGTAATTTGAGAGCAGAGCAAAGGCAGCAATTACTTCACGAGGGAACAGGTGCTAGAGTCATATCTGCATGTGTTGAAATTGTGTTTGACAATTCAGACAATCGCTTACCTATTGAAAAAGATGAAGTCACACTTCGACGAGTCATTGGTTCCAAAAAAGATCAGTATTTTTTGGACAAAAAAATGGTGACAAAAAACGATGTCATGAATTTGCTTGAATCTGCCGGATTTTCGAGAAGTAATCCATACTATATTGTAAAACAGGGCAAGATTAACCAAATGGCTACAGCTCCGGATTCTTACAGACTTCGACTTCTTCGTGAAGTTGCAGGCACTAGAGTATACGATGAAAGAAAAAGTGAGAGCGAAACTTTGATGAAAGAATCTGAGACAAGACTTGCTGATATTGAAAAGGTTCTTGCTATGATAGAAGATAGACTTTCAACTTTAAATGAAGAAAAAGAAGAATTGGCTCAATATCAACAGTGGGATAAAACAAGGAGAGCTCTCGAATACACAATTTATAATCAAGAATTGACAGACACCAGAAATAAACTTGATACTCTTTCAAACAAACGGGAAAACAATTCACTTCAAACAAGGCATTTGAGACAACAGCAAGAAGAAGCACAGAGGCAAACTAAAGACGCTCAAAAGCAACTGTCCAATGTCAATACTCGTATCGATCAACTTTCAGAAGAAAAAGATCTAGCAACTTCTGATAGACAAGAATTGATCAAGAAAAAGGCACAGCTGGAACTTGCTTGTACTGATCTTCGTGAAGAAATGGAATCCGATCAACGTTCCCTGGAGCAAGCGCAAGCTGAATTGGGTGGAATGAATGAAAGAATCCTGAAAAAGACAGATGAACTAAATGCAGTCACTCCGCAATATGAAGAAATGGAAAAACTGGAAAGAGAAACTGAAAAAGAATTGAAAGTTGCTGAGCAAAGAAGAAAAGAACTTTTTGCAAAACAAGGTCGTGGAAATCAATTTCGATCTCGTGAAGAAAGAGATACGTGGATTAAAAATGAATTGAGAACGCTTGAACGTGGCGTTCGTGACAAACAGACGCAGATCACAAACCTACAAGAAGAAATTCAAAATAGTCAAAAAAATCAAGAAACTTTGCAGAAATCTATTTCAGAAAAAAATTTGAATATTCAAGAACATAAAACAAGGATGGATGCTCTCACGAGAGAATCGACAAATTTAAAGCGTTTGAAGGATGATTTACAGGGACAGAGACAAAGATTATGGAGAGATGAATCAAAGATACTGCAAGAACTGGATTCGATTTCCTCTGAGATAAAAGCTAAAGAACATACTCTAAATTCAATTATAGGAAAGGCCACTGTTCATGGCCTCGAAAGCATCAAAAGAGTAATGAAAACCTTCTCTGAAAGAGGTCAGCAAGATTTAGTTGATGGGTATAAAGGTATGTTAATGGAAAACTTTAGATGTTCAAAAAATTTCTTCACTTGTGTTGAAGTCACTGCTGGAGGAAGATTATTCAATCACGTCGTGAGCACTGATCGAATTGGTACAAAATATCTCAATGAAATGAATCAACAAAAACTACCTGGTGAAGTCACATTTTTACCACTCAACAAACTAGAAGTTAGAGACGTTGAATACCCGCAAACATCGGATGCCATACCTATGATAAGTAAACTACAATTTTCTGATGATTATGGAGTCGCTATTAAATATGTATTTGGTAAAACCTTAATTTGTCGCAGCATGGAAGTTTCAACTCAGCTCGCTCGAGTTCACCAATTGGATTGTGTAACACTGGAAGGCGACCAAGTGAGTCGTCGTGGAGCTCTCACCGGTGGTTATGTTGATAACAGAAAATCTCGTCTTGATCTGTACACTGCCAAACAAGATCTTCATGCAAAATTGGAAGAAAAACAAGAAGAGATTGCTAGTAACAAGAGAGAACAACAAAAACTTGAAGCTGAAAGCACAAAAGTAATGGACGATTTGCAGAAATTAGAAACAAAAAACAAAAAAAATAAAGATGTTTTCGAAAAATTGAAAGCAGATGTGAGGATGCTGAAAGAACAACAGCAAGCAGCTCAACGTGCTCGAGAACCAAAAGAAAGATCATTAGCTGCTCTTCAAACTCATTGCGAAGCCCTCAAGTCGACTGAAAAATCTCTCAAAGAGGAAGTTGGGACCAATTTACTGTCACAGCTATCCGCGGAAGATCAAATGGAAGTTGATCGCTTAAATGATCTTATCAAACAGTTGACTGTTCAACACAAAGATGCAGTGGGACAAAGAGTGAGATTGGAAGGGAAGAAAACTAGCTTACAGAACTTACTGGAAGATAATCTTGTTAGACGAAAGGAACAACTTATGCAGGAAATGCAAGAACTTTCCGTTGATGTCAGAAAACAAAAACTGGAACAGAGTGATAAAGACCGAACCATTACCGAAGAAAAACTTCGTTCAACTGATGCGAGATTGAAAGAACTTGAAACTGAAGTCATGAAGCTAGAACGAGATCAAGGAAATCTGTCAGCAAAAGTTGAAGATTTGAGATCAAAGGAACGTGAAATGAGAGAAAAAATCACCGATGATGCAAGAGAGCTGGAGAAAGTAACGAACAAGCAAAGTATGCTGATTAAAAAGAAAGACGAGAGCATGAGAAAAATTCGTGATCTCGGTTCTTTGCCGCAGGATTCATTTGACAAATATCAAGGGCTCAGTGTACGTCAGTTAATGAAGCGTCTGGATGAGTGCAATCAAGAGTTGAAAAAATATTCTCACGTAAATAAAAAAGCTCTCGACCAATTTGTCTCTTTCTCAGAACAGAAGGAGAAACTGCTAAAGAGGAAGGAGGAAGTTGACAGAGGAAAACAAGCAATTTTGAATCTCATGGAGCATATGGAACATCAAAAATACGAAGCGATTCAATTCACTTTTAGACAAGTTTCAAAGAATTTTAGTGACGTATTTGTGAAATTAGTTCCTGGTGGAAAAGCAACTTTGATCATGAAGAAAGGTGAAAATCAATCGCAACCCGATGGTGACGCAGAAAGTGAACCATCTGCCTCGATCGTGGACCAGTTTGTCGGCGTCGGAATTAAAGTATCATTCTCTGGTAAAGCAGCAGAGACACGAGAAATGCAACAGCTGTCTGGTGGGCAGAAATCATTGGTCGCTCTTGCACTGATTTTTGCTATACAAAAGTGCGATCCCGCACCTTTCTATTTGTTTGATGAGATTGATCAAGCGCTTGACCCCGCCCACAGATCTTCAGTCGCAAATATGATCAAGGATTTATGCCAGTCCGCACAATTTATCACAACTACTTTTAGACCAGAGTTGCTGGAAGCTGCTGACAAGTTTTATGGAGTTATCTATAGAAATAAAGTTTCCCTCGTTCGAACAATTTCTAAAGAGGAAGCAAGAGAATTTGTGGAAGATGATACAATGCATGGATAATGGGACCATTTTAAAGTTTTCATGTTTTTACATAATATGACTTTTTATTGTATGATTGGTGACAAATATTTTGATTAGTTGTTGAAAGAGCATTAGACTGAAAGTCTGGAAAACTCATGCATTGAAGCTTGTTTCATTCATTTCGGGATATGTGAATGTTTGCTCCAAAAATGCAGTTCATTCATATTTCATATCCTATATAAGGCTATAGAATTATAGATTGTCTATAAAGGCAATACAAAAATACTCATCTTGTTGTGATTTGGCCAAATTTACCGATATCATGTGAAGATGAATGATTATTGTTGAATCCACTACTTGCGTGAATCTGAAACATTTCATTAGAATACTAAATCTTGCTGTAGTCACCAGTGACTTTTTTTTTTATCTAACATGACCGGGTTTTGGGAATTTTGCAATAATCTATTTATGGATATCTATTGCTCAATAGTTGATCAGAACGTTCTCCAAGATCCTGGAATTGTTTTCTTCAAAACCTAAATGTTCCAATTTTCAAAGTTGGCTTTTTTTGTGATAATCACTAGGGATGGGCCGGGATTCGGATCCGGACTCGGATTCGAGTCGAATCCAGGCATTTTTTGGACTCGGATTCGATTTCGAGTCCACGTCGTTTTTATCGAGTCTATAATCAATTCTGTTTTTACTAATTTACGCCTATTTTTGTACTTTTCCCCCTATAAATCTTACTATCTTCCTTAACTAGTTGAAATTCAAGGTTAGATATTTAACAATATCACTCGTGTGTATTATAAACACTCCTAATAAAAAGGACGACAGATATCCAGATAATATAACGCAAGGTAAAAACAATTGATAGCTTATAACAATGATACGCCAGTCGCTTTCAAAATATCTATCCTTTGGAGCAATGGAAAGCATGGAGCGTTTCAGAACGTTTACATGAACTACTAAATTGCAAGCATTGTATTAACGACAAGTGGCATCTCTCTACCATTTGCACACGCGGCATAGTAAATTTAAGGTTAGAAATATCTGGAATTATGGGAAAGCATTGTAGTCAAAAGCTTTTCATTTTTTTATTTGACATGTAAGAATTTCTAAATAGCCGCCCAGAATTGACGCAAAGTGGTTGGCTGAAAATCCAGTTCACAGCCAAGGGGCACATTGCCCCACGTTTACGTTTGTATTATGGCAGCCAAAATAAAAGAAAAATATATTTTTAAATTGATTCAACAGCTATCTGCAGAACCATTAGGCAAAAAATATGAGCTACGTCGTATGTTTGTTAGCGCGCGATGCTGTAGTATGGTCAAAAACGTGTTTTTCCACTCTTACATTGTGACGTCACGGACTCGGAGCATTCGATTCGAGTCCTTGACCTATTACTCGGATTCGTCGAATCTCTGTAATGCCGGACTCGTCCCATCCCTAATAATCACCACCAGTAGTAAACTGGCTTTATTTTTTTAATTGTTCTATTAACTTGCAGTACTAATAATGAAACTCCTGAAGTTTATTCCATATTGCTAATGGCAACCTGATTTTTATTATGTGTTGATGCTGTTTATAAATCAAGTTCGACTGGTGCTGTCTGTCCAGATAATTCTAGAATTATATCTGTGTTATATGTTCCAAATGTCAATGTTCAGATTACTTTTAAAACATGTACCAGTATCTTTTTGTACTGGTATACTGGTTAGTCCAAAACGAAGTAAATTTTCGAATATATTTGAAATTAGGTATATTGAATATAGTAAATTCTGGTCGAATTTTGATAATTTTTTAATGAAAATATATAATTTTGTGCAATTGGCATCTGATGTTCAGACTGTCTAATGCTTATTCAAAATTGATTGCTGTAGAAATCCAATTAAAACGGCCTGTACGAAATTTTTCATATTTTAAAAGTCAATTTAAGTGAATGTGTCGACTTTTTTTTGAACCAATAATATATATTTCATCCACAAATCTATCGTTTCGCAATATATTCACATTAGTCAGCTTTTCAGATATGGCCATTCTAGTAGGCTAATTAGTTACGGTGACAACAAAATCATGAATTTGGTTGCAGTTGCATACCTAATCAGATTTATTGACTGAATCTTTGTTCATTTTTGAATTACATGTGCTTAAATTGAATGTAGTTGTTGGTTGCTAGGCTTAAAAATTGGCCCACATTATACTCTTCCAATATGGCTTGTGTACAATTCTTAATAATTGTGCGGATAGTCCACATATCTGGTAGCCTCTTATAAATATAAAGCATTAAGTATCTGGTTAGCGTGGGTTCATGGTGTGATAATATAAAACATATGCTTTTTATTTACGCTGCTGTGTTATACACCTAAATCCATTATCCAATGTATTCTTTGAACTGTTGAAAAATGCTCCATTCTATCTACATTTCGTGCTTAATTTATCTTTGGTAAGCCATTCAGATGTATAATACTATTTTGGATTCTGTATACACCTTCCGAATGATCTGGGTTAAATGAAAGATGGTTCTATGTTTGTGTTCTGTTCGATTTTGATTTTTTTTCCACCACTGCCTGTTTTGATTTTTGTAGTTGGTAACTTTTGTAAATGTCTTCGATGTTCTTGGATTGTTAATTTTGTATAAATTTTTTTTGTCTAGGTTATGGTTTTTCACGTTTTACTTCATCGCTATAAGTAGTTTAGAAATTGATTTCAACTGTGTTATATTCTGTGTTTTGCAAAAGAAGCCAGAGGAAAAGAAATTTTCCATTCTGAAAGTGCATTGAATTCTTGTTCTTTCATAACATTCCAAAAACGATGGAAGACATAGTAAAATATGTTCAGGAGGTATGTGTATTCCAAATGAAATATTTTTGAGCGAAATTTAGTAAAAACGATATGCTTTTGTTTTCATTATAAAATTTTTTGTTCATAGGAGAAAGTAGTTCAAGTACCTAGATTCAGTATTCACCATTTCATAAAACAGCTCTGGCTTCCAGCATCAAATTTAAAAAAAACAGTGTGCACATTTTTATTAAACTATTTTTCAAATATCTGATATTATAATATACCGGTAGTCTCTTTTCAGTTTTTATGCTCAAAAATTTTGATCTCACTTATAAATATATGAACTTGTCAATCCTGAGAGTTTGAAAAATGTACTTGGATTCAGGTGCTGGCAAAATAATGTAAAACTCTGCAACTCTGTTATGTGCACACTATACTATATTGAAAATAATTTTATATAGTTTTACAGACTACGTTATTTTAATCATCCCTGGATTTGAAGTTTGAACCTTATTTTTAAACAAACCATAAGTGCATCATCTACAACTACAATAGAGTATAATTTGTGCTATGTAGTAAATTGTCTGTGTATTGTTTCTTATTATTTATATAATTTCAATATTTTATTTTTTAGTTGAACAAAAAAAGAGGAAGAATGAAATCACAACGATCACGAGCTTATCAGAAAAGTAATATTGGGAAGTATGTTGAATTAATAAGTAATGTTTTTGACTGGGGAAATATTGCGCAAATTTTGTCAATTAGTATTTATAACTTGTTGTTATAAGGGATGATACCATCTCATAACTAATGAAATTTACAAATGAAGTAATACAGAAAAATGAAAATTTGTTCTGAAACAGGTGTATATTTATATGCTATTTGTTTTTGGACAATACGGAAGTAAACAAAAGTGAACTATCTTTTAATATTTGAAATTTTTTTCATTTCAAGTAAAAATTTATAGCTTATTCTTCTTTCAGGCGTACAGGAAAGATTATTAAAATTGGTGGTATGCATGATACATCATCACTTTTCAAGTCACTCGATTCATCAGGTATGTTGTATAGTATACAAATTAAAAAACATGAATTTATTGAAATGTTTTCTTCCAGTGCATATCACAGCAAAAGTTTGGTAAAATTACTGACATATTACAACATATCCTCATTTATGTATGAATCTAGTAGTTTAAAAACATGAGAAGTGGACGAGTTAATTAGGCAACAGTAATACTCTGTATACCACGGGTGGGCAACTTCTCTAGTCGGCGGGCTGGATGTGGGAAAATGAAGTCCTCGGTGGGCCGGATTATAACATGAGTAGTATACAATATCTCAATCACATATTCATTCCCTAATGCAAGAAAGAAAGTTATAAATCATGTTTAAAGTAAAGTGTAAACTTCACAAAAAATAGAGACCAAAAAACACAAATGAATTTATCATATTGTACTAAAAGTGTAATAATGAAATATTATAATGTACTGATGAACAGTCATCGTGCCGGTCGAAATCTCGTCGCAGGTCGTATGTTTCCCACCCCTGCTATATATACGTTGCTTTAGAACAGGGGTGGGCAAGGTTTTTGGATCAAGGGCCAAAAATTTTCCCCTCCTTGACTAGCGGGCCATGTAAGTGTGACATATAATTTGATATAAAGTTACATTTTATGAACAATATTCTCAGTGTTACAGAAGCAAAAATGGAAAACAATGAGCCTCTGCAAAAACTATTTAATCGCAATATCAACAAATTCCTTGAGCTATTTTTTCAGTTCAAACATCGAAATTTGTTTTAAGTTTGGTTGTGGCAGCATCAGGGGTGCCAGATTGTATTACGCAATGGGCCGAATGTGGCCCACCGGCCGTAGTTTGGCTTTGTCAGCCTTGCCTTTGTCAGTCAGAAGAAATTACTATTGCACTTTTTTCATCTGCATGATGCTAATCTTTCATAGTACATCTGTTCCTTTAACTTATTATTCCTTTACAGATTCATCTGTGAACTTGAATACTTCAAGGGCATCTGTACCGGTGAGTTCTTGACTTTAGTGCTAAATATGTATCTTTGAGGCAATGCATAAATTTTTGCAAAAAAATTATCAAAAAAGACTCCGGGTTGAAGTGAATTTTCAATTGTTTGTTTTAAATGCTTTTCGACCTTCCATGTGGAATTTCACTAAAATTATCACTATCAACTCTGAAATTCTGACTTTGAGCGAAAATTCAAAATACCTCTACGCTCTACCACTCCAATATCAACAATAACATAGCAGTAATATCTGAGTCGACATAAATTACCCAATGTAATGTGCCAACTGTGGGTGATGGTGACAATGAGGAATTAATCTCTGGTCACAAATTTTTTTTGAGCATATATTTTAAACTGCTCTATTCAGATACCTATAGTTCCTAATCCTCAATTTCACGCAGGTTTCAGTAAAATCTGTTGGCATTCCGGACCCTCCTGCATTTGATAACAGTAGTGAGAGTGGAGACTGCATTGACGATGGCGTTACAATGGCGGAAGCGACTCAAACACAAAATTTGGATCCTGGATCATGTAAGCTATAACGTCTTCTATTTTGTTTTCCAAACCCGGGATTCCCAAACTGGATGTCGCGACCCAGCAGGGGCAGGGGGGCTCAATGTATTTTAGGGGTCACGAAGAAGTCGCACAAAGTACTATATGTATTGTACTTTTTTAAACTTTTGATTCATAACACAATTATGAAAACTAGCGCAAAACATAAATCTCACGATTACGAGACAATACATATGATCAGAGAAGCGGCACTTGCATAACAATGCCGACTTCAATCGCAAGGCCCAAGGAGTGGCATAGAAAAATTTTGAATGAGAAGCGGGGGGCCGCAGAAAATTTCCATATATTGGCAGGAATTGCGAGCTTAAAGGTTTGGAAAGCCCTGTCTCTCCTAAAAAACATCATAATTTATGTGTAGTTTAATATCTGGAAGAGTAAATTTATTTATGCGCAAGTCTGAACAAGTGGACTTTCATAATCTGCGACCCCCTTTCAGAGACTTTAACACTGCCCCTGCTTTTCAATAAAAAACAATTTTGTTTTCATCAGTTATTTCATTTGCCTTAGTATAAATAGAAAGCCAAAAAATAGAAGTAAAATAATGTATTGCGGATTGCGGCCATAGGATAAGACACATCATTGTTTTTTACTCTGAGCTGCTTCTCAATAGGGATACTATTAAACAATTATTCGGTCTTTTCTCCGCAGCAACAAGCAAGACCTTTGTTGACCAGTCTGTTCAACATTCCCCTCCAGTCATTAGAAGAACGTTAGTGGATCAGTCAATACAACACTCGGATTCTGAGGACGTTGTGGAAATGAGAGCAACATCACAATCACAGAAGAACGGATCAAGCCAGGAAAAGAATAAAAATAAATCTGGTAATGAATGATCTTGTAACTAAAAACCAGTTAGGTAATAGCAAGAAAAAAAAAGTTCTTGAATATTGAAGCGCCATAATCAATAACATAATTCAGGGGTGTGCAACCTGCGGCCGGCGGGCCTAATGCGACCCACATGGATGTATTGTGTACCCCGTGTAGAAGTGACAGTTTTGAAGGGTTTGCGGCTCACTAAAAGAGTTTCCAATGAAGTGTAATCTGGTACATGCAGGTAATTTATTATCTATGCCTCTGACGTTACAATGTCCTTACAGCTTGTGCGAAGCGAACATCGCATGTCATAATATCAATAACCTAAATTTTTGCGCATGCGACCACTAGAAAGCCTATGTTGAGTGAAGGTGTGACCCGCTGTTTTACCCAGTTGTTTGGATCTGGCCCTCCTGCATTAAAGGTTGCACACCCCTGACCCAACTGACAATACACATCAAAACCTTTTTGCGTGAGCCTTACTCATTTGAGTTTTTATCATACATGTTCATGGTTTTTGCTTTTTATCAAGTATACCATTTTCTTCCACAGATACAAGCAAGATGTTTGTTGATCAGTCGACACAGCATAGTGAAAAAAGGAGATCATCACACCATCAAATAAAAGAAACTAGCCAGCGAAATAAACAAAAGGAATCTGGTAATGTTGAATATACACATACATCAACTTTTTGTTCGTGCACAGCAAATTATCAGGGGAAAAACTCACAGCGCATTTACACGAAAAAAAAATGCTGCGTTTAAATAAAACTCAATTTTGTGACCGTTGTGTTATTGTGTACGTCATGCCTTTTAAAGTTTGTATTCCTAATAAGTAATGAAGGCAAAAGGTCAGCTCTTCTTCCTCATCTCTGCCTGATTTTCCTTTGAAATGCTGAAAAAATATTTCATTTTCACTAAACTCCGTTCATCAGATAAATAAACTGCAACTCACAAAATTGCAGCAAGTAGTGTCTATATATATTGTTACATAACAGAAAGTAATCGACATGGAAAGGTTAAATGAATTTATTGATTCATATACACAACATTTAAAATAGGAAACAATAAAACTTTTCTAATAAATACAACATATAAGATATTCAATCATATTTTAGTTCTGTATAACATAATTCTGCGCGCTACTGCGCCGCGGTGCACCCTTTGGGAACTGCTGCATTAATTAACAACTGCTCTGTTTAGAAACTGGTGCTCATAAAATTTTGACATATTTTCATTTTTTTTTCAGATTCAATTGCGACACTCATGTCACCTGAAGATTCCTCACACTTGTTTGAAAAGATTGTGTCATCACGTAAGAGTGTGGCTAAATCCTATGGGTCACCATACATTCATGAAGGAGTTTCCACAGATTATCACTCCTCGCCAGAACGAAGGGTGATTTTTTTAAATTTAGCAATTATGATATGATATGTATATACTCGTCAACATTAGGAATCGTTTTTGAATATTTTTTTTTCTTTTAGGTGGTTTCATCTAACAACATTATACAGAAGTACACCAAAAGTAAGTTTTTTTCTTTTCAATACAGTAAATTACTTTAAACTTCAAAATTATTTGGGTCCGGTCTTTCCAGAAATTGATTAGCTCTGGTTTATAGCAATTGGTTCCAATCTGGTTTATTAAAATTGACAATCTAGTTTTTATCGTATGTGATTCAAAAGTCTTGTTGCACACGAACTTAAGATGTTTTTCTATATGATGTCAGACAAAAATTTTTCTTTATTCTTACTAAGACATCCTTGTATTATACACAGTCCACCTGCACAAAGGCATATACCACGTAGTGAGTCTTGCATAACCACAACTGATAGTTATAGTTTTACTAAACTGACATTTTTTAAGCTATTTCATAAATATAGCAGCATTCTGAGGGGAGCATTTTTTTATAATATGATAAATTTAAATGTTACTCATTTACGAGAATACAATATGTATCAAGACTCATAGAAATACAGAATACAGTAGAAGCTCAATAATACTTTCTATTTTTTGACAGTGATAAGTGCAACAAAATCGGGATCAAAGATGTCATATGTGGCTTCACCGGCTCTAACTCCAAAACATTCACAAAATTCATTGCTGAGGAGAAGGTATGATATTGATTTGATGTTGAGAGATATATGTTTATGCAAAGATCACTGTGTTGACTTATTGTTCTAGACTCTCATTCAATAAAGACTTGGGATCTGATAAGGAGCAAAAAAGTTCAATCAATATTCTACAGGTAAAATAATTTGATCATTTTGAGATATGAAAAGCGAGTCAGTCATCTAGTTTATTTGACATTCTAGTCAGTAGTCTATGAACAAACTGGTACTTGGGTCACGTTGGGTGTATTGAATTCCTATTTTTTGAGGGTTGGAGGGTATCAAATATTTTTTTCACTTAGCAGCTATTTTTGGATATTTCTATCAAGGTTCTAAGTTCTAACCCAATTCGCAGGTAGGCTATTGCGAGGTCTCGCTTGTTTTTGAACAATATAACAATATGAAAATGATATATTCTATATATTGAATAAGCCTATGTGATTTAAGCGATACTGCAGAGTTGCAGTGGTGAGCAATGGGTCTCAGATATCAAAACCATTCTTCAAATGGTATTTCAACATGTTTACAGTTTTGGAAAATTTAATGAATTTTTTATAAAAATTTTCAAATAAATGAACTCCTAAAATCAAGAATTGTTATGTGAAGTGTAATTAATATAGAATTATTAAACGTTTTGATTTGATTCGGAAATCCCTGAGTCTGATTAAAATCTGGTTTGAATATATTTTGATGATTATTTCTCTTTTTTATGTTTATTTTATTTATATAAATATAACCTTGATTTGTTTAAATTCGATGAAAACTTACATTTAGTATCAAAAACTTTCATAATACTAAATTCTGTAGTTGTGGCCCATCTCTGGTACATAGTTGAATTTGCTATGTGCTTGATTTTCAGAACCGGGAAGTTTCTTCTGTACATCCACTGTTCGAGCTTGACCAAAGTTCATCGCCAACAAATAGTGAAATATTTGTCGTTAAGCAACCAAAAGAAGCAGTACAGAATCAAGACTCGAGGTTAGATTTATTATTATTATTGTATTTGTATATTAACATATCGAGAGATTTAGTAGGGATATTAGTGTGAGAATATTTGGGTTTTTTTGATGTTTATAATAAGTTCAAATAATTTGGTAAAACCTAGTTTGCAGTAGCATTTTGATATTGACGTAAAAAATAAATTTTTCATAGGTCATCAAGGGAGTCATGACAGATATCACCGTTTTAATATACATATATAGGCTACACATATAACCTTTGTTTTTATACCGGTGTATTTTTCTTGAAATTATTGTTTTTTGCTTTACAGCTGGCTGTTTTCCTCTCCAACAGCTTCAAGAATCAACCATCCTATGCTGATAAAGAGGAAATCGAGTGCTAAAAAAGAAAGTTCAAAACGAAAATTGACATTAACAGAAAGATTTACACAAAACAGATCTTCAAATACTGAAGATTTCACGAGTTCCAGTCCAGAAAAGAAAGCAAGATCTTCTGAATTGGAAGAAGTTTCTTTGGCAAAACAACGACGTTCCAAAACGAAACAAAGGCTAGATTTTTCAGATCAAGGGCAAAACAGAAATTGTCCCTCATTGCCTATTAGCAAGGAAAGGGTTATGCCAGTCGCTAAAAAGAATTTGAACTTCTCTCCAGGATCAAGCGCTCTAGAACACCATGAATCCACATCTTCTCACAAATTACAGAATAGTCGTGCAATATTTTCCTCCATGTTGTCACAAAATAGTGGAATTGACAAACCCAGTCTTGTTGATTATTCACTTTCTGATGAATCAGACAATCTCACTCCTGTGACTGTGAAAAAGAAGCGAGGGAGTTTATCAGACACTAGGAATAAAAGTAACATGGATGAGTCCAGTTATAAGAAAAGAAGGCTTCCGAAACGCAGACACTCTTCACAACGTGTGAACTTATCAGAAGATAAAATTTGGGAGGATGCTTTAAATGTAAACACTAATGGGAAAGTTGTGCCTACAAGCAGACGCGTGTATCTTGATGAGAGAGCCAGATCCAGAATATACAGCGATTCTTCTGCTGATGAGGAACTAGAATCTCAGATAATTGAGAAGCGAAAAACACCTACGCTTAAAAAGAAATCTGCGAAAAACAGTACGCTGCCTCCAGCTGGTCGAAGACTCGAGACTCGGCCAAAAAAACAAAAGGCTAAAATTCCAAATAGCAGGTCATCTTCTCTGCATAAAAACTTTTCGGAAGAATCTATACAGAATGATAGTGATGCCCTGCCAACAGGAAGACACAAAAATCAGCAGAAGAAAAATAGATCCAGGATATATAGTGATTCTTCTTCGGATGAGGAGAAAGAACCAATAATGACGACAAATAAAAAAAAATCAACGCTTAATAAGAGAAAGTCTGTAAAAAAAAATTCGCAATCTACTGCTAATCGCAAACTCGAGAAACAAAAAAATATTCAATCTAGAAATCTATCAGGAAAGCAAAACGTTTCAAGGCGATATGTGGATGATCACAGTGACTCTTCTATACAGGACGAATCCAGAAAGGAAAATAATCCACAGCAATCCAGACGTAGTCAAAAACAAGAAAGCAACAATGAGACATTTTCATCTCTCCCCGATCATCGAAAAAAGAAATCTGCAAAAACAAATTCTAGGGTCTCACAATTAGATATGAATTCTTTACGAGCCTGGTTGGATAGCGGTAATAGTGCAAACAACCAATCATCTTCATTCACTGCAATACCCCCTGGTCCATTTAAATCACCTAAAAATTATCCAAAAAGTCAAACAAAATCTAAAGGTAAGTATTTTTAATAAGATTATTCGTACAAGGAACTTACACTCAATAGAAAGGGAAAAGCAAACTACTTCGACAGTTAATCGCTATGTCGCATACATTATATAGGAGTGTTTAACTTTAATCTAAAGTTCAGCCGTCATTAATTACAAAAAAGATACAAATTGTGCATTTTTTGACGCTTATTTAACACAAAAACAACAATTTGGTTTTATTTTTATATATTTTTTCATTTTATTTGGGATTGTTGACATGGAATTTTACATTTTTCACAGCTGCTACCAAGGCGCAGAATATGGAAACCACTGTCGTTACTGATGAAGTTGATGATGATCATCCACCATTGCCAAGTGTTGACGAATCTTCAATAAACATATCAGTTTCCCGAAACAGGTGAGATGATATTGGAAACAAGATTAAATATAACATTTTTTTAATGATTTTGAAGTATTGAGCTTTTGTTGATTGTGTTGTTTTTTGTTATACAGTGTCTGAAATATTAATTTAGGTTTTAGGTTTTCTCGGAGTGAATATATATCCATAATTATTTACTCGATATCGCAGATTCATTGTTTTTAATGACAATATGGAGTATTTTTGACAAAATGATATTCTTTTGCTTTCAATGTTCCTTTTTAACACTTCAGAATGTTTTTGATATTCTGAAATCAAATAATATTTCTAATCATAAAGCCAAGTATTCCACAATTTTTATTTATATATATATATTTAATATAATATATTATTGCAGAAATGTACATGCTTTACTGAAGCAATACGGTCCTCCGTCTTCTACACCCAGGGTGGATAAACGAGCTAAAAAGAGAATAAGGAAACATCAATCTGATATTTCAACAGATTTAGCGAAAGGTCAGTAAGCCAGTTTGACGACAAACTCATTTGTTTTTCACCAAGAGCTGCGAAATCTAGCAAAATTTATATCTATTTGAAAACGACTTTACTTTACCCCTAAAGTATTTGAATCTGACCTGTGACTCAGGGTTGAATGAAATTTAGACTCCACTCTAAAAAAAAAAAACTTCTTTTTTATTTGTCTAGCTTTTTCGGTTTACGTTGAAATTTTTGCCTCTGATTATCAGCAAAAATTGCAAGTTTCAACTCCTGACTCCAGGTGGATTCAAACTTTCAACTCTGACCTCATTAAATTTTCAAACTTTCAACTCTGATCTCATTAAATTTTCAAACTTTCAACTCTGACACCACTAAATATTCAAACTTTCAACTTTGACCTGACTGATGATTCAAATAAATTTCAAGTAACTCATATGCATATTTCATTCAGCTATCGATATCCTCCACTCTGATACTGATGATTCCAGAATGACAGATGACACATACTGTGAAAGAAAAAAACCCAAAATACCCGATATATCGCTAAAGGGAAAAAACAACAATAGGAAAACAAATCCTAATAACAAAGAAATACATGTGTCGTCTTTTTATCAAAATGAAGCCCAGGATGTAACCACTGTTGTTGACGAAATTGTTGAAGATCCTGTTGATACTACTCTCGTGCCTGATGAGAGTCAAGCTCACGAACGCACCCAAACTTCTCAACGAAATATTTCTCGCACCCGCTTACAAACAAAAAGAAACTCCAATGTCAGTGGTATGCATACCCGAAGCATGGTTATTGAAAATTCACCTAAAAAAGGAACTGTCCCGAAAGTGCCGAAAAATATTTTGGAAAATTTGAGTATTTTGGAACCGATCATTATACAAAGAGAGCGAGATATGCAACAGCCTGAAGTAGATGTTTCTAAAAAGAATCGTGAAACTGCTGGATCTGGAAAACATTCTAAGGGTAATAAAAAATCAGCGACAACCAGTAAAAAGGGAAAACAGAAAAAAAGTTCAAATGATAAACAAGATAAAATCATTATTCCTGTCAGGTAATGCACATGAAGTTTATAATAAGATTTCTATATTCATCTGTTATCAATGTTATTGAATGTGACTTGTTGGTGTAACCGGGGGTGACAAAACCGAACAATTCTGAATATACAGTCACGGGGTTGTCGCCAGAATAACAGAAAATTTGTCAAACAGTTGTATATTTTTACAAAGAATAACTTTTATAGGCATATAACGTTTATAGTAATTCAAAAGAACCTGGAAGGTGTCATCCTAAAACAAACCAGAACCTAAAAGGAATAAGCTTTTTATTTGCGATTTCATCTGACCTTCAAATTTTCTGCTTTTCTTGCGACCACCCTGTATTTTGAATAGCAAATCAACGAACATCGATACAAACAATGTTCATGAAGTCTAAAATTTTTTGAATTGCAAAGGGAATTTATCGATACTGTATATAGTTTGTAAACCTGAATAACATTTTCAGTGATTTATCTCTATTTTAGTCCGGATTCTTCAATTGACAAGAAAATATATGATCGCCGCGATAAAACACCTGTTTCCAGGTAATAGAGTGGTGATATAGAATAAAGTTAAGGGATCATAAATATTTCTTTCAAAATATTATGAAATGTGTTATGTTTTAAATTCTAAACTATTTTTGGAATTTGAAGCCTTGGCTTTCAAGTATCGTCAGCGAACTCAAAACAAATTTATTCAACCAAGTTGAAAGTTTTAAAAAAGGCAATTTTCAACTTTTTTTGTTTATTTCAGTCCGAAGCATACAAATAAAAAGAAAAAGGCTGTTAAACCGAAGAAAAAACAAAAGCCTAATGTAACGCTTGGTACCAGGTAATAAATTGGCAAATGATTTTTTCCCTTATGTAATCATGCACACTTACTTTAAATAACAAATAAAAGTCGGAGAAGCCAGTGTATACTAAGAATAATGAATGAAAGACTATTTCAACATTGGCAGGCAGTAGCAGCTTTCAAATAATTTCGCTACTAATTCATATTTATGTAACAGAATTTTAATTAATGAATTGTTAATTAAGAATAATGATAACGATATTAAATAATTTAACACATGCCTTCCTACACAGCAATGAAAGAATTGAAGATGAAACAACTCAAAGCACTAGCACTCAAAATCGGTCTCGATCTAAACCAAGCAACAGAGGGACCAAAAATAAATCTAAGAGGACAAGGTTGAATATTAAAAAATTGTATCAATTCAATATAATCTATCAATTGGGTTAATAATATATTATTTGACACCGAATTCTCGTTGTTGTTATGGTGTGGTGTTATTGTTGATTTAAAAAAAAAAGAATTGTGCAACTGATGAACCAATTAATGTTCAATCAACTCAATCAATTATTTTGATTTTCCTCATTTTAGTTCTATTATGAGTTCGGGTGTCTGTTTCGTCAAAAGTGAATATACCCTCTGCCCATGGGCTTCCATTCTTTTACACAACTTGATGTAAAGTAGGCGAATGAAATAAGTTACCTCCATATTTGTACATGTACTTCTGGAGCGCCCACTAATCGGTATTGCTCGACTGTATCTGTATTTATGGTTCACCAAACTTTTCGGCAAATATGTCCTTTTAGGCCTCACGGTACCCTTGCAGATGTGCAACCCATGTACATATTTTCAAATATTGCTATTCTATTTCACATAGAAATTATACTGTAATGTTACTTTTGTTTGTTCTTGGCTTCGGAATTAGAGTTTAACATCTTTTTATTTTATGTGGAAATTTCACAATCTTTTTAAAACAAATTATATTATATATATAAGTCATTTTAATATTTTTTTCCAGACTCAGGGCACATGATGACTACCGATTGGCGGCTTCATTAGACATAAGTAAGTAAATTAGATGATAGATAAGTGTCTTGCTAATCTCTATTGCTATAAAATAATTATAAAAACTTTTATTACTTTTACTAAAATTCTGAAAAAATCTATTAAATTGCTTGATGTTTTAGGTGAAAACAGCTAAAAAATTACACAGAATTAACGGAAATAAATTACATTGAATAATCTGAATGTTGCATGTTATTAGATTTATTTTAAATTTTAGTCGTCCCGCCCACAAATCAAGAAGATGACGGCTTGAGACGGAGTAAGCGTGTACGCATGAGACCCTTGAAACCGGGTGAAACCAAAGTACTTGGGTATGTTTTTTAAGGGTTCTACAAAATATTATGTATGTTTTTGCGGGTCCTCATTTGGAATGTGAAGAAAGCATTTTTCTGTTTCATATGATTCTTACGAAGAACGCTTTTTAAAGTCGCAAGATTCCTAAAAACCAACTTTATCCATAGATTTGTAATTTTAATATTTTTTGTTTTTAAATTAATTTTCCGCACTTGTTTTTCTTTAGTGAGAGGGGCGAATTGCTTGGAGTCCAAAAAGACAATGGTAACGTATATTTTTAATATTTTTCTGTTTGTTGTGTAAGTATAATTGAGCAGTTAAACGCAGTTCTTATTCATTCTGACAGAAATCATCAAGATAAATCGTGAAGAGGCTGGCATCCTGCATATTGAATCAAAATTTCACGAACCATCGGGAAAAAGGAGAATGAAAAAAGCGAATTCAACTAAATTGGTTAATACTAAAAAACCAAAGTCAAAGATTAAAAAAGGTACCAGTAATACTTATAAAGAACTCGAACTTGATAAGTAATATAGCTTCTATGGAATTTCGATCAAATTAGCAAGTATATCGTCTTTGTCAGGGTTTTCCTTAAACTTTTTGTGCCGCGGACCCCTATTTGTGATCCTTAGTTTTGTCGAACCCCCGCCATATGCGCTATCAATATCTCTGCCTAGCGAGGAACGAGGAAGAACAATATTTTATTTACAACACTACAACAAAAATGACATTGATGGATGAGGTCACACCTCGACCTGTTACTTTTTATCTTATTGATGAGAGCTGAAATGCTGCCTCACGAATGCAGATCATTGCAAAAAGCAAGCAATAATATTTTAATTGCTTTACTTATACCAATTGATATTCGTCAGTAACGCTCAACCAAATAGATACAATGGCATTTTGATTGAAATCAATCAGTAAGTAAAGATCGATCAGACTCTTTTCATATCGGACCCTAGTTTGGGAAACCCTGATCTATGTCACATCATGCCATTGCTCAATCATTGTCAATTAAATTTTAAAACAAGTCATTGTTTACAGCCTTCAGTGCTCACTTGTCAAATTCTCGATAAAATTTTCTTTTTAGTTAAAAATTTAACTTCAACGAGTAAAAATCAAGGAGGAGATCCTGCGATGTCTTGGTTTGATGACATAACCGCACCTTCGTCTCAGGTTTCAGTCAATGAATCCGTTGACCCTGCTTCCATCTCTGATGCTGGTTTATCTTTTTTTATTCTTGAGGGTAAATCGGACAACTATATTAAAGTTGGTAAGTTTTTTTGAAGTGTTTTGTTTTCGTTTTTCTAGGGTATCGTTTTTTGAAAAAGAATTTAAACTGTTTTTTTTTTCTGTTGGAATATGTCGTGACATATTTTTCATTGTGATCATGGGTTGCCAAATACAAATCAAACATGCAAAATAGTTTAATCAAACATGCAAAATAGTTTAAAATGTAATAAAGGAATATTTTTATTATTATATTCTAGTTAATTGACATTTTGTGTAGATCTAATTTATATCAATCTAATGGCCCACTTGTGTTACCTGAAATAATGACTACTTTAGTTTTTTAGAATATAAATTTTCTTTGAAAATATTAATGGTGAATGGTAATAACGTCATAATGACCTCGATTGTAACATTGTGCTTCTTATTAATATATAGTTGTTGGATAAGCTGTTGTAAATAAACTGTTTTTTCTTCATAATTTCCATATTGATTTTTGAGCCTCCGGCCCAGTAAACCAATATTATTATCTGTAACTGGCCACTCGGAAAATATTTGTCCGTCAATGATCTGATGTAATTAGTTACCATATTGTGAATCTAAAGAAACGATAAATTTCTGCATAACAAAAATCAGTGAATGAATACAGAATAGTTTGTGCAAATTTCCTGAAAATTAAATTTTTGATAGTCTGTGTTTAGAGGAATATTTCAATATTTATTCTCAAAAGTGAATTATACAGTATAATGAAAGGATGGTGTAGCAAAAATAAACATAACATTCTATGCGATTCAAGAGCCCTGCTGCACACTAACACAAATGTATTTCTGTAACATTTCGTATGACCAAAATCAGACTTCCTCAGACAAGCAGTTTACAACAATCAACAGTGTTGCCATTGTTTCTTGTTAATATTATAACTAAAGTCCTCTGCTACAAACTATACAACATTCGATAGTCGAATTCAACTAATAATATTCATATGTTTATAAAATCACCCATATAATTGCACAGTGTTCATTTGATTAGATCGGCAGGGATTTAAACGGTTCGAAACTTTGATGTGACAGTTTCACTGAATTTTTCAGCAACGCTGTCCTGTGTCAAAAGCGATTCAATTTGGCTGATGTAAATGAAATGCATTCTAAATCGTAAATTTCTTAGGTAAAAAACAACAAAAGCACTTTAATAATGCTCATGTTTTGTTTTTATTTCCGCAGATGCTTCCGCGATGATTTGTAATGATAGTGGAGTCTTTGGAAATTCACCTGAAGAACCTATTTATGTGGAGGACGGGGTTTGGGTAACTAAAGGCATTAGTTTTCATAGTATTGTTCAAGGAAAACTGATCATTGAACCGAAGAAAACTAAATCCTCGCGTATTGTTCATTGTATGCATATGGTAAGTTTAAATTACCGGTAGGTAAGCAAATTGATGCTTAAATTATTTTAAAACATACTCAGGTTGAGATTTTTTCAAAAAACACAGCTATCGAGTACGATTTTCAAATTTTCAATACACAAGAGATTACTGAGTCTTGCTGCACACTAACACAAATGTATTTCTCTAACGTTTCGTCTGACCGAATCTTGTATTAAATAGAATAGTCGTTTTCACTCTTGCTATAGCATCCTCGCGTTATACGCAAACAAATACACCTGCACAAAGGCTTAAGGCAAGGGATGGTAGTTAGTTTCACGTAACCCCAACTGTTAGTTAAATTTCCAGATATTCTCAAATTCTTGAAATATTATATAGCTTTTGTGGTTTTATTGTAATTAATTATTGTTCGCAGAAATTTAATGTAGATATCAAGAATTGGTATGAATATGTAATTAGCAACTAAAATCTGCATTGAATAAATTGTACCTCATCAGAAAACAATTTAACTTTATTCATTGATAGAATCATGTAAAAATTATTTTGGAATTTTAAATCATGTCTCAGGTTGCTATGTTAAGGCAACCTTGGTCATTTCGACTCTTGGATTGGTGACTCGTTACTAACTAGCTACGAGTCTAATCCTTGAGTGTAAATTTATGAATAAACGCTATAAATTGGTTTGTGTCTCAAAAAATAAATAATTTTTAATTTTTTTTTTAGTGCTTCTTCCTTGTCGCCGGTTCTCTGGAACTTGTAATTGGTGGTGGTAATACACGCGTTACAATCGCTGAAGATACATATTTCCGGATACCATGCAGGAATCAATATTCATTTTACAATCCTCATGACACAATTCCAGCTAAAATGTTTTTCGCTTTGGTAAAAGTGCCCGATACAAGCCAAGATGGTATTTAGGATTCAAAAAAGTAATTTTTTATTGATGCAATTGGCTAATATAAGCTAAGGTGAAGGACATTTACGTCTCAAAGTATGATATCTAGATTAAATTAAGCACAAGACACTGTGTTAGCCGTTAGGTATTTCTTTCATACAGTGTAAACCTCTTTCCTTGTGTGTTCTTGCTTGTGCATGGTTCTAGTTTTTCAGTTACATTCAAATGTACTGCCATTTCTGCCTTTCTGCAGAGTGCACATTTATTTTTATCTTGTTTGTAAGATCACTTTATATAGTGTTTTTTAGGTAGTGTAACATGCACCTTTCTATTTTTTATATCGCCATGCCAACCTGGCAGTGGCAGTGTCAGACTATCTATCTCCATTCTTTAAATTATTTTACACTTTTATTTTTAAAATTTTTTAAATGCAGAACAGCTCGAAAAGAATTAATCAGTTTGCTTTGAAAAAAAAGTAGTTGCTGCTCATTGGAACTCCTTGGTTGATACATAGACTGCTGCATGGCCACTGCTGAATTTAATAATATTGCTACTTTCGTCTCATATTTATATTTCAATTTTTTTTCATGTTGCGTTTGGAAATTTCAATAAAGTAACACAAACTTATTTCTGTCAATGTCATAATACCCTCGCTTCTGCACTAATAGATCTTTACCGTGATAATTGTGTGATGATTGCTGGACCTTCTAGTGGTCCATATAATCGCGACTTCCTCTACCATCTATAGTTCATACATCTGACCAACTGGTCTCATATTATCAGTGGTTCTATTCTGAGGATTTTGCAGTATTGTGGCTGTCTAGGGCTACTATGTGCCAGGGGACTGGGGGACTGCTAGCCGTAGTTTCAGATTAATCGCCACCATTCAAATATTATCAGACGAATTCTTTAGGCCCTCGTAGCACGCCACGTGCTAACCACTCTTTATGCGTCTGGCCGAACTGCTCGTGACGTTCGCCACTTACGTTTAGCTTAGGGATGGCTAATACCGAATAATTTTATTATATGGCGGAATTAGCATACAATAAACAATGGAATAACCGTTACCTACAAGCTGGCTACCAGAAAATTTATATCCGGTGGTTGCAGTGATATTTTATAGTAGTATGCCTTTTTTATTTTCGTAAGTACCAGAGTGCGAATCAAGATTAATTATAATAGGGCAGTTCACCATACGTTTTATGTCCACAGATTGCCGTGGTATTTTAAAGTAACTTGAATAAAAGTAAACCTTTTATTTTTCGTAAGACGACGCAACCATGAGTTAGGCTGCGTTTGAGCAAAATTAAATTAATGTGGCAAGGCATTTTAAATGCTGTTATCAGTCGTGGACTTAAATATTTTTCACAACAGATAAGTCCATACTTGTAACAATCATTATCAGGACTATTTGCCGAAAGTGGGTGAAGTTAAAATTATTTTTTTGTGAGTAGGAAAATATAAATCAAAAATTAATTATAATCCAGCATTTTACCACACATTTTTCCACAGATTACCGCGTTATTCTAAAGTTATAATGCTTTTGTTTTTCGTAAGTACGAAACCAGGAATCAAAAATCAATTATAATCAGGCAGTTACCACACATTTTATATCCACGGATTGTCGCCGTATCTGACTTAAAGAGTAGTAATGCATTAATTTATTCGTAAGTCGGCGAAACTATGAGTTACGTTAAACACAATTAAATTAGTACAATAAGTCAACTATCATTATCATGATTATTTTCCTAAAGGCGGGAAATAATATAAATTATTTTTCCGAGTGCACGAAAATATAAATCGAAAATTAATTGTAATCGGGCAGTTTACAACACATTTTATGTCCACAGATTGCCGTGGTAATTTAGAGTTGTAATATTATTTGTTTTTCGTAAGTACGCAAATAAGCATTAAAAAGGTATTATAATTGGGCAGTTTACCACACCATTTATGTCCGCAGATTGCCGCGGTTATTCCTTTTTTTTCGTTAGTCGACGCAACCACGAGTTACGTTAATTATTTAATTTTTAGCATTTTAAATACATTTAGCATTTTGAATGTTTTATCGCAACGGAAAATCATCATAGCAAAAAGTCGATACTCTTTGACTATCATTATCAAAATTATTTGCCAAAAGCCGGAAAAAGTGTGAATGATTTTTTTCTAATAAATCAACTCGTTTATTCGGACCTGAGACAATTTATTGGGTGCCGTAATTTGTAACAAAGCGCACGACTTTATTTAACTTATATATATATAATATCTGACTAATTCTATTTATGCGAGACCCGTGACTCAATACAAATGAATGCGTGAATTAGGAGCCTTGCAAGGGAATGGCGACATTGCATATATTCGGTCCCACCAACGTGGCCCATTTAGAAAAATAAAAAAACTGAATTAGAATTGTGCTTCTGAGTAATTTGCTAAATCCTCAAAATGATAGATATTCGATATTGAGCCATACGATTGGAATGCAGGCCATGAACTGACTCATCGCCGGTTCGGGGAAGTTAGCAAATCTGCCGGTCTGGTACGGCTTCTCCCATCATCCATACTCGCACATATGTAGCAATAACCTTATAAGGGATATAGCCATTTTAGTGGAGACAGAACTATTCTAGTAGGGGCATAGCCATTTTAGTAGTGTCATGTTTGTTTTAGTAGTGACATAGCGTTACATAGTCATTCCGTAGTAACATACTGTACTTGTTTTAGTGGGGACATAGCCGACATAACTCCTTCAGTAGGTGCATAGCGGACATAGTCATTTTGGTAGGGATATCGTTAATTTAATGGGGAGATAATGTGGACATAGTCATTTAATTAATCGGCTTCGCCCTTTAAGTTGTGACATTGAGGAAAGCCATTTTAGTAGGGACATAGTCATGGAAAATAGGCATTTTGGAATGGACTATGGTTAATATAGCACTAAAAACCTTGCCAAAACATGCGAAAACAATGAAAAACCTAGCGTCATAGTCATTTTAGTAGTGACTTGACGGGCATAATTTTTTTTAATATGGCCATCGCTATTTTAGTAATGACATATGGCATCCGTATTTCAGTAGGCATATATCCATATAGTAGGGGCATACCCATTTTAGTAGTGACATAGTTGTTATAATGACAAATTGCCATTTTGGTAGGCACATAGTTAGCATAATTATTTTAGCAGGTGTATAGCGGACATAGCCTTTTCAGAAGAGACGTGCATAGCCATATTAGTGATGACATTGTTGTTATAGTGAGGACATGACCATTTTGGTAGGAACATAGCAGAAAGAGCCTTTTTAGTATAGTCATAGCCGTTTCAGACGGGTCATAGCCCTCGTCGCTACTTTAGTAGAGACAACGTTATTTTAGTAGGGAAATAAAATAGCAGGCATTGCCTTTTTGGAAGCGGACATACTCATTCAATGGGGACACATCCATTTTAGAAGGAGCATAGCCATTCTAGTAGGAACGTAGACAATTTAGTAGGGGCATAGCCATTTTAGTAGGGACGTAGTCATTTTAGTGGGGTTATTACGGACATAGATATTTAAGTAGCGACATAGCCATTTTGGAAGAGACATTGTGGGCATACGGTAACCATTTAGTGAGGACTAATCTATTTCAGTACGTAGCCCTTTTAGTAGTGAAATAGTCGTTTAAGTGGGAACATAGCCATTTCAGTAGGGACACAAAGTTTTTGATGGGTATAGCCACTTTAGAAGGGATATACCAATTTTTAGTAGGGACAAAGCGAGCATAGTCATTTTAGTAGGGGCATAGTTGTTTTGGAAGAGATTTGCCCTGTTTGGTATGGACATAGCGGACGTAGCCATTTTAGTAGGGGTATAGTTGTTTTGGGAGGGACATGCCCGTTTTGGTATGGACATAATCATTCTAATAAGGGCATTGCGGAAATAGCCATTATGTATAATAATGGATCCGAAACTTTCATTGCCTTCCAAATAAGGGGTTGGAGTGAATAGGATTTACATATTTATCCCGGGTAAAGCCAATTAGACGGCTTAATTATGTGGTGAACCACAGCCTCGCGCCCGGGTATGGGATGGCTGGTTAATTGTTTCAGATGTACAGACTTGGATGGAGTAAGCCATAACCGACCAGTGGTTATGTGAACCACCCTATGGCGTCAAGGAGTCCAGCAATCCTCCCTCACATGACTATTCTCCACTGGATTCAAACTTACGCAGGGTAATCAGACGATCGTGTTCCCAACACTTAGCACAATGGATTGTAAATTTACCCCGATTCCACGGCCCTACTTAAAATAGTCATACACAAAACCTACGTACCATAGCTATTAAACAGCATCAGTTAATTACAAAAGTTTAATAATTATTGTTCAATGTCAAAATGAAAACGACAACCATGGACAACATTTACATGAACATGGGGGTTCCAGTAGTCAGGCAATATTTTCAACAAGATATTCAAATCAAAAAAACATGTCAGGTAAAGGCAAAAGCATCCACATTGGTGCTCCAATAGTTTGCTATTTTAAATGATGATAGTAGCAAATGGCAGAAAAATCATTAGTATTGTATGCCATGTTTTATGGGAGTCCAGTAGCATAATGCAAAAACACATCATACACGGCCAACAGCAGAAATATCAATTGCCATACAAATTCATTACATCGTAAACATCAAAAATGTGCCCAACAGTGGTTAGGAACAAGCCTGAATTTCATATTAACAATTACTCGTGTCTGGAATACCTACCCAAACTTTTTGCCTATTTGAACCAGATTATATAACATGTAATGCATTAAATTGAATTCAGTGAGACGCAGTACAATAAACATCATGTTATTACCTAAAATCAGATCAAAACTCAAAGTGTTGTAGCATCACAAAAACCACATATCAATAACACTATTTCAAGCTCATTGTTTCGAGTCTGTTGTATGATTTAGGCGAGCAATAGTCTTCCATTGAATGTCAGTGTCTGAGGAAATCATGCTTTTACTTGAGTAGGTTCTTCAGTTGTTCCGTTATCTGTTGGTTTACTTTCAGCTGCATCACTGGGTTCTAGATCGGGTACGTCTGTAAATAAGACAAAAAAAGTATTGAAAAAAGAAAACGCTACTTCTATTTCAGTGGTGAAAACATTTTTCGTTTAATTCCCCCCAGACAATGCATAAAAAACTATTTGGTGTGAGGTTGCAATTTAATATACAAATAGGGCTGTAGGCTGCATGAAAATATGAGAACCAAGATGTTTGAAGATTATAGCATGAGATTCTAAGACTTAAGTTACATTTTACTGGTATTTGGACAAAGTAAGACTCTTTTAAATTTTACTACAAAATGAATTTCCTCGAAATTCAACATTGAAATTAATTCTAAAAATCAAAGCATTCATTTATGGATTTATGGACATGAACGTCCATATCATAGGCTACCAAATTGAGAAGTATCAGTATGCTGAGAAATCGTAAGTACAGTAAATGAGAGAGATCCAATAAAAGGTAGCGTTCACCGCACCAAAGGAGCAAAAGCATAGTTAACATTGAACATTAATAAAATGAAATCTAATTTATATTAGGTATACTAGCACTTGTTTTTGTCGAACCAAATTTTATACACCTTGTGTGATGTACAGGTTGACTGTGCCCAAAAAATCGGAACCTAATGTAAACCAGTCGGCAGCGGCTTGCTATATTTTACTGTCATTAAATATTATTGTAATTTACTGTAATTCTACGCGTTGGTGGGGCTTTCTACAAAAGATTCAACAAATCTTAACTTGATATAGTTCTTCCTAGAAAGAAGCCAAATGAAATACGTTCAGTCTATAATGAAACAAAGAACTTGAAAACTGAAAAAAAAGTTGCGACCCATTTTTATACCTATTACGACTTATAGTTTGGGAACAGCTATGATGTATAATAGGTGAGGACAGGAGTATTTGGCTTCATGCCTCCCCTTTCATCGAAATCCAAGGCTTACAACAAAAAACTGCAGTAATCTTTTTGATTCACAGCAGCCAGAGCTTCAGGAACAAAATGCTGTCCAGTCATAAACACTCGCTCTGTTTTCTATAAAAATCTAATATATTATTAAATACCTTCATCATCACTATCAGGTTCACTGCCTTCATCATCATCGCCATCATCCAGATCACCAAAGTCAGCGCTTCCAGTTCCCCTTCCCATCTGTTGTAGCATCTATAAATAATGAGGTCATAAAAGTAAATGAATATATTTGTAGTGAATACATAATGAGCTGCAATGAAATTGACTACACTGAAATCACACAAAATTAGCCTCAATAAAGTTTATTATTAATAAGAATATTTAATAAGCAATCGAAGAATCGTGTGTAAAACTTGATTTGATAATCAAAGATATTCTTTCAAAACATATCACATAACAGTTTTCAAAAACATTTTTACCTGAGAAAGATCAGGTTGTTGACCTCCACCCATGCCCATGCCACCACCCATGCCCATGCCCCCACCCATGCCCATACCCCCCATTTCTGTATCATCATCTGACGATTCATCTTCATCTTTCCACTTGTTGAAATCAATTTTCAACCAATGTTGCTGAAATCATAAATGAGTTTGTTTAGATATCGTAGTATAGTCAAATTAAATACCAGGAACAGTTGTGTATATTTTCCATGCAGTTTAAATGCCTAGAAAAACTCAATAAATTACATTTTAAAATTCACCCACATTAATTAAATCAGTCATGAGTGGTTCCCAAACTGCAGCCCATGGGGCAATAACGACCCCTAGTAACGATTTACTATGGCCCGCCGAACTTGAGTGAAATAGTTTAACACTTTGTTACATCATTATCAAAGTTTGAGCATGTGTATATAAGTAACAATTCAATTATACCAGTATCTTAATTATGCTTACAGTAACAGCCCTTGCGGGCGCTCCCCTCTCCGGGCACACAAATACCCTCCCGCTTCTAGTTTTGGCCCCCGATCAATCGACTTCGGTAAACACCGAATTAAATCATCGCATACCACTGACAATATCTCAAATTATATATCGGGTTGTATTCAAAGAGAGTAATGAAATGCCATGTTTGTCCATGTGAAGTGATTCAAGAGTCTTGCTGCACACTAACACAAATATATTTCTATAACGCTTCGTCTGACCAAGGTCGGACTTCTTCAGACATACATAATTTTGTTAGGTGTCGATTGTAACCATTTGTGTCGATGCATATAATTACTTTCATTGTATAATTTAAAGAATTTACCTTCATTTTGGCGTCTAACAGTCTTGGCCAGAACGGACCAGATTCCTTCTTTTGTGCTTGTACATATATTAGCCTTGATGTTTTCTTCACTGTGCATTGCTAAACACAATTATAAACTTTTTATAAAATATTCACACAAAAAGTTCCAAATTTTATTAAACTGAGGTAATAAGATATTGAGTCAGATTCAATATTTTCAACTCTCTAATTAACTTGTGAGAAGGAGTAGGTATTTCTAACAAAACAAAGTTAGTTGGAAATTATTAACCCTGTTAACTACACCTTGTTATATGCCTTGCAGGTCTTTCTACACAAATTGATTTGCACAAACAGTGACCAAGTGGTTAAAGTGTTAGACTAAATTATGGTGGCACTTCGGATTCAAATCCCATGCCTGCCATCTAACTCGGGGTATAATAAACGGCGCTCCAGAAATGTGTGTACCAATATGAATTTACAGTAAATAATTTTGTTCGCATACTTCACATCAAGTTGTGTAAGGGGACTGAAACCTATGGGTAGGGGGGTATATTCACTTGGCTAACACAGACCATCCCGAACTCTTGATAGAACTAAAATAACGAAAATCGGGATAAAATAATGGCCTAACCCTAACCTGATTCACACACAACAGGATTATCTAATAAACTGCTCAGGCAATGCTAAATCGAAAGAACTGATGAAGCAGCTCCTTACCTATTAGTGATCCCCTATGCAGTGTCTTGTTAGGTGTGAAAGTATCAATATGTTGCATAAAAAAACACACAACTATTTGTATAATCTCAATCTGTATCTCCCAACCATATTAGAACTGATAATTTTGAGCAGAGACAATATTCATGAATGTGAGTATGTGACATATTATGAACATTGAACAGAAACTGAGAAAGTCGCTGTGTTAAATTGTAATGGAATTAAACTGAATTTGAATATATAATCACATCTCAATTCATGAATTATATTTTTTTTTAAATCACAAACGTAGAAAAAAATTAACAAACCTTAGGATCTATTTCTTTAAATAATTCTAATTGTGAATGATATTTTTTGTTTAACGATCCACCCTGACCATTAAATATTATTTTCTTTTCTTCGAATTTCACATCTGGATTTTTACAATCTTCGACACAAAATGATATCAGCAGTAAATCTTTTCGCTGTGCCCATATTGTTGGGACATATTCACTATGAAAATAAAAAAACAATACAATTAACTTGTGGACTCGTGGTGGTTAAATTTTGAAAATATTTCCAACCTGCTTGACTTTGTCCCAACAATTTTGGATAAAAAAATCAGGAATTCACATTAAACTATTTACTAAATATGTCTATTTGTAATTTCATTGATAACCAAGATTTAAGATTGGTTAAAGATTGGCTTAAATTCTAATACTCATTTTTGCTAGTGGTGAACAAATGGTATTCTCGTTGTATGTGAACCAAGTTGGCAGACACCGGAACGTAGTATGTGTACCAGGTTAGGCTATAATTTTATTCCAATTTTCCATATTTTGGTTCTATTACGAGTTCAGGGACTAGCCAAGTGACTCCCGTAGTAGTTGTACCTGAAATTATGGCCTAACCATTTACCTGGTACACATACTACATTCCGGTGTTAGCCATCTTGATACCTCTGTCACGCTAGCGAAATCCTGCTGCTCAAAAATACGATGTCATAAAAAGTGTTTCATTATAAAATTTATGAATAAAATATAATTTAATTGCACTAAGCAAATGAGGTATAAAATTTCGTTAGGGTTAGGGTTTCTATGGCTATTGATTAGAAATACTTCGCAAAGTGGGAACACACTTTTATGACATCGTATATTTTTATGTAGGATTTCGCTAGCCTTTCGCTGACGTGACATCTTGGTTCACATACTACAGGAGTACCGAACAAATTTACCAATGTGATCAGACTAGGAAATATGGGACAAAAGATAAACAAACAGGCTATAGAACAAAAGCTAACAGAGTATAGCTCACCATGAATCTCCTGAAGACATTTTGTATTTGAATATAATACAACGTCTAGTTCTGAGGTTTATGAAAATGAAAAATTAATAACAACAAAAAAGAGTTCTGAATGTTCTCAGCTTCGAGCAGGTGTGAAGAGATATCCTATTGAAAAGTGTAAACTATTAATGCTGTAAAACACAAACAATACCCAAGTTTATTGTTGTTATCGTGTTTAAACCAGATTTTCTCAGACGAACCTTTTCAATGACCCAACGTCTCAAAAGGTGTAAGTTCTAGTTAAAATGTAGATGATCGCAAGCCTCAAATCGCAGGCCTTCTCAGTTTCCAATTTTATATACCTAACCTTTTCTGATTCTGTTCACCTATCTACAAACTCTGAAACTGCCGAATTTCATTCATCAGCATTAAAAGTTTATTCAAGCCAGCATAGGTATCATCAGATGTCGCAATAATTATGTCACACTCACATCGTAAAGCTTGACAAAGTATAGCTGCGATCGCCCCAAATGGCATCCGCGCCGCCGATAAAGAACTCACGAACATCAGCTATCTCTCTCATATCAGGGTCGTTGCATCGAGAAAACAAGAGAAATAGCTTGCTCAATTTCAGGTGATCGTCTACACGTAGACACGTTTTGGATGACCATCCATACACTTTGGGGGTCTTTATTACGCCACTGTGATGTCGTAGTGACATAATTTTTTGGCGATTTCGTCCGGTGGGGGTTATGAGAGTGACATATGCAAAAATTCAGAAATTTTTGACCCGGGCCAACTAGAAGTGGATGTGTAAATAAACTATACCAGACCAGCAGACCCCAAAGTTTTGAGGTCAATAGTTTAATAAATAAACAAAACTCAAGAAGGATAATTTGAAGGAATAACAGACAGTTTGAAGACAGACTGAAATCTCCGACTATTAGAAGTATTTATACAAATTTTGAGTAATACACCAAACTGCAGACCTGTCAAAAGACCAGATAATATCAAACGAAGCTTATGCATGACATACTGACATACCATACCGTATGACAGGATCCAGGTAAGGTACCGGGGTACGGTATGCTCCACCTTACACAGTTCAGCAGTAGCAACAGTACATAATTATCTTTTATCCTGCATTAAACCATTCCAGCATTCAGCTGGCCTAAAGCACAGGTCTGCAGGTATCGCATCGGCGATGTATTTTTATTCTCTGCCAGGATACAGGTAAATATGCATTTAAAAATCCAATCAGCCAATCCCTTCTGCCCTTATAATTGCAACAGTGTTATTGCAGTATTGTGTTAGTGTAACTTACAGTACGCACATGGGTATGGCAGCATGGGTAAAACGAAAATGCCTTTCCCATTCCAGATGTTTCTTCCTGTCTTCTGTCCTAAGCCTGTAAGCCAGCGTCAAACTTGAACTAACGACAGAACTACGGATTCAGTTCATAAAGCTGTGTAAAAAGATGACATCTCAAAATCTACACTTGCAGACTTGCCTCAGTCCTTACTTTCAAATACAGAAATTCATAGAACGCCGGCATGTCAAAAACACGTCGAAAAGAGGGAGATAAGCCGACACAAGCCCTTGTAAATGGGGAAATGTCGCAAGGAAGTGAAGCACCCGTCGCGAGCTGCACGTGCGCCGTGCGCGCCGTGACGCCATTGTTAATCAACGACCAAATGTCAGATTTATATTTTGAAATTTCAATGCGGGATTCGTGTATTTATTATTTTTTGTTGTCGTCAGGAAAAGCAAAGTACCAACTACATCTTATGATAAATTAAATTTTATATAACCATGGAGTATACATGACGAAAACACGAATGTACGTTTACTGAGCGCCACAATTTTAAGTGTTTCGTTTTGATTTAAGGCCAAGTGGCTCTGAATTGATCAATATGTTTGTGAAACTAAACCAATTATCTGTCCCTGTTTAGCGGCTGTAAGATTCCACAGAAACCATGTAGATATAGTGCAAATTAAAATATAAATACTACGTGAACAATTCTTTTTTCGCTCTAAATAGGGAGTCTACTGATACAGTCTTCATCCCCATTTCTCCAAAATCCAGATGCTTTGAGCGAAATGTATAATAGCTAGGCTTACAATACGTCCCGCTTTAGGTGGGACAGTCCCGCTTTCTATCGTCTTGTCCGCCGTCCCGACAAGTCAGCCCAAAGTCCCGCTTTGGCGTTCAGCCATCCAGCATAATACACGAACATGTTCTCGTTACTGTTGTCGCTGTGTAGCGCAACGCTAGCCTACTTACTGAAGGTGAATGAGTTATTTTGTTTGTTTCGTTGTTTCCCGCTAACATTGTTAGCGAACGTATCACATGTAAAATCATTCTATTTGGTCCTGTTCGGACGTTCACGTAAATGTAACATTGAACAACGTCTTTTTGACGATGTTATCTACAGAAAAGCATGCTTGGGCGAATAGATAAATTTTCTATGCTTGAAAACGGCAGACTATTTTGTTACTCTTTATTCTTTTGCTATACATCCAAATATAAAATCTAAATTCGGATCATTTATATCGTTAGCGTATATTCCTTTCTATTTTTCGAACTGAACCCGATATTTAGACAGAGAATATGCGCATGAACTCCCAAACAATATGGTCAATGAAGAGAGCCGGGATGGTTTTAAATGTTGGCCTATGTAATAAAATCGGAAACTGTAAAGATATAAAATCACAGCTAAGGGCTCGTGTCTTTCAAGGCGCCCCGCTTTGTAGTCAAAAAAATATGGTAACCCTAATAATAGCTAAAAAAAAATTAGGATAGCTATAAATTAGCCTTTACTCCCCCAAAATTTGATATTTTTCATTCCAAAGGTTACTAAAATAACTACGGTCAAATAAATGAATTTGTCTAGATATGAAGAGCCCCACCTCTCTAGCTTTCAAAACCAAAATGTGAATATTCAAAATTTTCTTTTAAAAAAATCTTTTCTTTTAAAATGCTTTAATATGCTGAAAAAGGGGATCCTATTGATAGTTATATATGTATATATATATATATATATATATATATATATATATATATATATATAGCGACATCTAGACTCGGGTCACATGACCTGTGACGCGCTGCCACGTTTTGGCTTCTGTTTTGAATAGGAAATTTAAGACACTCAACTCGGGGATCTCTCGCGACACGCACCTACTACTATACTCCAAGCATCTGCCTCATTTTTGAGTTAAGTTATTTTACTGATTTGATATCTATTTTATGCTTTTTATAACGTCGCTATTTTAATACAATATACAAAAAAGCTCTTGTACATTTTACTAGGACTTGAAAGCGGACAGGAATAAGCAAGTACAGTCTCGGCACGCGGAGTTTAGGGATCAACAGCAAGAACCCTATATAAAGTTGGTGATGCCGACGTTTTCGAGTTCAACTTCAAGCCTCAACTCAGAAGAGCTTCAACCTGAAGAAACCGGATTCAAGGTTTTAGATTTTATTGCTGGAACAGACTGATTTTATCAATTTTAAGACCTTTATATATATTAGCTTTTAAAGGACAATTTTATCGTGTTCGTTTTAGCCCATTGTTTACATTTATGTTGTCATTATTAGATGCAACGTAATTTTTCTCGAAGACAATTTTCATTCGAAAGCACGCAGACTGACTTGGTTTTAATTGATAATAATAGCAACGAATCACCAGAACGTGCAATGAATCAGTCTGAGCCACAAATAGATGTAGGTAGCACACCAATTGTCGGCTCTCTCAATGATAATGTCGGTCTGATCCTTCTACAACCACAGTTTATATGTCGACCGCGTCCATCACTCCAAATTAACGAGTTTTGGTCCCATTCTCCTGACTCGTGGTTTACATCAACAGAAGCAGGATTCCGAATGGTAGGGATAAACGATGTGGACAAATATTGCTATGTTATTCGGTGCCTGAACGACCGCCAAATAGAGACCATACGCTCGCGCCTACCGGGCGAGCATCATTCCAGTTGTTATCGACTTTTGCGGGAACTTCTGATCAATATTTACTCCGTCCCGCTTAGAGATCGCATACAAGATATCTACGACGGCGGATGCTCTAATCTCAAACCATCCAAAATTTTGAGAAAGCTACGCAGTTCCTTTTGCCCAAATGACGCTCCCAGCACCAACCAGGAATTTTTAAAGGAGATGTTCTTTCAGCAACTACCGCCAGATATTGTGTCAGCCCTTTCTGCCCATCCGGATGATACCATCTGATTACCATAAATTAGCCTATCGAGATGATAGTATATTCGCCAGACGATCTTTACAATCTGCCGATAACACTTCTTATAAAAATCATGCATCAAACCCCGACTATAGCGTCGACAACAGTAAAAATTCTTTCCATGTCGAATTTAGCTCAATGATGTCGAAGTTAGCTAACGAAGTTGGTAATCTTTGAAAGGAACTTGACAATATGAAGCATAACCCTACACAATGGTCTTCGGATGCTTCTCTTAGCTCTAATGCGTTAACTCAACATCCTGTACGTGTCAGAAACGGAGAGCGCACGAGTCTTGTGAATCCATCGAGAGCCCTTTTGCAAAATCATCAATCATCATCTAGTAGCAACGCCAACTACAGAAATCACCGACCCAGTGCTCCGACAGCTTGCTGGTATCATCAACGTTAAGGAAACCTAGCACGCAACTGCGTTCAGCCCTGTGCCTTTTCCAGTCGGGGTCCTTTTTTCGCCTTCACAGCGCCATGTAAATTCACTTGGTATTCCTAATTCCAATTCTCCAAACACAAATATTCTCTACGTCTTCGATATGAAAAGCGGCCGACAATTTCTGGTTAATACTGGTGCAACAGTTTCCTTAATTCCCCCACATTCGAAACGTTACAACCAGTGGCGGCGCGTGCTCATTTTGACAACCGGGGCAAGCTACTGCGGGACCAAGTCACCCCCATCTACGGGGACAGGATGAGCGCTGTAAGTTCTCCCATCATTTTATGAGTATAAAAACTATTCCATCGGTAACAACCAATCGGCAAAAGCGACAATTTTTAACGATAAGAAAGTGTCTTTAAAACCGGTCCAAGTCAAGGGATTAATAAATCTAGACATAGTTTATTTTGAAACCTCTTTCAAAAGGAAAGGCAATATTTACCCAGATAAATACAATGACATATTAACAGAAACTTCGGGAAAGCAGACAAAACCTAAA